TGTGAGCTGAAATTGTGGTCCGGTGTGAGCCTTGCATTGCTAGCAGGGTACAAGGCATAAGCATAGCAAGTGGGGGCGATTCTTACTAGGTCGTTAATGCCGGCTTCGGCACCCAGATGCTTTGTTCGGTCGTTTGGCGCGGGAATGGGTCGGGAAAGCCTTCCGGCATTTTCGGATAGTCGCAGATGGAATTCCAGGGCTTGGGAACCCTTCTCATTCCTCGTTGGAATTGGGCGTTTGTTTCTTTCTTGTGGTTTATGCGCGGATGGACTCTGGGGGTTTGAGGATGCCTTATCGGGTTGCTGCCTGGCTTTCCTGACGGAGTTTGCGGTTTGGGGTGCTTCGGGCACCAGCCCTTTGCTGAATCAGTTCGTGGGCTCTTTTCAACTCCCCCTACCATGTCACTACGACTCTCCTACCACCACTACGACAACCACCACACACTCGAACCGTATCCCCAACCACACCGCCGGCCTCGTTTAGCACGTTCTCGGTTTTGGCTTGGCCGGGAAGGCAATAGGGAGGCCGTACTAACTGCCACTACCGTTCCTAGGGTCCCTTATTCTAGTCATTACAGTTATAGTTGAGTATGCTCCAAGACTCTATTCTAAGTACTAAGGCCTCTACATTAGTTCACCTCGCCACGGCTGAGTCGGCCGGGGGGTCCGCATAGCGGGTAATTTATTCGGACCCTGTATTACAACTGACCCATAGGAGACAGTTCTGCAGTGTATGTATGTATGTACGTACGTGAGTATGTATGTACGTATGTGTATATATATATATATATATATATATATATTATATATGTATCCATCTGTGTGTGCGTGTGTTTGTGTTTGTGGGTTGTTTATTTTTGCCTGTGCGTGTTGCCAGTCTGTGCCTAAAACCAAAAACATAGACCCCACACCCTAAAACCCTGAAACCTTCGCTCTATCTGAGGCATAACTGGTCTCGTAAGCACTAAGCCTCTCTGGAGGTGCGAGGGGTCTAGCCGTTACTAGCGGGTCTGTCATTGCAAGAACAGGTTTCATGGGATATTGTGGTGTAGCGACATGATCAGGGACAAAACGGGCCTACTATTGCTCACTGCTCAGCCCGCTACAGTGACCATATCTCGAGGATTTAGGGTCATGGCTTCAGAGCCTGCAGAAACAATTTCGACTTCTAATCCAGCCTTGGAATTCCTATCCCATCCTCCAGGTAAGTTTAACTTGACCGATGTGGAGCTGGAGGATTCTCGGAATCAGGGGCAAGACCAACAGCATAAATAACTTTCTGGCTCCTACTCTTCAGAGTGTCCCGTGCATCGTGCCGGCTAGGGACCGGACAACAGGGACTTTATGACTCTAAAGTAAAAGCCAGACAGTTGGAATATGATTATCCTAAACCCTTTATGGTAAATTATAAGGTATCCTACCCTGAAACCATATTCCAACTTTCTGGAGTTCCCTGCATAAGCTCTAAGACTCAGCATCTTCTCGGGTTTTGGAGCTTGAAGGCATAGGGGCCTTAATAATTAGAATAGGGTTTTGGGGTATATTATACAATAATCATAACAAGGAACCCCCAAAATAGATAATTACAATAAGGAACCCCAAAATAGACAATTACAATAAGGAACCCCCCAAAATAGATAGCTATAATAAGGAACCCCCCAAAATAGTATAGGAAATTTTTGGGGTCTTCGGACTGAGAGTTCGGGACGGGTTGGTTGAGTTGCTCGGGCCGTACTTAAAGGATCATGGGAGTTAGTAAGAATAGGGTTCCTTAAAGGGCTCCTTTAAAAGGGATGTATAAGGGTTCCATAAGAGGGGTCTTAGGGTTACTTAAAGGATCATGGGACTTAGTAACTAAGGCTATTATTAGGGTAACTATACTTATAACTACTTATAACCCCAATCAAGGTACTTATAACCTTACTTACTAAGTCCCATGATCCTCCAAGTACCATTGCTGCCAAAGTTGCCGTGGGTCTATCGGTGGAAAATTTGGGAAGACCCGCTGCGGCTCCTGTGCAGCCCGACGATTGCTTTAGCAAGATCACTTCTTGCAAGGCCCGAGACAGGATTTCAAAGGCTTCTTCAAGCCTTCAAGGGCATCGTCCAGAGTTTGTATAGGAGTGGAATCAATACAGGGTCCGCGACTGTACAGCTTGTCCGCGACTGCACAGCTTGTGGATGGCAATGTCTACATCTCGATTGTTGTGTCCTCACACCCCAAGCCCACAACTCGAAGTTCGCGTTATACAGTTTGCGAGGTATATGATGGTATAGATAGCAGTTGCTCAGGCCCCTATAGTAACACTCTGGTCCGAAGCTTCGAAGAAGCTCACTGAGAGAACCCTTCTGAAGTAGAATCAAGCACTACATCAACACTAAAGACCCTGTATCAAAACCTAAGGCTGCAAGGTTGCAGCTCAAGACTACTGCTCGGAAACTTCGGGTTACATCTTCACAGCTTCTAGAGCTAGGACTCAGGCTAAGATAGGGTCCTTACTTAACAATTAGAATAGGATGCAGGGATATATCATTATCAGGCGTTATCAGACTATAACCATATCAAAAACCCGAAGGAATATTATTGATACAGGTGCTTATGTAGGCTTCTGATGGCCTCTGCTTCGAGCTCAGAGTGTGAGATTTAGGGGTTACAGTTTAGGGGGTTGTCAAGGTTGAGGTTTGTTTTGCTAGAGCTTCGGGCTTTAGGCGTCAGGGGCATGAAGGTTTTCTTACTCCGCCAATAAGCCACGAAAATACAAGCTTGAACTTTCCCATTCCTACCAAACTTAAGAGCCCCAAAAGCTTAAAGCTTGGGCCTTGGGGATCCAAGTTTTGGTGCTCAGGCTTTAGGGTTTAAGGGTTAGGGGCATGAAGGTTTTGGTGCAGGGAACCTCACTGGAGCCCTAAACCCTAAACTCTAAACCCTAACCCCCTAAACCCGAAGACGCGCTTGGTGGCAGGGTTCGGTGGCTCCAACTCGGCTCTGAATCTAATATAGGGGCCTTATTAATTGGAATAGGGTTCCTTTTAAAGGGGTCCTTTATGGGTTACTGTAAGGGGTCTAGAAGGGTTCTGCGCAAACCAGGAGTATAGAGTCGACCTTCCACCCTTATTTATTTTCTAAGGCTTCAGGGGCTCGAAACGCCATAAGCCATAAACATAAAACTCTCAGCCCTGGACCAATCCTAAACCCTAAACCCCTAAACCCTAAACCCCTAAACCCCGACACCCCTAAACCCTAAACCCCTAAATCCTAAATGCCTGGGTAAGCTACTCTATAATTGATTAGAGCGTAGACGTTCGAATCTCCATAGTTGAACTTCGAGTCAGAAGCGGAACTAGGGGCTGACATCCTTGCGGCTTAAAACTTACGTTAACCCGGAATAACCTACCTTTAAGGGCTTATAAAAAGAAATCATAATAAGGAACTCTAAAAAGGCAGGTTATTCAGCGTTAATGTAGGGGTATTACTTAGGCTTCAATCCCAGGGAGCCCCAGCACCGAGGCGCGTCCTTGCGGTAAACTTTTCGGAAGTCTACTTCCTCAAACCACTTGTGCTCCTGCGATCGGATTGCAGTTCTTGTGCTCACACAATTCACGAAGGTTTTAGGCTCAGGCTTGCATACCGAGCTATGAGGTTTCTGTAGGAGGCTTGGGGGTTGAAGGATATTATATTCGGGTTCAGGGATTTAGGCTCGTATGGGCAGTTAAAAGCGCTAAGGTTGCTTTCGAGCGATAGGTTTTCGGCCTCTACGCCCTCAGCCCTAAACCTTAAACCCTACCCCCCCCCCACCCCAAAAACCTTACTTATCCTCAACCAATGTAGGGGTCGGAGAGCCAATGTCGCTGTAGTAGCTGTAGTCAGGGTTCTGCAGGTGGTCCGGCTTTCTGGGCCTCTTTGGCTACCTCTGCCCAGGACTTCTTGGGCGGGCTCTGTGCCTGGCAGGGGATCGGCGGCAACACCGCCCGCTCTGCCTCGGCCCGGACCGCCGCCTTCCTGCAAAAACTGCTGTGCTAGCCGTTTGGCGGCACGGAGGTTCTCGGCAGGGCCAGACAGTGTGAGGCCACGCTCGCCCCACTGCTCTCTGCCTCTGACGCTTGAGGAAACCCCGTAGCGGTCTTGAAGCGGACTCAAGTGGGCCCGGGACCTTGCCCGGAGCCCTCACTGTCGGAAAACGCAGCGGTTCGATAGCACACCCTTCAGAAAGTTTGGTGCTATCGAACCGCCCTTGTTTTAGTGTGAGTATTTGCAATGCAGAATACAGCAGCGCAGTTTGGGCTTGGCTTTGAGGCCTTCAGGGCTTAAGGCTCGGATGCGGGAAACCATGAACCCAGCCTAACTGGTTTCAGTAACAGGAGTGCTTTTGAGCTGGGTTCAGGTCAAATGAAAAAATGCAAACACCTCAATTTGCTGGTGAGTATGTATGCGTGCATGCATGTATACTGTATGTATGTATGTATGTATGTATGTATGTATGTATGTATGTATCATATATGTATGGATGTACGTATGTATGAACGTATATACAGAGACTTTACATCTTGTCGTCACATACAGAAAACAGTAACAATTCACACAACAATAACGCTAGTGAGATCAAAGTCAGCTAGTCCAAAAGACACAACGTAAGGAACAAGCATAGGCCTCATCGTAATACCAAAACGAATGACTGCCTCGATCTCTCCTCTCTTTATCTATATCTATCTATATATCTGTGAATCCATTCATCTATGAAGAAAAAACATCTTGCCCCTAAACCCTAGACCTCTGAACCAGGCTGGCCCTAAAACCCTGGCCCTTGAACCCCTAATCCTGAAACTCTAACCCGCAAACCGCGCCTTAACCCCCCAAACCCAACCCCCTACCCCGAATTCCTCAACCCTAACTAAACCCGGCCCAGAAAACCTAACGCCTAAACCCCTAAACCCTGAACTCCTGAACCCCGAAGACCCTAAACGTCCGCGGTCCTATCCCTAACGGAGCCCTTATCTAGGAATGCTCTACAGGAATCCTCTCCCTCTACCAAGCCCCAAAGCCTAAAGACCCCGAAACCCGAAAGTCGAAGATCTCCCAAACCTCAGAATCCGAAACCTTGCAAACCCTAAACACCCAGGGAAACTCCAAATTCCAAAAACCAACGGCTTTGATCCCAAACCCTGAAGTCTAAAAGCTCTCAACTCCTAAACCCTACAAGCCCTAGGCACCCTAACCCGGGGGCTGACTACCCTAGGCCAGAAGAAGGCTTCTCTCAACCATGGTAGGATTGTAGAACCCCAAAAGGTTAAAGGTTACCCCTAAACCCTTATAGTACCCTTACAACACCCTTATAGATCTCTGTCTTAAAGTAACCGCTTTTAGTGCCCTAAACCCATTTTGGTTACCTACTCAGCTACGAAGCTAGGCTCCCGTCCTGGACATCCACCCCTGAACCCGAAACCCTGAAGCCTATAAGCCCTGAACTCTATACCCCATCAACCCCAAACCCTAAACTCCTAAGCCCTAGACTTACGACCCCCCCCCCAAAAAAAAAAAAAACAAAAGCCCCAAACTCTAAACCCTAAGTCCCTAAACCCTTATTGTACCCCTATACATCCCTTCAAGGGACCCCAAACTCTAAACCCAAAGTCCCTAAACCCTTGTAGTACCTTATACATCCCTTAAAAGGGACCCCTACCCCCGCAGGCCCCTAAGAACCCCCCCCTACTTGTCGGGTATGTTGGGAACTAAAGGTTAACCTTTTTGGTTAGATTGGGATTATATAGGGACTATACTACCCCAAAAAGGTTAAAGGTTACCTACTCGACTACTAGGCCCCAAAAAGCCCAGAGACTCCAATATCCCCAAGTTAAGGAATATACCTTAAATCATATTAGAGATCCTACCATAATTTAAGGTATATTCCTTAATTCAGGGATATTGGAGTCTAAACCCTAAACCCTATAGATCCCTTATAGATCCCTTAAAGGAACCCTAGGTATTGCTTAAGTAAGGGATATTGGAGTCTCTGGATGCTCCGGTCCTTGACCTCCATGGCCTGGCCCTTTGTCCCCAGCCTTTCGGCAGGATCCGCCTGCAGCGAGTCTTCGGATTTAGCGCCTCTTAAGGGGCTTTTAGGGCCTCTTAGGGTTTCTTAGGGCCTCTTAGGGGCTTTTGGGAGTTTAGGGTTGGGGGTTTAGGGTTTACTCTTTGGGGCTTTTAAGGTTAGGGTCGGGGATTCTTAGGGCTTCTTAGGGGCTTCTTAGGGGGTAGGGTTTGGGAGTTTAGGGTTTAGGGCCTCTTAGGGGGCTTTTAGGGCTTCTTAGGGCCTCTTAGGGTTTCTTCGGGCTGCTTAAGGCTTTTAAGGTTAGGGCCTGGGTCTTCGGATTTAGGGATTCTTAGGGCGTCTCAAAGTTTGTAGGGTTGGGAGTTTAGGGTTTAGGGCCTCTTAGGGCCTCTTAGGGCCTCTTAGGGGGCTTTTAAGGATAGGGGGTCGGGGTCTTCGGATTTAGGGATTCTTATGGCTTCTTAGGGCTTTTGGGAGTTTAGGGTTTGGGAGTTTAGGGTTTAGGGCTTCTTAAGGCTTTTAGGGTTTGGGAGTTTAGGAGCTTAGGGTTTAGGGCTCAGGTCTTCGGGCTTTTAGGGTTAGGGTTTGGGAGTTTAGGGTTTAGGGTTTAGGGCTTGGGGAGCTTAGGGCTTAGGAGTTTCGGCTTTAGGGCTTTTCGGGTTTAGGGGTCTTCCGCTAGGGGTTCTGGGGCTTCTAATTGGGGCCTTTAAGGTTGCGTGCCTTTTAGGGTTCCGGGCTTCTAGAAATTTTAAGGCGTAGGGCTTATAGGGCTTCTAGTGCTTCTGGAGCTTTTTAGAGTTTAGGGTTGGTTTCTTTTCGTGTTAAGGCTTTTGGGCTTTTGGTAATAAGGCTTCCACGGTTTATGGCTTTTGCGGTATACGAGGCTTTTCAGGTTGAGCGCTGGGCGGTGGCTCTATAAACCCTTAAAGCCCAAAACCATATTCATATAACCCTAAAACCCCAAACCCTGAGTATAGGGGTTACATGGCTCAGGCCGAAGAGGCTTAAGCCATGAGGGTGCCGACCCGTCTGGAATAAGCAAGATAGGGGCCTGAATAATTACCTACACTATTTTGGGGTTCGATATTACAATAATAATATGGTGAGCCCCAAAACCCTGTTCTAATTAGTAAGGCCCTATATTACCTCTACTATTTCGGGGGCTCCTTATTATGATGATAATATGATGGGTTAGAAGCTGCCCCCACCCTGTAATAGTGACTATAAGGGCCCTGTTATATTCCTATTACACCACTATTACAGGGTGGGGGGCCCCTTCTAAATGATGGGCCCCAAAACCCCTATTCTAATTATTAAAAAAGGCCCCTAGATTACAGCACCCTTCTAGATCCCTTATAGTAACCCTTGTAGACCCCTTTAAAGGGAACCCTAGTCCAATTAATAAATAAGACCCCTATATTATAGTACCCTTATAGTAACCCTTCTAGCCCCTTTTAAGGAACCCTAAATTAGTAGCATCTATAGGCCCCTTTAAAGGATCCCTATTCGGAAAATTATTAAATAATGCCCCTATATTATCCCCTCGGTCTTGGTGACCCAGGAGCCGGCATGCAGTGTTGAAATGCTCTCTTGCATCAACAGGGTTTAGGGTTTAGGGTTTTGGTTTTAGGGTTTTAGGGTTTAACTGGTTCAGGGTTTAGGGTTTAGGTTTAGGGTTTAACTGGTTTAGGGTTTAGGATTTAGGGTTTAATTCGTTTAGGGTTTAGGGTTTAACTGGTTTAAGGCTCCGGGTTTAACAGTGATGCAGTCATCAGCCTATTTGCGGCGCTCAGTCTACTTGCAGGCTTTGGGCTGTAGGGTATACTGCAGCAAGAGCCCAATCACAGACCTGTTACCCTCTTGGGAGTTTCCAAATATAGGGGACCCAATATAGTACCCCAAATAGTAGGATCCTTATCATAAGGATCCCAAAAAAAGGTCCCCCTAATTTTCGGAAACTCCCTCTTCAGAAATGAGCATGTCGAAGAGGTCTATCACAAGGCTGAGCTGCAGTTCCTTGTGACATAACCTCTTGCTACAGTTCGTCAAAGGTTGCAGGTTGAGCTAGTAAGACACACCAACCTAACAAAAAAGTAGAAGCAACTACAAGCCTACACCCTAAAATCCCGAAACCCCCGAACATCCTGAAGCCTTGTAAGGGTTCAGCTTTCACGGTGAACCAAGGCCCCCAACCCCCTTTCCCCCAGAGCCTCCAAAACCCCTTAATTAAGGAATATACCTTAAATTATAATAGGATCCCTTATATGATTTAAGGTATATTCCTTAATTAAGGGGTTTTGGAGTCTCTGGGCCAGACGCAACCTCAAGAAGTCGCTCGCAAAGCTGCGTAGCGGCCGGAGAGCAATTCGCCGGCGCCTGCAGCTTGCGATCTTTTCGGTATTTTTCAAGACTTCTGAAATTGAAAGTTCCGATGAGGCTGTGAACGAACTTGGGGGGGGGGGGGGATGAGTCGCCATTCCTGCAAGATAGAATGCTGCTCGTAAAGCAACCCTTCAATTCCCAGACCTCTTTCAGAACCCAGAGCCTCCAAAACCCCTTAATTATAAGGGATCCTATTATAATTTAAGGTATATTCCTTAATTTAGGGGTTTTGGAGTCTCTGGGTTCAGAAGCCCAGCATCCGACCCGACAGCGATCCTGCCACCCACTTTGAAAATCCTACGCTAGGTCTGAATCGCTTAGACGGTATATAATGAAGCATGTGCAATCCCCTAAACTCTAAACCTGGGTCTTTAAAGCCTGCGCAGGAATTCCCTAAACTCTAAACTCTACACCCAGGCCTGAAACTTTGAACCACCCCGTGAAGGTTTCTGGGTTTAAAGGAGCCCAGAAGTCACAAAGCCCTGTTCTGTTTTGGCATGGGACATAATGCATACATACATACCTACCGACATACATGCATACATACATACATACATGATCACGTAACTGCAAAATTGCATAGTTATACAGTTGCATAGTTATATAAACTGTACAGATACCTACGTACATACATACAGGCCTACCTACATACCCACATACAGTTACATAGGTAGATTTACATACACACATTTACATACACATACGTAAATACATACAGTTGCATGCATGTACTGACTTACATACGAAAGCAAACAACTACAAGTACAAATATACGTGTATAAGTATGTATATGTAGAAATGAATACATACACTTCTGAATATGTACATATATATATATATATATACATATATATGCGCATACAAACATGTGTATGTGTTTGTGTATGTGCATGTGTCATACCCGAAATCGCCCAAACCTGAATCTCTGAACCCTAAACTCTAAAAAACCATATCGTAAACTCCTGGTGAATCGAAATCACTGAAACCTACACCCCGTCACATTAAATCCAAACCCCTAAAGCTTATACCCTAAGTTCGAAATCCGGAAACCCTAAAGCCCATCGAAAGCCTGATCGAAATCTTATGGAATGCTTAGAAGTTTCTCAGAACTCTTGTAGAACCTTACAGAACACTTATGCAGATTGAAACGGAATGTGAACAGCCCATGACACCTCGAAGGCTTCGCCCTTGGCCCTTCGCGCGCACATCTGCCGCCAAAAGGGGGGCTTCGGGCTTTCGGTTTTGGGTTTCGGGTTTAAGATGTAGGGTTTAGGATGGGGGCTTTAGGGTTTAGGGTTTGGGGTGTATGAACATTAGAGTGTGGTGTTTAGAGCTTGTTTGCTTTGGGGCTTCAGAGTTTAGGTTCAGGGTTTAGAGTCATACTTGTCATTTGACTCTTCTTACCTTTGGTTATTAAGGAATGGAGGAATGGGATACAATTAAAACTTCTATTACTACCATTCTTCCATTCCCTACTAACCAAAGGTAAGGCTTACAGGCTTCTGGGAGCCAGGGGTCTGGGGCTAAGCAGTCTGGAGCTCCAGGCCTTAAGGTTTTAGGATTTTGGGCCTTCCGGGCTTTACCCAAAGGCCCCAAAGTAGTTCCTTTTTGGGGTTCATATTTAGAGTTCTATAAGGTAAACCCAAAAAGGAACTACTTTGGGGCCTATGGGTAGGGTCTAGCGGCTTAACGTTTAGGGTTTTTGTTTTAAACACCTTTTTCCGCCTGCCGAAGCCGCCGAAAGGTCTACGTTTAGGGGTTTAGGGTTTAGGGTTTATAGGGGGGGTAAGGGTTTAGGGTTTAGGGCGTACGGCTCAGGGCTTCTAGGATTTAAGTCTTTTGTAGGAGCAATGGCTTTGAGTTAAGGGCTTTGGGAGTAGAGCCTAGGCCTAGCTGTTGCTAAGATGTACACTTTCAGGGGCTTCTAATCTGAACACCGGTTAGTAACGTGGCATGTCCTCCATCGAGTGCAAACGGTAGTCAACACATGATGCCATGGCAACATATCCCAGAGGGTGCATCTATATTGCCACTAACCATCCGTACAATGGGGTTTCTGGGACCGAATTCCAAAACAGTACTGTGTGTGTCTGTGTTTAATGTATGTACCGATATGAATATATATATATATATATATATATATATGTATATATATATATACATATATATATATATACATATGTATAGATCTGCATGGGTTTAAGGTTTAGGGTTTAGGGTGCCCCAGATGGGTAGTTCTCTAACTTCGGGTCCGTTTTATAAGGGTGCCGTTCTTTTGGGGGGACCTAAACAGAAACCCTACTTTAGAGAACTATCCAAAAGATAAATCCAAGAGTACCCACGGCCCGGTAAACGACTGCAAAGGTAATCATAAACCTAATTTTGGGTTCTAGGTCACTGACATCAGAACAGTACACAATGACATAACAAAAACAATATGACTACGGTTGATGATATAAACCCTGCATTACCCATAATAAGGAATATTCCATAATTCCCATAGTTTAGGGTCCTTAAGGTAATGCAGGATTTGTATCATCAACCGTATCAGCTATCACGGACACAGACAGTAGGGCCTTGTGACTTGAAGCTCAAGCGCCAAGAATGACCCACCTTCCAAACTCACCGAAGAAACGGTTAAGGGTTTAGGGTTTAGGGTTTAGGGTTTAGGGTTTAGGGTTTAGGGTTTAGGGTTTAGGGGAAGCATCATGAGCAAAGCCTGAACCATGTTGGGCCTTTGCCTGCCGGGTTTAGGAAATGTGGGTGCAGGGTGAAAGGTCTCGGTATTGGCGCTGTGCACCCATGGTCGAAGTTCAAGCAGTAGGACCCCGAAGACTTCTAACCACCCACCTGATTGACATCTCCGGTGAAGTGCGGCAGCTTGCCGGTAAGTAGCACATACCTCAACGAGGAAGGTTTACCACCCTAAGCCTAAACCCCTAAACCCCTGAGCCCTAAACCCTAAGCCCTAAACCCAAATCTAGCTGTCAACCTTTTGGCCTACATGGCCAGAACGGAGCTTAGAGGCTAAGGCCTTAATATTTAGAATAGGGGATCCCTTTACAGGGATCCTCAAAGGGTTGTACAAGGGTTACTATCAGGGTATAACATAGGGGCCTTAATAATTTAGCATAGGGTTTGGGGGCCCATTATACCATGCTTGTTAAGAACCCCTCCCCCCCCCTCAAAAACAAAATATTGGTAACTATCTAAGCCCCTATATTACATTGGACTGTCGTTAAGAAATGGGTTGGAGTCATCTTCTTACCCTCGCACATGCACTCGAGGAGTCAGACGACCCGGGGTTGGCTTGCGTGTTGCCGTCCGCTGGCAGGGTTCCCTCGGGCTCCAAGTGTACAAATAGTACTGTCCCTACTTTCGGGTCTAGGTTTAAGTCTATGAGTAGTACAGTAATTACCTACTTTGGGAAAGTAGGAGACCCAGCAGGGGTTTCATGGGTGCTTGAGCTAAGTAGCAGAACCGGCGGTGATTTTCGCTCTCATGGACTGCAGTCCTGTGGTTGCAGCTTTTGTCTATGTGAATAGGGTTAGGGTATCGCTTGAAAACCTTCAGGGTTAAGAGGTGGCATACCCGGCTGCTTTGTTTTTACTGTTTCGGGTTCAGCACATGGCTGCAGCTTGCAATCAAGGCGTCAGAACTAACCTAACCGTCCCCAGGGAGTTTGGGCAGGTTTGACCGGTTGACAAACCTTCAACACACATTAACCCAACAAGAAGCCCTGAGCCCTCGGTTGAAAGCCGCAAGGCCTTGCCGCAAATCCAAACCCTCAACGAGGACTGCCTAAATCCTAACTTAGCCCCAAAGCTTTAACCTGATACCGAAAACCCTCCACACTCTCTTTCTCTCGGCTTGGCTTCCAGCAGCAGACAACCGAGACAGTAAAAGTCCAGTGGTGTTCCTTGCTCGGCTGTAGTTCAGAGGCTGTGGGTTCCTATGAGCGTCCTACCAGGACTTTGGGTTAGGGTTTAGGGGTTATGTGTTCAGGGTTTTACGATTCAATTCTCAAGGGTTTTACAGTTGCTCCTCGGAGCCGACTCAGAGCTTCCCGTGCTTGCTGAATTCTGGCTCTTGGTTTTCGGGTCTATACTGCCCTCTTCTTGAGCAGGGCAGGCTCGGGTCTCGGTTTTGGGGTTTAGAGTTTTCGGACTTAGGGTGTAAGGGTTTAGGGCTTTATAGGGTTTAGGGTCTAAGCAGTTTCTTGAGCAGGGTGGACGCTGCTAGGAAGGATTCGGCGGAGTCGCGGGGGGAGGGGCGTTGGGGGAAGGAAGGCGGTGGGGCGGGGGTTTATTGTCAGAATACAGAGCGTTGCACCAACCCACACGGAAAAGGCATACAATTACTTTCTTGGGGTTAATGACATTGCGTTAGGAACCAATGCCCAAAACAGAAGAGTATACCACTGAATGAATCTCGTAGAATAGGGTTTTGCGGTGCATTCTTGTATACTTTGAGCAGGCAATATAGGGACTAAACGAGCATTCTGTTGTAAATCAGAAATCGCAGCAACCCAGTTCCTGCCGTCGCGGCTGCGCTGCTCAGGGAGCTGCCTCGCCTCCACCCTTCTGTCAGTCGCCATAGAAGTCAGGGCTTCTTGAAGGAGCTTGTTCGCCTGCTCCTGCCTTTGAGCAAGAACCAGCACCGACTGCAAGACTTCCTTACACGAACCCCTTGAAGGGCCATCGTGTGCCTGTGTCGCCTCCATAATGTGCAGCGCCCAGCATAGCTACCCGTCTTTCAGCCGGTGGAGATCGCTGCCCTCCAGTGTCCTCCGTCGGCTCCTCTGCCATTCTCTCTTGCTTGCAAAGCCTGGAGTACCTCCGGGGTGTATTGCTCCCGTCGGACTGCTCATTGGAGCGAGTCCCCAACCGGAGTGTCCTGAGATGGTCAGGGGCGGCAGCTCGCTATGCAGGACGACTTCCTTTTCAACTGACACCTGGGTCTCTGCTACTTGGAGGTTCATGGGTTGTTATAAGTAGGGTTATAAGCAGGGGTAACTATACTTATAACCCATATTCGGGGACTTATAATCCCACTTATACCTACCCCTGAACCTCCAAGTACATGGTTGCTGTGCAGCCAAGAAGGCTCAGGGGCAAGGCTTCAGTCACAGGAGTTGCACTCTGCAGCTGGACAAGTGACTTGAGGCTAGCTGGTGTTTGTGAGGGCTGGGCCAGACCGTACCTGCTGTTGATGATATAAACCCTGCATTAGCCATAATAAGGAACATACCATTATTCCCATAGTTTAGGGTCCTTAAGGTAATGCAGGATTAATATCATCAACCGTGTGGACCAGTATGGGGCCCGGAACCTCAGGATTTATGTCATCAACAGTACAGAAGTCTTCCATTAAGGAAATCGGGCCCCTTAGGCCAGATCCCTGCTTCAGGGCTGTTTGGCTTTTGAACCACCGAAACCTGTACTATCTCGTTTTTTTTTTTTTTTTGGGGGGGGGGGGCTTGTTATAATTTATAGTATATTTTGCACCCAGACCCCTTCTAATTATTAAGGCCCCTATATTATTCGTGTACAGGTCGTTTTGGGCTCAGCCTGTATTAGGTGGCCCTTTAGATGAGTAACCCTGACCTTTAGGGGTCTCGGGTTTAGGGTTTAGGGGTCTTGATAATGAGAACAGTGTTTTTCGGGTACATTGTGTTACAAACTACTAACTATATAGTGACTATAAATGGGGAATATCAGCACTGATTCCCTTAACCCCTCAACCACAAGCAAAATTCAGAAGCCATAGTCGGCCAAGCAGCCGTGCCCCTCTCGCCGAATCATCTCCGGCGAGAGGTATAGCACAGTGCCTGCGGACAGCACTGCTCAAGGCTTTAGGGGAAGCTGGGTAATGCCTGGTGTTGAATACCGAGTAACAGTATCCCAAACTCCGTCCTGATCATCGAAGGCGCCTACGTTAGGGCCTTGTCGAAACTGCAGTGCCCTCTGTAAGAAGAGTCGGCACAAGTCTCCTCGTTTAGGTGGTATGCGGTGGTACGTATTGCAGGTTTGAAGTTTTCAACCCTAAACACAATCGTAGAGGACGTATGGGGAGTTGAGGGTTTGAGTGTCTGACCGTTGACTCAGGGTTTGTAGGGTATGGAACATTGAGAAACTTAACAACAGGTTGAACTGACATCCTAAGTGCACTGTTGTGATACATGCCTGTCCAAAACGGGAAGTTTTCGGGGTTTTCGATTCTAGGTAAGCCCAAAACCACATGTGCTTAGGGTTTACGGTGTTCGGTTTGCCATTCTTTGGTGTTCGCAAGATAGAGCGCGCAGGGGTCAGGGTTCTAGGGGTGTTAAGGTTCAGCGTTTAAGCTTCAAGGCTTCGAGGGTTTTTTTCTGGATAGCTTTGGGTTTGGGGCTTTGGGTTGAAGCCAAAATTCGTGGTTCCGCGGCTACAAGTCCAACTCCAAAGACGGATGCCAGAATGGAAGCTTTGGAAGAACCGAAATAACCAAACCCTGCAGCGAACTCCTCATCTACGTTGAAGCCCAAGCTTCCAACAGGGTTTGGAGCATCCAGCGTATGTGTGTGTGTATATATATGTGTGTTTGTGTACATACATACATAAAAACGAATGTATACAGATATATCTTATATGTATATACACACGTGTGTGCGTGTCTGTGTCAAAAAGACTGCAGACACTACCTGCAACAAACCACGGCCTCAAAATCAGACCCAAGCACCCCCTGAGATGACGTTCGAACTGCGGATCTGTCATCTCTATTTAGGATCTAGAGTATCCGTGAAGAGCCCACCCCGAAAGCTCTAGCTTCAAGGCCCTACAGCCCCGAATGAAAAATCAACGACAAGAGACTCGAAATCCCAAATTGCCAAAACCACCGTTCGTAAATTACGTGCAAAATGGTGACACGAATGCTAGCCCTTGACAAATGCAAAGACCTTGGACGTTTGTACGGTCACAATATGGCGTACTGATTTCAATTTCCTGGATATTAAAAAACATTGCGCCGTTAACCTGACGAGCCCTTGTAACGCCTGAAGCCCTTGTAAACTTTCCAATTTCTCACTGAAGGCATCATAAAAATCGCGAGAAATCGAATGGTCGACAGTGAAAACCCAGACCCACAAACCCCAAGCCCTAAACCACCGATGTACCCAGGCCTACGAACGACTGAAACAGGGCAGACTCCGTGAGGTTCTCCTGCAAGCAGAGAAAATGCGGGTCTGCTAGTTTCGTCAAGTGTCTATTTGAGGTGTTATAGGGTTGATGTGGGTTGTACATACGGTTTGGGGATTTCAGGTTGCTAACAACTTAGGTTTTTGCAGGTCCAAAGTCCCACGGTTAAGGTTCAAGGAGAACGGGTTTAATGCATTTCAGGATATTCGCGTGTCGGGGTTAATTGACTAAACTACAATACTAAACACAAGGTGCTGCAGAGTTGCAAGGTGTTGTAGGAATGTGATTTTTAGGTTTCCAACCGACTTTATGAGGTCCGATGCAATGACCGAGAGCCAGAAAAGATCGGTTGGGTCGACAATTATATATACTTGTATTGCAAAAGCTTGCATAATGTCAGGTGCCAAGTTCCGGGGATACAGTTTGGGTCAAAGATTTGTGTGGCAGGCTTATCGGTTTTCCGCTTGGGGTGTTTACGTAGTTCAGCATTACAACTTGGAGGGTTTGTGGTGCTCGGCTTCAGGATGCCGGGTTCAGATCTTGGCCCGTGCGGTACTTGGGGATAGCACCGGTAAATGCAGAAAACGAGCCCCCGACGCACCAAGACATAAATGCATACGCATGTAGTGTACGTGCGCGCGGATATGTACAAGAAGCTGCAGATTGTGAAAGCCGAAATGGATGGTATTTCTGGCTGGGCAAACGTTCGAGCGTACTGAGAGCAATTGCCTCGAGACGCCGTAGCCTCTGGGTAGATGAACTTTTTAAGCGGCGGAAGTCTAGCAACAGCATGAGTTTTGTGCTGTTGTAAGTGGTCCGTTGATGGTTCCGACGGCATGTGCATCTCTCACGATTCCAAGACCCAGTTGCAATAATTCTAGTGTGTGCTGGTCTTGGGTGAAAATGCCACAATTCAACCGTGCCTGATTTGCCGAACAAATTTGATTTTGCCTGTTTCCAGGTCATCCATGCTGGTTACATATATCCCCAAGCATGTGCACGTTGGTATCCGGAACGACTACAAACTTTGAGGCGCAAGTACTTCGGCATTTGTCACATGGGTATATTATAGTTTAATGTGAAAGCTTCAACCAAGCATTAGCGTCAAAAAAATGGAACTACAATTTCCTTGCCGTGTTGCTTTACGCCAGAACACTGCACTGTGTTGACTGTTAGCGGTTGCTTTACAATCTCCCAATCTGTTATCAAATTTTGTCCTTATGTATCTGTTCAGGACTTCTGTTCGAGACAGGTTGGGCGGGTTCTTTGTAGGTGAGTTTTGGAATGTGGAATATGACATTGACCTTGGAGTACGCACGTCTCTCAACTGACTCCTTCCTGCTCGAGCTCGTTGCTGAGAAAGATCGGATGTTTGTGGTGTGCCGGGAGGTACAGATCAAGGCCCGTCTATGCAAAGAAGAGAGGTTTGGGTTGAGCTGTGTTGAAAGCATCGCACAACATTGAGGAGGCCCGGAAGGCCATGTTGTTGCACAAAAACAGCCTGCCAGGCATCTCCAAACCAAGGCAGTTCACAAGATAAGGCAACGCATTGCGCACATAAGCAAAACCGTTGGTCTGTACATCAAGGGCACAGTAAGCTCCAGGCGTGTTGTCTTGTTGTTGCTGCTGGGCCCTGCTTCCACACTACTCAGGTCGGTGTGCTGCAACATAAATTTTTCGGACTTGGCCTGACGTGGTGCGAGAATCCTGTGCAAGCAAAAGCGCCCATGGTTGGAATGGCTCGCCTATGCACCGTTCCCTCGCTCTATGCAAATGCACGATGGCATTCACAGTAAAGGAGCTTCGGTATTGACGCTTCTAAGACCAAAGTCGAAGCATTGAACTCGACATGTCAAAATGCTCACTACCCATAGGCCCCAAAGTAGTTCCTTTTCGGGATTAACTTATAGAAATCTATATATGAACCCCCAAAAGGAACTACTTTGGGGCCGTTGGGTAACCTCTTGCCTCATGTGGACCCATGCGATGCACCTAAACATGCACCTGGCCTAAGCAGGACTGCACGACCCTCGGGTCGCAGCCCAAAGTCCGTTGCGGCTTCGAGGATTTAGGTTGCGTGCCAAGGTTAAGGTATCAGGTTGTTCAGGGCAAAGGCTTTAGGAGGAAGTGGGCACCAACAAGACTTCCTGCATGTCGCAGCTCCAAAGACTTGATGCTTTCGCGAATATTCGACTGCCTTTATGGTGTCCGTTCAATAGAAGTTTGGTATACCAACCACCGTGAGATGAACACACACACACACACAAGACACTTCCTTGCATCCCGAACCCTGAGCCCATGGGTTGAGGGTTCAGGGTCTTTAGGTTTGCGGCTTCAGAGCCCTAAGCGACTGAGGCACGACAAGGGCTGTTGATGAGCTCACTCTTTGGGAAACCACTGTGGTTTCAACGGCGTGTTGGGGATATCTGTTGCCCTACACCCGCAACCCTACACCTTAAACCCTAAACCCTGAGCCAAAAACCCCGAACCCTAAACCTCTAAACCCTAAACCGTCTCCAACCCTCAAGGCAGTAGTTGCGACAGAAACATAATCGGAAGGTCTCGAATACAAGGGCCTTAATGACTGGAATAGGTTTAGGGTTTAAGGTTCAGGTGATTCCTTTAAAGGAGCTGACGCACTTCTACAAGGGCTAGTCAGAGTATTTTGGGGTTGTAGTGCAGGGGCCTTAATCACTGGAATCTGTCTTTATAGGGCTCCTACAAGGGCGGTATTGGGAGGTTGTGTGCAGGGGTCTTAATCGTTGGAATAGGGTTCCTTTATCAATACGACCGCCAAAAAATTCGATCGCTGGTGGTTTCTGCCTTCAGGTCAGGTGGGAGTTTCCGAAAATAGGGGACCCTAATATAGTACCCTAACTAGTAGGATCCTTACTATAAGGACCCCCCCAAAGTAAGGTACTTCTATTTTGCGGAAACTCCCAGGTCTCAAACCTCAAGGAAAGCCCGACGACCAGCCTCAACGGGTTTGGCAGGTACACCGGTTTAGGGTTCAGGGTTTAGGGTTTCTTTTTTATTTAGAGGGCCTTTTTGAGTCTGCATGACAGAGTCTGACAGGTTTAGGGTTCAGGGCTTAGGGTTGTCACACAGACCGACGGTTTCGGGCTTAGGGCTGTTTAGGGCTTGGGTTTAAAGACCTTGCGAGCTGATTGCAGGGTTTCCCGATAATAAGATAATATGTACCTATATGTATACACGCGGATACGTATACATGCGTGTGCGTGTATGCGCGTCACCCGAACATAGATCCCAACCTGACAACAAGTGTACCAATGATCATTTTTGTGGGCTTGATAGTGTGCTTGTATGAGGCAGGGAAGCGCAAGAATAGAACTACCAATTGTTGACGCCCTTAAACCCTTCATGTGAAGAAAATGGAGACTTCCGAAACTAGGGGATCCTAATATAGCACCCAAAATAGTAGGATCCCTTTTATAAGGAGGCCCAAAATGAGGTACCGCCCCAAATTTTCGGAAACTCCGAAATGGGAAACGAAAAAGACTCTGCACCCCAGACAGCACGCAAGGGGCCTTGGAGAGGCCAAAGTCGGTCAATCGAATGTGACCTGTTGCTTTGCTTCAAGCTTAAAGGGAACCCTTAAAGGAACCCCTTATAGATCCCTTTAAAGGAGCCCTAGGGATTTATATCGTCAACCGTAGGGCTGAGGTTAAAGGGAACTCCAGAAAGTTGGAATATGGTTTCAGGGTAGGATACCCTATAATTTACCATAGAAGGGTTAGGAGAATCATATTCCAACTTTCTGGCTTTTACCTTAGATGCTGAGTTCATAAGCCCCCAAAAAGGGTTTAGGGCTTAGGGTTGAGGATTTAGGGGACTCTCTCACTTTTATATTGGGTAAGATTGTCCAACGAAGTGTCAAGTGTGTCCACTCAGCTACTAAGGAAGGGGTCAGCATTTGAGGGTTCAGGATTTAAGGTTTTGAGGGTTCAGGGTTTAGGGACTTGGTTGAAGGTTCCGGGTTCAGCATTTAAGGTTTAGAGGGTTGAGGGTTTTGGGCTCCTGCTTCGACCCTAAACCCACACGAGTTGAAAACCCTGAACTCTACACCTGCAGCCCTAAACCCTAAACTCTAAATTTCAAACCCTAAACCCTAAACCTTAAACCCTAACCCCCAACCTTAAACCCTAAACCCTGAACCCTAAACCCTGAACCCTTGAATCCTGGGACTTCGGATATCAAGACTTGTGGATTTCGGATCCTATGGCGAAGCTTGCTCGGGCACTTTGCTGTGAACCCAAACCACCGTTTCCAAACCTGTAGGCCATGTAGGTCTTTTGGGCTTGGGCTACATAAACCCTTAAACCGCAAAGCCACCAAGCGTGCAAACTATGTGCAACATGTTACCAACCTCCTAGAAGCTCTATAAATCTGCAAGTACCGGTTTGGGCCGGATCCATGTTTGAAAGCTGGCCCTTTCGAGTGCCGTAGTCCTGTTTACTCTGCGATAGGCCAAGCAGCCCGCTAGAAGCTTCCGGTTCTGGTAACTTGAATCCAAAGCCAGAAAGCCAGAAAGTTGGAATATGATTGTCCTAAACCCTTTATTGTAAGTTATAAGGTATCCTACCCTGAAACCATAATCCAACTTTCTAGAGTTCCCTGTATAAACAATCCAAGTGCTGGATTGCAGGTTAGTGCTTTCCCATGGCTCGGCTTGCCAAAGAGTTAAGATGCCACCTCCGTTCTCGCGAAACCCTAAACTGTGCACCCTAAACCCTAAACCCTAAATATCCGAAAACCTTCATGCCCCTAAGCCGTTAACGCCTGACCTGAGCCGAAACTCCCATTTGTCCCCACACTCCGACTTACACTAAACCCTGGACCCCTAGACGCCATGAAACTAAACCAAAAAACCCACCAGAACCCCAAACTCTAAACCTCAAACGCTAAACCCCAAACTCAAAACTCTTCACCCCAAACTCTGAACCCTAAACCCTGAACCCTAGAGCCCTCGAGCCCCAAACCCGAAAGCCTAAGGACAAAGTGCAAGGCCTTCGGCATCCAGGAGGCAGTTCTCGGGCTTCAAGTCGCGATAAAGGATGCCCTGATGCTTTAGGGTTTAGAGTTTGGTGTTTAGAGTTTAGGGTTTAGGGTTTAGGGCTTTTTGCCATAGTCTCCATTGTAGTTAATTTTTTTGGTTACCCAGAAATTTTATGGTTAGGATCCTAGAATACCGATTTTGTCTAACGGAAAAAAGAACTACAATGGAGACTATAGGTAGGTGTTTAAGTTGAGGTGACTTTTGCCTGCCGGCTCTCAACTAGCATGTGCGGTTTAGGGTTCAGGATTTAGGGTCATGAGCTTATAGGGGTCAGGGTTTGCGGTTTGAAGATGGGCCGTAGGGTTTGAGCCCTTCTTTGAGGGCTCAGGGTTTAGGGTTTGAGGCTTTCTTTCAAGACTTAGGGTGTAGGGTTCGTGGATTTCTTTACAGGTTGTGTTTATGCGGGCCCTTTTCTTGGTTTAGTGTTTAGGGCTTGAGGCGTTCTTCAAGGGTTTGGGGTTTATAGGGTTTGAGGCTTTCTTATTGCAGGATGTAGGGTTCTGAGGGTGTCTTAAAGGGTTTCGCGTTTAGGGCGTCAGGGTTCCTTCAAGGGTTTAGGGCTTAAGTTTATTGCATCAGGGCTTCTTTATGTGCCTAGGGTTTTCATAAGGGGTTCTGTAAGGGTTTGTAGACGCACCATAGGAGGAAGTATGCTTATGAGCTGGGGTTAGAAGGTTTAAAGAGTTTGGGCTTGAACTTTCAGGGATGAGGGGCTCGGGGGCTTTGGGTTCTAGGTTCTGGTTTTCGGGCTTAGGGGTTGTTTAGGGTTTGTTTTTGGTTACGGCGCCTGTACGCGCCTATGCGTTTTTAGCGATTTCAGAATGAGGCGTTTTGCATGGATGCGTGCGAAACCACAGCGAGAGCGCAATCTCACAGAAAATTATTGTTCAGGCAGGTGCGCGAAACACTAGAGGCTGAAGTAAACTTTGGGCCTAACTGTTCTCGCTCGGGTTTTAAGCTCATTTTTGAAGAGGCTGCAGAACAAAACTTTATTTTAGAGATAGTTTGTTTAAAGTATCGACTTGTCTTAGGTCTTAGGTTAGACTTAGGGTTAAGGATTGGGTTTATGTTTGGTTGTACAAAGAGGCGAAAACGCTGCAAACACCAGTGTTTTGGGCATGGGCGCAACATGAATGATGTTCTCATCCCCCCCCCCTCCCCACCCCCGCCACCCCCTGCCCCACCCCCCACCCACCCCAATACCCTGAAACCTGCAAAAACGCATAGGCGCGTACAGGCGCCGTCACCTTGTTTTTGGTGTTTGTTTCGGAGGGGGGTGGCTAGGGTTTAGGGGTTTGGGGTAGTTTAGGGTTTAGGGTAAGGACCCTCCTAACTACGCAGTACGCCGTGGAACAACATTACCGAAAGTCCTGAGCACTGACGCTCCCTAGTTCGACTCTTTAGAGATGGTTTATGTGTCACATCAGGGTTAATCTAGGGGCCTTAATAATTAGAGTAGGGCTATGGGCCCTTGTGCTATATTTATAATAAGGAACCTCCACAATAGTGTAGGCTATTGTTAAGGCCCCTAGAGGAACTCTGAAACTGTAGTTTGTCTCCTTCATCGAGCGCTGCTGCGGATGCTTCATGTCCTCGTGCTCTGCATATGTCACACAGCTGCTTCATCGAAGCAAAGAAGGGGCCTACGGAAAATGGGGGCGGGAGAGCGGGGCCTTGGAGCACCCGAAGTCGGGTGAAAGGAGCTGCGCTCATCAAAGCTCCCAAAGCGCAGACTTGGGGAATTGGGGCCCACATGATAGCCGGTTTAAGGTTCAGGGTCTGCGGTCGTCCTACTTGTATCAGGAACCCCACACCCAAAGGCTCCATGTACCCATATCCTAGGTACTTAAGCCTTAAAGTAGCCATATAGGGACCCCTTTAAGGCCTAAGAACCTACTATATGGGTACATGGAGCCTTAGGGACATGCTGCTCCCCATGACTACACCACATCACATCCCAGATGAAAACTTGGACCCTGGAGCGCTGATCCCCCCGGATCCTGAGATCCCAAAGAGTCCTATGTACCCCAAGGGTTTAGGGTTTAAGGTCCAAATACCCAATGATCATACACTCTCCCAAATCCTAACCTACAAAGCTACTATCCTAAAGCCGAATACCTGATTATTGGGTCCTTTGGACCCTTGGGGTACTGTTATGGTGGATACGGCCCCTGAGTCATAATAGTAATTCCTAATATGGAAGCCCTACATTCAACTATATCGGTACATTGGACCCTTTGGGGGTTGAGTGAATCCTCAGTAAGTTTGCGTTCATGTGTCGTAGATCACCCTGCACTGATATGCCCCATACCCTGCACCTCAAACCCCAAAGCAAATGTATCAATTGCACACCCGAGCACCTCAAACCCCAAACCGTACAAACGCATTTGCAAGTTCGACGTTCCAAGAGACAACGCAAGCTCATCTCGCCAAATGTACATACAGTAAGCAGAGGATGCAAGCAAATAAACAAGTATCTATATATGATATAGCCTAAACCCTATAACTAGGCCTATAATTAGAACGATATAGAAGCCTGAAGTAGCGTCTTTGTAGCTAGTAACCCCTCTGTTTGCCCGAAACCCCACCTCCTCCTTCAGGTGAAGGTCTGGGTTTTGCAAACCAAGCCCTCGTGTTTTTGCCTACCCACAAGAGTCCCAGTGCTTGTATAGTATATAGTGTTTCGGGTTTAGGGGTTAGGTGACCCGAATTTCCTTAGTTGTATATATATATATACATATATATATATATGTGTGTGTATGTCGGAGCCACGTTAAGGAGGCAGTAGAGAGCTCCGCCAAAGAAAGCTTTTCGGCAAGCGATCTAAGCTACAGTGAGACGCTCAGTCTGCAAAGTAGTCTAGTGCTTTCAGAACGAAAGAGCGATAATCTGTCGTGTTCATGGCACCGAGTTCGCCCCGCAGCTGCTTGACCGGCTTGGCGAACTCCTTGATCATCCGCCGGTAGATGGGCACGTCGCCACAGCACATACTTCGAACATCTACAGGTCCGATCCTGATCCAAAAGGCTTGAAACCATCCTAACCTCAAATGCCCAAGCCTAAACCCCTAGCCTCCACAAACCCGAATACCCTATATTAGAGGATTTGCAGTGGTTGGGAAGTTGAGTCTAAATTTCCAGTCAGACGGCTCGCTTGCAGCTGTCGGCCATTGCTCACAGCTTACATCTGCACCCATAAGAACCCAGAAACTCCAATACCCCTTGACTAAGGATATTCCTTAAAGTATAATAGGATCCCTAATATGATCTAAGCAATATTCCGTAATTGAGGGATATTGGAGTCTTGGGGGAACTGCAAGCTCGGACGAGGCATGCGTGTTGCGTGGGTCTGGTTCTTAGTAGGGGATGGGGAAGGGATCTCTATAGTAACCCCTGTATAATCCCCAATAATAGTCTCCATAATCCCTTCCCCCATTCCCTACTAAGAACCAGGCAGATAACTTGTGCGAGCGTCGGCTGCTATCTCTCTTGGGAATTCTCCAAGGGTAAAAGGAGGGACCCTTAATGGGGACCCTACCCTATAATGGGCCATATCCTGGGTATATAATAGCTATATTAACTGTATATATACCTAGGGGTCCTTATTAGGGGTCCCTCCTTTTACACTTTGAATTTCGGCCTGAGGAACCCAGAACTTTCAAGTCTGAAGCCAAACATGCTTTAACCGACAAGGCGCAATGTTAAAGCCTAACCCGGACGTGGACCCAAACTTCAAACTAACTCCAAAGCCTAACACCGCAAAGAACTCAAATCGTAAACCCCTAAACCCAAACCCGAACTCCCCCGAACCCTAAACTCATTCCGGGAAACCCCAAGTCCAAACCCTAACTATCTGAGAGTCCCCTCCATCTCTTCTGGCCAGGACCACTGACACTGCCTCCTTGGATTGGTTTGGGGGCTTAGAGTTCTAGGGTGCAGTTTGTTTTGCTTGATGCTTTAGGGCTGCTGGTTTAGGGTTTGGGGCTTCGGGTGTACGCTGAATAGTTCGAATGGGACATCGGGGTGAAGCAGAGTAGAAGCTAGCTAAGTGAAGGAACAGTATAATTGTAATCGTGAATATTCAGGCTTCTGCATTAGCCTGGACACCGAAAACCCGACACAAGAGCGAGGCAAGGTTGCGGCAATCAGAGCTTCAGAACATTCGGGAATGTCTCAACATGTGGGCGAGCCAACCTAACCCTACATCCCAAAACCCTAGAACCGTAATCACACCAAATCTGCAATTGCCCTAAACGCCAAAAAAACACCAACCCTAAACCCTAAACACCAAAGCCCCTTAGCCCTGAAGCATACTCTGAATTCACCTTGCGACCCAAGTGCAGTGGATGTGTGACCCAGCCTTCGGCATCTACCAAATCAGACTTTTGCCAGCCGACCTGCGGTGGATGATATAAATCCTGCATTACCTTAAGGACCCTAAACTATGGGAATTATGGTATATTCCTTATTGTGGGTAATGCAGGATTCATATCATCAACCGTGCCGCCAATTTCGGGAGTGCCCATCTCTGCAGGTTCCAAGTTTTAGGGTATCTGGGTTGAGGGCTTCATTCGGAGTTCGAGGGTTCGAGGCCCTAAACCCGAAACCCTAAGCCCTAAACCTAAGCCCTAAACCCTACTCCCTAAGCCCTAACAACCCTAACCTAAACCCTATAAACCCTAAACCCCAAAGCTAAACCCTCAATGCTTCATGAATCTCAACCCAGAGACTCCAATATCCCTTAATTAAGGAATATTCCTTAAACTATAGTAGGGATCCCTAATATGATTTAAGGAACATTTCTTAATTAAGGCATATTGGAGTCTTTGGGAACTTGCGAGTCGGCTTGCTGCCGATCTCAGGCGTTTTGCAACCTCACTCCCCCAAGAACCACAGAAAACAAGGTTTAGGGTTTAGGGTTACCTAGACCCGCCAACTACCCTCTGTTAGACCCTGAATGCCCCTTATTTGGGACCATATACCCCTAATTGAGGGTACAAGGAGGGTCCTGGTAGACTTTACGGTTCCTACTAAACTGCACGAACCCGAAAAGTTTAAAGGTTACGGTCTTGGGGAGCTAAACCCTAAACCCTAAACCCTAAGCCCTAAACCCTCAACCGCTAAGCAACGGGATTGATGCTTTTTGGCTCATGGCCAATGCGTCTCGCCTCCGAACACCAAATAACAAGACTTCCCAAGCTCAAAAGCCAGAACCGTTTAACACAGATGCTTGTAAAAATAGAATAGGGTTTCGGGGCATAGTCTATACGGTATAGTATACTACATTGCTAGCAAGGAAACCTTGCAAATAGTATGGCTTCTTTCTTCATATGGGTAGTTCTCCAAATTAGGATCCCTTCTTACGTCCCCCAAATGGTACGGCAGCCTTATAAGAAAGGACCCCTAGTTGCGGAGTTCATAAGCCCCCAAAAGTGTACGCTTTCAGTTTCATAGTGAGTAATATCATCCCCAAAAGTGTAAAATGTATCCACTCAGCTACTAAGGACCCTAAAAGACCCGAGTTTCGAGAACTGCCGACATGGCTTCGGCCTTGGGGGAGCCTACAGTGAACCCCAAAAAGTTGAAAACCGGATGAATGCCAAATAGTGCTGGGGCCCCTTATACATTACTCTTCAGGGCTGAGGCTATTGGGTTTCCAACGTTTTGGCTTCTACTGTAAAGGCTTGCTTCTGCTTTCCCTAGACCCAAGAGTAACCCAGGAATAAACAGGGTGTCGTTTTTGGTTTGCTTATAAGGGAGCCTGAACCCTAAAAAAGGGGATAAGGGTGCAACTTTCAAGAACCCTCCCGGAAGCGGTTTAGGATTTATGGCTTAAAAGTCCCCTACGGCTTGCACCCCCAAAACCCTAATCCCCTAGACCCAATTACCCTACACCCCGGTCCTTCTTCAAGGTGGTCTCTTCCGGGCAGACGAAAAGGTAGCAAAGATTGTTGCGTTCAGACTTCACGTAATCCCATGCGACGAAACGGACCTGAGAGTTTAGGGCTTCGGAACTAGCAATCTGGATTTTGCGTTCAATTGCAGTGGTGGCCAGATTGGGCACGGTCCTGACAATACTTGGAACTTGGAACATTAGTAGTGGGCTCTAGAACCCAAATGAGTGATCGCACCAGACCAACATCAATACTACACAGCGAACGATAGTTAGTGGTGCCACCGTGGCATCAAGCCAGCGAAGTAATGTGCTCTCGGCCTACCGCAGACTTCAAACGAACTTCATACAAGGCCATTATTCGCCATTCAACCAGAAAGCAAACATATCAGGAGACACACTATAAAGCCAGCACTTAGACACAAACCCGGAGGCTGAAAAAACAGAAAAATGAACCCTGTACCTCCTCCTGCCGCTCTTGGTCTCTCGGCCCTCTAAAGACCCTAAGGCTCCATGAGCCCATATAGTAGGTACTTAGGCTTTAAAGGGGTCCCTATATGGCTACTTTAAGGCCTAAGTACCTACTATATGGGTACATGGAGCCTTTGGGAGAAGCCCCATCGAACCCGTATAGCAGCCCGTGGCAACGCCTTCCACGAATATTGATAGCAGCCGTCAGAATAAACCGAAAACAATCCCGATAGGATTTTGGAGCCCTTCAATTAGCACGAAAGTATGAAGCTTCACTCAATGTCTAAACCTGCATTACCTTAAGGACCCTAAACTATGGGAATTATGTTCCTGATTATGGGTAATGCAGGATTATATCATCCACCGTATTTGTATTCCTGAAGCCGTAGGGAATAAAGCCTCAAAAAGTCTCGCAGCCAGCGGGCGGCTAAAGACTGGCTCTTCAGCTCCCCGTCAATCAATCGGAGGCATTCCTAGGCATCTCCCGGAAAGGCAGGGTCTGACGGTTCAGGGCTTAGGGCCTAAGGCTAAAACAACTACGAAGGGTTTAAGGAGGTCTATGCTGGCTTACTGAATTTATGTTTAACGGGCAGTGGGCTTATTTGGGTTTTAATAAAAGTTTGGGGGGTTGTGTATACTGCTGAATCGGATTTTAGCATGCAGCATATCGTGCAAAGCGAGCGTGAGAATTCAATTCAGGGTTTCAGGGTGCTTTGGGGTGCAGTGTTCGAGTGATCTTCGGCTGAGGTTGGGCCTCAGGCTTGCTGCTTTGGGCTCAGGTTTTGTCTGTGGTTTAGGGTTTCAGGCTGTCGGGGTTTAGGGCTTCACGCTTGAAGGTTTAGCTACACCTCCCAACTACCTTTCATTGTAGGATATCAGACCTGAACCCTTTAAAAAGGTACTTGGGGTCCTGGTACCGTTTCAAGCTTTGGGGCTAAGGGCTTTGAAGACGAAGAGATCGGGCTCAACGTCCGAGGATGTTTCAGGCATTTGTCACCATCAGAAGGCTGCTACACGAAGCTGTTCAGTAACCCATTGGGAGAATCATATAATTCCCTGGGTTGTGATACTACATGAGGACCCAAAACCACAAAAACACAACAAAGGACACCACTGAAAGGACATCCCAGTACCGGTGAACAGGGATCCATATCTTCGGAAAGATCCGCGAGAGGCGTTGGCTGGACCACCACCTTAGCCGGCAAAACTTAGCACCTGCTTGGAGCTTACAAGCTCAATAGATAATTCACCGCCATACAGGTCCAAGTACCCCAATCGTCTACATATATGATATATATATATATATATATATATATATGTTGCCCCCCCCCATGGATCCACCGTTTGTTGGCTTCATGTACGCGCCGTCGACAACGTCGTTACACAGTTGTTCTTCAAGGGCCCAGGGCAAGGATTTGGGGGTTTAGGGAGCCTAACTGAAAAACCTAACTGACAAAACCTAACTGAAAAAACCCACCTGAAAAAAACCTAACTGAAAAAACCTAACTGACAAAACCTAAAAAACTTAAAAAACCTAAATCTCGAGAGTCTTGTCATGGATATCTCGCTGAAGGACTTCCCGAGTTTAGGTTTTTTTAAATTTTTTCAGTTAGGTTTTTTTCAGCTAGGTTTTTCAGTTAGGTTTTTTCAGTTAGATTTTTCCGTTCGGCTCCGGACACACTGTCTGAAGCTGTTTGAAGCCAAGTGCTCAGTTTACACATTCTGCGTTCTGTATTCTCGATCGGGCCATATGGATGCGGTGTTTGAGCGCACGTCGTCGCTTCCCGACGAGATGATCGCAAAGATTTGAGACTTTACACGTCGTGTCTGAGTTCAACTTGCTTACACGATGCTGATGCTCATAATGCTTCCTAAAAACAGCACATATTCTAAAGTGAAGAACCTCAGAACCAAGCCGTGCCTACAGATCCTACAGAAAACGAAGTGTTTGTCGGCTACCTACCCGATGACACTTGTTCGCATCTTTAAAGCTTTGTCGTGATGTTTTTTCCTTATGTCACTTGTTCATGAAGCTGGTGCTTTATGTGCCGAACATGTTTACCAGGATCTCGAGTGCTTCGTGTTGGTGAGCCGTTTTTCAAAATGATGGCAAGTGGTGAAGAACATCTTAGTCAAGCTGAGCGTTCATTCTTTGGTCTGTAAATATTGGTGAAATCACCAACGGGTATTCAACAAGATTCATAAAGGTATAAAAGGTTTCTATAATCTATGGGTATCTATATGAAGTCCTTTAAGATGTAAAGAAGGAGTATCGTGTAAGGTGTTCTATATGCTCTTGTTTTTGATTTCTTCATTGGGCACATAGCAGGTACAGCGCAGAGCATTCTGCTCCTGATTTTCCTCCCATTAATCCGTTATCTATAAAGTATTCTACAAGGCATTCTATGGTGCATTCTACGGTGATGTTATGGAATATTCCATAGGGTTTTCTTTAGGACTTCCTATGGGGTACTCAGAGGGTATCATAGACATTGTGTATATTCTGTAAGCTAGTCTGTAGGGGATTGCAGATGATATTCTACAAGGCCTATAAAAGGCCGAGTATGTAACGTTGTTTTGGGCTCTCTATCGGGTACTCCATAACGCATTGTATAAAAGATTGTACAAGGCATTAGGCTATACGGCTATAGGGTACTCAAGAAGGTATACATGAGGTATACAGGGGGTATTCTATAACGTATTACCTAGGGTCACCTGTACGAAATTCTTTGAGGTTTGTGGTATTCTTTAGGTTATTCTCTTCGACTCCTGGATCACTCCTAGAAATCCCTTACCCAATAGGGTGCTTCTTTATGAGGGGTTCTCAGATCTTGGGCTCGTTGAAAGGTTATCTATAGGTGTTCTTACTTCCCAAATACCAATGGGGGTGTAACAAATTTAAACTTTCGCAACGAGACTACCTTATTAGGGGCCAAAAGTTGACAAGTTTGGTTTTGAGCCACTAAGTGTTATATGGGTTCAGGGTATATATACTGTACACATGGACTGTCATGTATAGGGCCATATGGGCATTCTGTAAGGTCTTCTATAAAGTATTCCAGACGGTCTTCCATGAGGCGCACGACATATAGAGGGTACTCTGTGTTCCATGAAGTATTTTGTAGGGTACTCTATGTCTTATTCTGTAAGATGCTCTGGATACTCAAAAGATATATGGGCTATGACTGAAAGTATATGATAAGGTATTCTAGAGCCTCCTAGGGTATTCAATAACGCATGAGGGTGTTCTATATCAGTGCATTCCATATGAAAGGCTTCAATATACAAAGAGAAAGTATTCTACAGGACATCCTATAAGATATTCTATATAGTGTCTTGTATAGAGTGTCCTATACGGTATGTGTAATATAATGCGTGCGGGGTGTATCATATATAGGTGGTCTTGTATACGGTATGCGACAGGATATTCAAATGGAATTCTACAAGATATAGAAGTTATGAGAGTGGAATTTTGCAAAGTATTCTAACATGTCATCTAAAGGGTATTATATTGGTGAAATACAAGGTATTGAACCCTGAAAGTATCGATAGATTTCGTGTTCACGGACATTATCTATAATCTCGATGTGTCTTATATATGGGAGGTGTAGAAATAGGGCCCTCTTTTAATATCTATACTTGTCGTGATAGTTACTATGTTATATGGGATGATATATCTTTGCTTTCCTGTTGCATGTTACCTTCAGAGCCCATACTGCTGCATGCAAAAACCTATACACACACAGGACATGCATGCAAGCTTGCGTTCTTTTGCAACGCGAGAAGAAGCCGTACGCGAATGTATGTCGCTTGGAAAAACTCAGGGTGTATATGAAGGAAATGCAGAATGTAGGATGTGCGAAATCGATGATGACGTCGAAGCGTATTTAGTGAAGGACTTATAAAGAGAAGGGAATACGGGATAGAATATCAACTATTTCGCATCCGGCTCTCAAACACACGAAAAAGGTGGATCCTTGAGGGGGGGGTAGCATATATATATATATATATACACATACACACACACACACACACACACACTTTGGCCTTAGTTTGGGCACTTCGCCCTTTAGAGCCAACGACTGAAAGTAAGTCCAGGTGCTGCCTCCTCTTTCAGCCACGGGTGCGCCAAGTCTTTCAGACGTTCTGCCGTCAACTCTTCCGGCATCCTCGTGCTGGTTGCTTTAGTATAGTATACGATAATCGGCTATGTTATGTTCTATCATAGTCTATTAAATTCTATTGTATTCTAGTATGGTCTGTCATAGTATGGTATTGGGGTTTACTGGCCCGGGCCCTAATCAGGCCCTGAACCCTCGTCCTTAAGGGTGATGTAACGGTGGTTAGAGGGCTGGATGAACGCAAGGTGCCCACGGAAAGTTCACCCCAAAATCCTGGGCATCTAAGGACTCATATGTTGAGGCTTTTGGGCCCAAAGACCATATTATAGAAGGCTTCTGGTACAGTACCCATGTAGCGATTACATGAAAGCCAAAGTCTATACTATCTGTATATACTACATGAGTATATACATCATACAAGGCAAATTATGCAAACAAACATGGGCACCCAAAGCAATTTCAAACAAAAAGTGGACGGTTAGGGTGACGGAGCTACTAACTCAAAGGGTCCCAAGTACCTATATGGCAGAAATCTGATTTGGAAAAGTAGTCCCATGATGCTACGCCACCCGTTTAGATGGACCCTATTATGGAACCCTTTAGTCCCCTTTTTTAGTGCCTAGGACCCTTTGGGTACTTAAAAGATCATGGGACTTAGTAACTAAGGTTATTATTAGGGCACCTACACTTATAACTACTTATAACCCCAATTAAGGTACTTAGAACCTTAAACTTACTAAGTCCCATGATCCTCCCAAGTAGACCCTAAACCCTACAGATCCCTTTATAAGGAACCCTATAGATCCCTTTAAGGAGCCCTTTAAGGAGCCTTTGGGGGTAAGGCTAAAGGAGAGCCCGAGGTTCGCTCTTCGATCGGCTGCACCGGAAGGGCTCGCGCCAAGGTGTGCGTTGAAACTCTCGTGGGGGCCTCTGTCTCCCTTCGTACCCGGAGACTCCAATATCCCTTAATTAAGGAATGTCTAGGGTTCCTTGAAGGGATCTATAAGGGATCTATAGGGTTTAGGGTTTAAACTCCAATATCACTTAATTAAGGAATGTCCCTTAGATTAGAGTAGGATCCCTAATACGATTTAAGGAATGTTCCTTAATTAAGGGATATTGGAGTCTCTGGGTCGTGCCCGGAGACTCCAATATCTCTTTAAAGGGATCTATAAGGGTTCCCTTAAGAGTTCCTTTAAAGGGATCTATAAGGGTTCCTTTAAGAGTTCCTTTAAAAGGGATCTATAGGGTTTAGGGTTTAGGGTCCCCAGAGACTCCAATATCCCTTAATTAAGGAACATTCCTTAAATCGTATTAGGGATCCTACTCTAATTTAAGGGACATTCCTTAAGGGATATTGGAGTCTCTAGGTGGTGGAGACGGGAGGGTCTTAGGATTTGGGGTTTATAGGGTGCAGGTTTAGCGGGGTTGGGGGTTTAAAGGATCGCGGAGTTTAGGGTTCAGGGTCTAGGATTTTGGGGATCTAGTGCCCTCGAGTTTAGGGTTTAGGGTTTAGGGTTTAGGGGGTTTTTGGGTAAAACCTGGCGATTTCTTTCGGCGGGCTCTGACAAGACTTTGGGCTCACATGGGTCATGTCTTGCTGTGCTTGTTGGATCTTGCTGGTTGAAGTTCAATTGCAGAACTCGAACAAAAAGTATGCCATGGATAGACCCGGATGCTGAAGCGGGGATCTGGATGATGCTGCAGAGGCTCAGAGATCGTGAACAGCAGGCGCACGACATGCTTGTAGAGGTAGGTGGGAGCGGAACGAAAGTTCGTCTGCGTTTCTCGCGCCTCCTCATTGGGATTCAGCACAACTAAGCACCCCAAGACAAATGTCGAGCAACCTTAGGAAGTTCTGAGTATAGTGAGTCTGCCGGGGTATCTGTATCAGAATATCAAGTCCTCTTCTCGCGAGGGTCCCAGAAGTAAAGATAGTGACTGTAACGGTACCTGGGCTTCGGGTAATGGTAACTTAGGGTAATTAAGCTCGAAAGGAGTGCGCTACAAATTTCACCCTTCGGACTGTGATGACCGTCAAAGAGCAAAGAAACTCAAATCCTCGAAAACCACGAAATCCCAAACCTCAAGCCCTAAACCTTGAACTCACATCTAAACCAAACTCCGAAGATTTGATGTTCATGAAATGGGCTTGGAGATAAGGTCTTTGGATGAGGCGAAACTGCGCAGGACCAATCTTGGAAACTGGGGTCCTCCAAATCCACCTTGGAGAGTGCGGCATCTTCTTCACAGGAGGCGCGCAAAAGATTCAGCAGCTGGGGTACGAAGTCGCCACGGTCGCAAACAACCGCACTAAGCTCAGTACCTCGACCGATCTTGTCACTCAAACATCTCACCCCAAAGCGCATAGTTAAGCCCTAAACTCTAAACCGATAGTACATCAGGGGGTTGAAGCCGTCGGGAAATCAGAATTGGCGCATACACCCTGAACCCTGAAAGGAATCCATATGGTTAGGTTTTCCGGGGTTCTGACAAACCTAGACAATGAAGAGAATGACCCACAACCGTCGAGGCCTCCCCCACCTTTCAAACAGAAACTGGACTGCGGGTCGACCCCCTCCTTGCCTTCCAGCCGAGCGCCGGAAGCCGAAACCAAAAGCCCCGATCCGTTTAATGTTGTTAGGGTTTAGGGTTTAGGGTTTAGGGTTTAGAGCCCTTGTTACTGACAGCGAATCCATGCACCTCCCGACTACAACTACATACAACCCTACATTGCCTGAAAGCTTACACCCTGTACAGACAGCGAGCCCCACCCTACGACACCCCTTTCACTAAGATAGCCAGAGATGCCATTTTCCCCCTCAACCTTTTGAATGTACCCCATAGGGTTTCCGGCTAAGTTGTATCACTTTTACAGACAGCTCTAAAGCCGTAGTGAAGAGTGATCAGGGCTTTAGGGTTTACGGTTTAGGCTTATGAGAATCATAGGAGCTCTGCCCTAAGGCTCCCAAAGGGGTCATGGGCTTTCCGGAAGAGGGTTCGGGCTTTGGGTAGTTAAGTGTGCTCTCCATACTTAAAGGTTCATGGGACTTAGTAACTACGGTTACGTTTAGGGTAACTGTACTTATAACTACTTATAACCCCAATTAAAGTACTTACTAAGTCCCATGATCCTCCACGTAGGTGCCCCTCATCTCTCGGCCGAAGGGGCAGTCCCTCATGGACCGCTTCAGTGCTGGGCAGCTTCTGAAGATGTCGTCATTGGGTGGAGGCTCGGCTGTGGCGGGCCACCGTAGCCTTGCTTCAATTTCTTCTTGGAGTTTAAGGTTTGGCCTTGTGCCGAATGTCGGTATGGTAGGATTTGAAAGGTTCGGTCTTCGGCAGAGGAGTAGGGATTTAGGCGGTGGTCGAATTGGTCATGCAGAGTTCGAGGCATCTCGTGACATGGGTGTGAGGTGTGCCGCGGTTGCAGTAAGTCGGGGCTTCGGTGCGGCGCACAAAATTTACTGCATTTTGCGTTGTAGCATGTTTAAGGCTCACGGCTTCGGGATTGCGATGTGGCACTCTACGACTCGACGGGCCCAGAGGATGTTTGGCATAAAGTTTAGAGTTTCGGGTGCGGGGCACTTGGGACTCGGTCGGAAAAGGGCCGTAGGGCTTCTGGATGGAAATGCTGGGTTTTAATAGTTGGGCGCTTTCTGTGCGCTGGACCAGTAGCCGCCACTCCACGAACCACGGGTTCACGCGTCGGATGTTAACGATGACGCTGAACTCCTCCTCGAACACATTCCTTAGCTGTCGGTGTTGATGTTCTTCGTTCATTGACGGCACATATTTAGCATGTTTAGCTTGGCGTGTGGAGAGCTTCATTGACAATCGTGCTGAAACTCTATCACTGACGCAAACGCCTCGGACAGCCCCCGGGTAGCAATACAATCCCTTAGACTAGATATCATCTAATTCCGATGGAACTTCCGTGCTACTCCTGACTTTGCCACCTAATCCTCTCCTCAGTGTGCCTCAGATGCTGTGGACCAGAAGGCGCATGGCTCTTTAGCCCCATAATGCGGCCCAAGACCAATGGGGCATTCCACCTATTCAACTTCTGAATTCAATATATTGGAGTTTCCGAAAGTTAGGGGTACCTTATTGTGGTGTCCTTATAATAAGGATCCTACTATTTATAGGGTACTGTATTAAGGGTCCCCTATTTTCGGAAACTCCCATATCTCGACAGCAACATTGACAAACGACGAGGTGCCGTGAAGCCAACGAACAGGCCCCCCAATTAAGTGCCCACTCAAGGCGAACTTAAGCCGTCTTTTGACAGGGCAATTCTGCGAGTGTGCTGGTCCCCAAGCATGCCCCTTACGGATCCAAGTGCCCAAACAATAATAATAATGATAATAACAAAAAAACTAAAATCATAATAATACTAATATTGTTATTTACATATAAATATAAGTCTGTATATATATATATATATATATATATATATATGTATACTTTAGCCTCGAAGTAAGGCCAAAGGATATAGTATTTGGGTACTTGGACCCGTAGGGGCCAGGGTCTAGGAGACACCAGTCGTCCGTACAAACGGGCCCTACAATAAAGACAAGGGCTTAAGCAAACACAGCCAAGACACCCACAAGCCGAACCCGAAATCCTAAACCCTCGACCGGAAACCCTAAACTCACAAGCCCTTAAAGGGACCCTTGAACCCCCGTCAACCTTGAAGCAACCCCGAAAGACCAAGAATAGGCCCCATAAACGCTTAAAGAAGCCTACAACAAACCCTAAACCCCTATACCCCTAAACCCCAAGACCTTATACCATAAACCCTTAAAGTAGCCTACACCCTTCAAGCCAGGGCTCAGTCGACTGAAATCCTAAAATCAAGCGCCGTTGCAGGGTGATATAAATGGTTCTGAAAGGGTACCTGCAAGCGTTCCTTTAAGGGTACTACGGTTGATGAAATAAACTCCGCATGACCCATAATAAGGAATATTCCATAATTCCCAGAGTTTAGGGTCCTTAAGGTAATGTACTGCAGGGTTTTTATCATGAACCGTCTATTCCTAAACCCCTCTATTGCAGCCTAAAGCCCCAGTATCGAAGGGTGAATCTATTAAAGGGTCCTGGGATGCCCAAAGGGCCCTAAGTGCCGAGAGAGTAGAATGTAGGGCTTCTATGCACTGAATCATTATTAACGATATTCCCATAACCCTTTGGGGCTCCCAAATAGCCCAAGCTAGGCTTTGTTTACGGAGTTTAGATCCCGAAGTAGGTACTTTTTGTGCACTTGAAGCCTTGTGGCTCTGTTACCAGAGGTCCTGTCTACAGTCTACCTAGAGGCTCATACCCTAAGCCTTTTTCGGGGCGCCTGCTTTTTAAGGTAACAGGTCCCAACCATGAAACTCGGTATCCAAAAAAAATTAGGTAGGGTATGAGCCTCTAGGTGGGGGCACTGCTTGGCGGAAGCGATCGGAATCTTCAGGCAAGCATCGTCACTTCAGAGCCCTCATCCGATTTGCCCAGACAGCGTTGAGCATAGGCCGAGACCAAGAAGCCCAGCACATCGGAGGCTACTCTTTTGGACCTGCTCTGCGGGTTATAGGTGGCGGACTATATTTCCTTAAATAGGCCTTATTAGGTCCTTATTGTGGGCATTGAGAGCCCTCTACTCCCCCCTCCTCCTACCCACTCCAGGAGCAGGTGTGGCAGGGTAGGCTGACTGGTGTCGAAACAGTATACGGAAAACCCCATGAAGTTGGAAACCGGATTAAGGCCAAATAGTGCTGGGATTCCTGCTACATTACTGTTAAGGATGGAGGCTATGGATTTTTTGGGGGCTTCTGCTGTAGCATGGTTTCTGTATCTGTGTCGATGCCGTCAGACTTGCAAGCTGGGAGTGGGACGATGAGGCCTAGATTGGCAGGAGTCTGGTCGACGGGCTCAGGGTTTAGGATTCAGAATTCACAGTTTAGGGTTTGAGGTTCAGGGTTTAGGATTCAGACTGCGACTACTAGTGCCAGTAACTGCTACACCAAAACCCTACTCTCTACATTGACACCGACAACCCGAACTAAGCGCAACCCTAAACCCTAAACCCCAAACGAGCAACATCCAAAAGCCCAACTTCTCGTCCTCAAAACCCAGCATTCCAAAGCAAAAGCTAGCGCTCCACTCCTCTGTCCTTAAATTATCTTGAGGATTCAGGGTGTAGATTGCAATGATTTGGGTTAGGATTTAGGTCCAGGACTCAAATAGGTTTAGGGTTTATCTGAATCCCTGAAAAATGCGACATCTTTGATTCTTTCAACCCTTGGCCTGAAGCCCTGGCAAAGCACCGGCCACAGCTCCGTTGCGAGCGTCTTCGACGCCGCAACTTCTTGCGCCACGAGGCTTGCCCAGCTTGCTTCCGCCATCGGATACTTTCTACAGAGTCTTGAAGGTAATGGCTGCTGATGTGACAAACATGACAGTAGAGAGATTTCCAGATAACCCAAACCACCGAAACCTTAACCTTGAACCCATAAAACCGGAAACCCTACGCTGTAGACATACGATCACGCGCCGGTGCATCCCTTGTTTGGCACAAGTAGACATTGACAGGGAGTGGCCTCTTCGTTTACCCTAGGGGACCAACTACCTTATGGTGTATGAGTCATGATCGATCGAATGTTCAACTGCAGATGCCAGTACTTACGCCCGAGCACCAAATCAACACTTGCACCCTTGTTAGAATTACTGTCTAGCTATTTTGGTATGAACAGGGGTGTGAGGGTGCAGGTCAAGCGTATAGCGAATGTTGGGGATAAGGGCAAACAGCGGCGGGTTACTTGCATGGAGTACATTATGACAACTTTAGATATTTGTGCCGAGGGTCTGAGGGTGTTAAAGCGGTCTCTAATACTAGTAGCAACTATAGTAGTTGGGGAGTATTTTGCGTGTTAGCTAACTTGCACCCTTGGTGTGCCAAGACAGTAATTAATCACGAGCAAATCAGCCCCAAATCGCCCACTCGGCGTCTAAGTAAGAACAACCCACACCAAATCCCTCAACCCTCAACACTTACCACCCCAAATCCTACCCAAACCTGAAATCCGGAGACGTACACGTGACCGGAAGTGCAGCACAGCCTGAGAGTGCAGGTACTCTAGGCCGAGGAGGATTTCGCTAATGTAAAACCTGGCGCGGCAGAGTTGCGACTGTTTGGTTCTCCGATTCCAATAAATCCTGACCCAAAAACAGAAACCCTGCTTCCTTGCACACTTAAGCGCTTCAGATAGAAACTGAGACCCCTATTATGCGGCTCTTGGGGCCCAAGCGTAAGAGACTATACTACGGCTGATGATAGAAATCCTGCATTACCTTAAGGACCCTAAACTGAGGGAACTATGGGAATTAATTATGGTATATTCCTTATTATGGGTAATGCAGGATTTATACCATCCACCGTACCTAAGGCTTTTTGGGGCTATGTTGAGCCTCAGGGGTCTCCCCGGGTTTAGGGCCAAGGGTTTCGGAGTTGCTTCCCTTTGGGTTCAGGGTTTACCTTAACCCCACGTAAAGGACTTATATAAAGAAGTCATATTAGGGATCCCTAAAAAGGTAGGTTCATTAGGGTTCAGGTAGGGTTTAGGCACTTTGGGACTGTAGTGGCTTTACGGGAATGCTGTTTTGGAGAGCAGCTTTCCACCGGCAGGTTAAGATGCGTTTTCCCACTTCCCTATGCATGGATCAACTTAGTATGCTAGTCGTATTTGCTGAAGTCCGAGTTCAACCTTGTGAAACTCCCCCTCAACTCGAAAATAAAACAGGCGACTAAACTAAGCTTCACCATCGCTATATTGATGCCCACTGTGCAGGAAATGTGTCGAATGCCCAGCGAAAAACCTGCAATTCTTACGTTCTGGGCATAACTGTAGCAATGCCCTACAGGCAACGAAGCTCAGTCAGACAATTGAGGTAGGCCTGGTATCCACTTCCGAGAAGGGACCGCGGCGGTCTAAGTGGTGAAAGAGCTCGCCGCCTTCGGGGGGGGGCTGGAAGGTGAGCAAGGCGCCTAAATAGGCTGGATGATACTCTCACTAACAAAGGCGTAGAAGGAGATGCTTCCACACCCTAAACCCTAAACCCTAAACCCCTAAACCCTAAACCCCTAAACCCTAAACCCGACTTGTTCATTTGTGGAAGCCTCAGTCCGGGGTTTAGGGTTTTGGGCTTCGGGGTTTTGAGCTCACAACTCCGTAAGTAGGGGATCTTCCGGAAAAAAGTCGGGTAGGGAACTGAATGAAGGGAAATTTAGGGGCTTTTGGGGATTTTGGGAACTGAACGAAGGGAAAATTTGGGGCTTTTGGGGATTTAGGTTCAGGGCCAATTAGAACTGCTTGGGCCTGTAAGTGCAATTTCTCTCGGACATGCCTATACCAGCGCATCCTCGTCTTAGATTTCACGCCATGCTGTCACCCTACACCGTTTCACGAGCTCGAAGCATGTCTGCTGAAGTGTTGCCGATGTTCTTTCAGAATCGCTTTCAGTTAGTGAGCCCTTCTTTTGGATTGAGGTTCGTAGGGCTGGGTGCTTATGATTGAAAACTCTGGGAGTTCAGCGTTTTGGGGTGAACCGCGAGTAACCAATGTACCATAACAAAAATGGGGGATGGCCCTCAACAAATAGTACAGGTACCTTTTTTTAAGTACCCTGGTCATTCTAGATAGGCCCTGGGAGGCAAGCCCCGTGCAAAACTGGAGCTCCCGACTCGTTTTCACAGCGCATCCACGCGAACTTCTTTGAGTCCACAAACAGCGGCTCGACAGCAAGAAGAGCTGCAAAAAGCAAGCAAGACGACGGCTGTGGTTTTCGGGCTGTTGAGTTTACAGCAATCTAGAAAACTTGAAAAAGAATGGCTCCTAGCACTCATCTCCGCCCTAGCAAGGAGTAATGCCAGATGCTCCTATGCTAGGGCTTCGGGCTTAATACGGCCCGAACTTCAATCCTCGAAGCCCACGCGTCTCTCAGCCCCAAGCCCTGAACCTGAGAATTCACTGGCTTGATCTAGGGTTTCTACAACAGGTTCGGGGTTGAGGATTTATGGTACAGGGTCTAGGATTCAGGACGGATTTAGGGCATGGGTCCTCAGGCGACCAGGGCGCCCCCAAGCACCCTTTAGAGGGCTCTGACATGTCCCATTAATGAGGTGATTCGGCGCTACGATAAAGGGGGTGTAGGTAAACCCTCAACCCTGAATGGATATTTGCCGATTGTAGCAGTTCATCCTCAAAGCACTGAAGAGAATAACACAATAATATAAGAATATAGCAACATAACAATATGATAATATAACAATATAATAATACAATAGTATAACAGTATAATCATGTAATGATATAATAATATAGGATATTTAGTATTATATTGCACAATAATTACAATAATATAGTAATATGATATCAATGGATCCGACACTTCCGATGCTTGCGGCCCCAGAACACGGGGCACACTTGGCTTAGGATTCAGGCGTGCATGCCGGTAACCTTCATAAATACTCACCCAGAATTCTGGACACCGAAAACCGAGGGCTACAAGTTTGCAAACAGTGCCTACTTTGGGGTCTTAAGTCTACACATATTACACACTCTGGGCTATTTGGAGCCCCTAAAGTGCCCTCCTTCTACAAGGTCAGGGCTCAGGATTGAGGCACCGCTACTTGTATACTTCCAAAGGAGATGCGCTGCTTTGAGGTAATATTCCACGACCATCCCAAAGCCTGAGCAATATTTATACCCTAAACTCACCGTCTAAAGCAACTTAAGTCCCAAAGCCTCAAGTCAACGCCTAAGTAATTCCTAAATCCTGAAACCCGCATGACCTGAACTCTCTAATCCTTACCCTGAGCCCGACACCCATTAACTCTGCACAGGGCTCTTGCAAGCTCCGGATGCTCACATGGCGACGCATCCTGCTCCACTGCTGGAGGCATGGCGCCGCCTGCCGTTGGGCTTTAGGTTTTGATAGGGTTTAGGGTTTCAAGGTTTAGGGGTTTGCGGCTTAGGGTGTCGGGTACACTTTGGCGTCTTCAGGTTTTGGCTCTGTAACCCAAAGGGTCGTATGTACCGATATAGTAGAATGTAGGGCTTCTATATTAGGAGTTACTATTATGACATAGGGAAGTATCCCCCATAACAGTACATAGGACCCTTTGGGTAATGCTTGCGGTCGTAGGCTTAGAGTGCTTCAGACTTTAGGGCTCGCGGCTGTTGGAAGTCGGCCAAAGCGTCTTTGCCGTGGTGGCTTGTAAAGAAAAAACGTGTTTTGTTCGAATGTCATAAGGTTCTTCTTCAACCGTAGTATACTATGCACAAAAAACCCTATTCATGCCGATTACATGTATTGAGGCCCCTATAATAGACCCCTATACTAACATCAGCTAGAGAAATACAACACAAGTAGGACAATCTGGCAGCCTGGTGCTCAGACTTTACGATGCAGGATCATCCCTGCGTCTTACAGCGAAGAATGGAGCTCTGAATCCTTGTCAAGGGGTTCGGGGTTTAGGGTTTGTGGTCTAGGAAGTTTTGCAACCCCTTGCTCCTAGGAGCCAAACATTAGCATCTAAGGACTAAGGACTCAAATTAGGAGGTCTTTGGTCCCACACACCATACTGCAACCCTAAACCCTAGGGCCATATTGAGCTTCATGGTAATCGAATTATGGACATAAACTTTAGAAGGCGGGATTTTTTTCCTATGTACCACTTCAGTAGTTGGGGCTTGTGGCTCCTGGGCCTTTGGGGTTAGGGCTTACTATAGGGGCCTCAATAATTAGAATAGGGTTTCGGGGGCTCATTATAGCACGCCCCCGCCCCAAAATAGTACAGGTCATCCAGGCCCCTAAATAAGGGGTGTTTCTCAACTTTCAGATCGCTCCAGCTATCCTTGTCAAGATGTAACCTGACTCTAAGTTTTCGCCATTCCCACGGCCGAAGCGTCTGCGCGCATGGTGCGTGATATACACGTCAGACTAGTTAGTAATCATGTCCTCTTCTAGTTTGTAAATACAAGTATATACCTATATGTATAAAAAATGTGGATTATATATATATATATATATATATATATATATATATTTATATGCTTATTTTCATACACATGCAGATCGATACTAGAAAGTACACCAAAACTCTGCTCTTTTTGACTTAGGCCCCTGTATTTGCGTGTTACGGTCACGGTTAAAGGCTTTTTCCAAATGTTGCCTCACATCGTCCAAGTTGTCGCTCATTGGCTCGGGGATGTCGGTGCGGGCGATCCTGTGACGGCAGAAATTCTAAGCTGTTCCGTAGCCCGCCGGGAAAAGCATACACTAGGACACTAGGGTGGGTTGTCTATACTTCTTAGGAACCAATACCAACAAAATAAAAAAGGATACGAGCTGGTTATGCCTGCTTGGAGGATGAAGAAATTCGCTTGAAACGACCTGGCCCCGTCGAATCTTCGAAATAATTAGGCTGAGCCGTTTAACTACCCTACAGGCTCAAAATAACCCCAAATCCTCGTAGCAGTATGGTCTTTGGGCCCAAAAGCCTTAACATATAAATCCCAAACTTGATATGAGTCCTTATAGCCGTAGGGATACCTCACCCAACACCTGTCCCCCTGAATCCTGCCCCTGCCCCCTGAAAAGAAAGACAGGCCTGCCGGGGTCCACGGTGCCGACCAAGGTAAAGCGCGAGGCAATGGGTGGGCCCTGTGCATGACCGTTTGAGTACGGCCGGAAGTTGGGAGCATGATACCACATATGTAATTTGTAATTTGTCACGTTCTGTGCGACGAAGCCTGGTTTCGGGTTCAGGGCTTAGAATTAAGGCTTTGGGCTTCTGGGGTTCCCTTTGCTTTGGAACTGATTCGGCTTCCGGGATTCGACTTGAACGTTTGGGGCTGCTTGGCTGGAGCCTCAATCCGACCGAGTGGAACCCTAAACCCGTCAGCACTAAGCTACCGCAAACCCCGAACAAGAAGCCTTAACCTTATAAGCCCTACCTTGACCCCAAATAACCTACCTTTTAAAGGACTTATGTAAGGAAATCATAATATAAGGAACCCTAAAAAGGGTAGGTTCTTTAGGGTCCAGGTATAACCCTGGTCCAAAACCTGCAAACCCTAAACCCCGAAGCCCAGACCCTAAACCCTAAACCCCGAAGCCCAGAAGCTGTCACCGTGCCGGGGAGGCCTGGGGGAGTGCCAGCAGGTGCTTGGCCCTGGCAAGCCACTACTTGGAGGATCATGGGACTTAGTAAGGTTCCTTAAAGGGCTCCTTCAAGGGATCTATAGGGTTCCTTATAAAGGGATCTATAGGGTTTAGGGTTTAGGGTCTACTTGGGAGGATCATGGGACTTAGTAAGTGGTTTAGAGTTTCTTTTAATAAGGGTACTATAGGGTTCTATAATGGGGTTCCTTAAAGGGATCTATAGGGGTTCTATAAGAAGGATCATGGGACTTAGTAAGGTTATAAGTACCTTAATTGGGGTTACAAGTAGTTATAGGTGTAGTTACCCTAATAATAACCTCAGTTACTAAGTCCCATGATCCTTTAAGTACGCCGAGTCTCTCTCAAAGTCTTCGGTTTCGGGGCTTCGAGTTTCGGGCTCAGGGTTTGGGGTTTACGGGGTTTAGGGCTTACGGCTCAGGGCTTAAGTTTACAGGGTGTCGCGGCTCGGTTTCGGGGCTTGGACTTTTGGGCTGCGGATAAGGGTTCCGAGGTTGCGGAACTCGGAATCTGGGAATAAGGCTTTGGGAATCTGGAGAGAAATACCGCCACCCTACCGTAAACCCTTGCCTAGAACTCAAAAGAATGTAGAATAATGGTTTTTATAGGTGTTGGACAATTATTTTACCTACTGTTGGTGGTTCAGGGAAACACCGTAACCCTTTGCAAACCGTAAACGACTGAAACGTTTGAAATCAATCCTACAGCCGAAATCTTATACTTGGGTTTTGAAGCAAGCAGGGTGAAACAAAGTGTACGAATGTATTTCATTACGTTTGCATTAAGCAGCAGTTCCAAAAATGCAAAAGTATGGTACCCGAAACCCAGGGTACTATAACCCTAAACCCGATCCTATAACTGCAACGTCTTAGTCCCGCATATATATATATATATATATACATATCTGTGTGTGTGTATACGTATCTAGAGTGCAGAGTACAACCAGAGAGTCGGCATGCCGGTCTCCTCTTGCCCTTAAAGGCCGAGCCTGTGGACTGTTCCAGCGGCTAAAGTAGGTTTATGGTAAGGGTTTATAGGGTTTTTTTTAAGTGCAATGATGGTTTATAGGGTTTAGGGTTCAGGGTTCAGGCTTTAGGGTTTATAGAGTTTATAGGGTTTAGGGTTAGGGTTAAGGGTGTATAGGGTTTTGGGTCTGAAATTCACAAAAAAGTAGTAATGCCTGGGGTCCCAAGGTCGGGACGAGCCGATCCTGGTTGGGGGGTTGAAGTGCTGAAACCTTGTGATTCTTCATCTTGTCTAACCAAGCTGTTCAGTAACTCACTTGGAAAACATATCCTTTTTGCGTGTGATATTGTGCTGTTATTTTCGGGACCAAAACAGAAGAAAGAAAGTAACTAGAATACCACTGAACATCCTAGAGTCATAATAGTTTATTCGGGTGCTGTCGGGTTTAGGATCCCAGGTTAACCTTGTGGCTCCAGTTATTCGGTTGTGGGAGCTTTGTGTTTGAGGGTTAGGGTTTCGGAGGGTACCTTATGAAGACGAAGCCTGAAACCCTGAACCCTCAACCGAAAATGCCAGTGTCATAAATACCGGAAAGCTTTGCCGGGCGTGCATCGACGGGTTGACGAAGAACTCTGTGTATGGGAGTGAAGAGTAGCACCTCTCACAAGCCGCATAGCGGTTCCCTATAGAGTCCCTATATATTTTGCACGAATATTCCTAATATTCTGATTCTAATTGCCAAAGCCACCGTACTAGGTTTGAGTTTTTATGCCGCACACTGGATCTAGTTAAAGTTTATAGGGTTTGGGGCTTCATATAGGAGGAGTCTAACTGTTCAGAATCACCCTCGCGTGCCTAGAAAGGTCGTAGCAAAATAGCCCCTTAAACCATAGTCAAATTTTTAAACTATACCTGATTCGGTTTACGGTACATCATGTATATATACAACTATCGCATGGATGGCATTATGCACGTTCTGAGAAGCTCGCACCAGGCGAATTATTGCCAAAGGTCTGCCGGCAAGGCTGAAAGCTCGCACGAGGGTTCGTTCAGGGTTCCGGGCTTACAAACGCTTCTTCGGGTTCAGGGTGTAGGGTTGCTAATTCAGGGCTTCCGGCTTACGTAAAGCTTAAGGCTTAGGCTTTTATTCGAGCTTCAGGGGGCTTGGCTGCTGGTTGGTTCTGACTTTAAAGTTTAAGGATCTTCGGCTCCAACGAAATCTTTAGGGTGTGTACCAAGTGTCGTTTTCAACAATCTCCAAATTCATTTGTAATCGGGGATCGATATTGAACAATTGTAGGGAAATAAAACTTATCACAAACCGATACCTAGTGTAAGGTTTCAGGGCTCTTGTGATGAGCATGATCGGTGCAGGTGATATGATTTGTATGGTTCAGGGTTTAAGGTTCAGGGTTTAGAGCGCTACTGCTACTGTTCCTGTGACAGCATGTCCGTCTTTGCCGACTGGAGGTTCGTGAGCAATTGCAAGTTTCTGGTCGCTACAGCGTTCAGGACCCACTTGTTGAGGACTTGCGACCAAGTTTCCCATTAGCCTCCACTTGCAGTCTCCTAGCATGTAGCTGAAGCCCAGCACGGGCGATGGCTATGACTTTGAACCCTAGTTCCTTTTTGGGATTACCCAATAGTATTTTATATACGAACCCCTAAAAGGAACTACTTTGGGGCCTATGGGTAATTCCCAAACCTATGCTTGCTGCCCAGGCACCGCAGGATCAAGCGATCGCACATGGCACCCTCTGGCATCTCCAAAACCACTTTGAAGGATCCTGGAAGCGGGAGGGGTTTGGGCATCGGAGTTGGGTCTGGGCTTTACTTGGGGGATCATGGGACTTAGTAAGTATAGTTTTCAGTACTTTGATTGGGTTACAGTCGTTATCAGTATATTTACAATTATTAATTACCTTAGTTACCAAGTCCCATGGTCCTTTAAGTAACCCTAAGACCCCTCTTATAGAACCCTTGTAGATCCCTTTTAAGGAGCCCTTTAAAGAACCCTATAGTTACTAAGTCCCATGATCCCTTAAGTACTGTTGGGCCGACTCATACTTCGGAAGGTGGGTTTACACACGCCAGGGCTCAACACGGAGAAGCTGCAATCATCTAGGCACCTCCTCTACAAGGCCTGCAAAGAGGAATCGGAGACAGACCCTCAAAACCGTATAGATCCCTTAAAGGTACCCTTATAGACCCCTTTAAAGGACCCCCTCAACCGTGGGATACCACTTAGACCGCCAACCCTGAGTATCTCTCATCCCTGAGCTCAAATCCGTCTTCCGCTGCCCTTCTGCAACAGAGTTTTCAGTTTCTCCTAAACCCATAAATCTCAACCCGTGAAACTTTCGTTGCACCTCCTCCAGCCGTCTGAAACGCCACCTCGGGCGGGCTGCAGCTTCGGGAACCCGATGCCGCGCTTCTATCCCAGGACCAGCTAGTCTGGTGTTCGGTTTTAGGTCTTAAGTTTAGGGTTGACCTGTAGCCGGAAAGACCTACCTTTTTAAGGAAAGATATATAGAAACCATACTGAGGAACCCCAAAAGGTAGGTCTTTCCGGCTACAGGTATAGGGTTTAGGGTTGGGTAGTTCAGTCTGTAGGGTTCAAAGCCTGTGCAAACTCCCTGAGCTTTTCAGCGAAGCTGCAGACAAAGCGTCTTGGGGTATGTTTTCTTGTCAATGGAACTGCTACGCTACCCGAAAAGGACCTACAATGCATGATGCGGGTAGGATTTCAACTGGAAGCTCTATGTCAGGAGCCTGGTTCAAGACCCGCTGGCTCTAAATCCCCGAACCAATCGGATCCACATGAGGAGCACTAACAGCCAGGGGATTCTTAACGAGGTTGAGTCTTGCATTCCTGCAGGGAGACTACGGGACCCATTTGGCCCGTAGAGGGCATTGGGTTCAGCGTGCGTCGGCAGATCGCGAAATAACGCATGCAAAACCTCAAATCCTCAAGCCTGCACATGTCACATGCCTGCACCGTTCTCCGCAATAGGACACCTTCCGATTGAATGAAGCACACCTTGGGGGTATCCAAACAAATCCAAATCCAGAGACCAACCCGCATCTTGGCTCTGCACCATGGCGTCGCGCGTCGGAATCCTAAAGCTTGGAGGTTCTTGGGTAGTTACAAGTAGACCGTAGGGTTCCTTTAAAGGGATCTATAGGGTTATAGGGTTTAGGGATTAGGGTTTAGGGATTAGGGCAGCTACAAGTAGACTTATAAGTAGGGTAACTGTACTTGTAAGCCATCTTCGGGGACGTATAACCCTACATATAACTACCTTGAAACCTAAACCCTATACCCTTATAGAATCCCTATAGATCCCTTTAAAGGGACCCTTAAAGGAACCCTTATAACTACCCCTGAACCTCCCAGAAGGACCAGACTCTGGGGCCAAGAAGGGTAACTTGCAGGTTCAGTGTAGGACTAGTATAGATACCCAGACCTTCCAACATCCCTTAATTAAGGAATAAACCTTAAACTATAGTAGGATCCCGAATATGATTTAAGATATATTCCTTAATTAAGGGATTTTGGATGGTCTGGGTATAATCGGGTTTAGGGCCTGTTAAGGGTTCAGGGTTTAGTATAGGTATAAGCGCCAGGGTGGTCAGAGGTAGACATACTTTCAATTCAAGCTAAACCGTATTTTTCAAGCTTACCAAATCCTTGCAATAGGTGCCGGCATGCGAAATGAAAGCGGTTTAGGTGTGCTGCTATGCATCAAACAACCTCTTTATCTGCTGGTAAACACCAAGTTACAATAAATGAACACAACAGAACACCCAAGAGGCACCAACCACACACCTGTCCGAGGCCTGAGACAGGCCCTTATTTAGAGGATCCTCAACAAATTGGGGGACCCGAACATAACCCTGAAACGCAAAAACAAATCCAAGGACTCTAATTACGATACCCCGAGATTTTGCAGCCTTGATGTCTACTCATCGCATCCATTTTGTACTTGCAGGCATGCTTATGGGGTGTTTGAGAAAATAGGCACCAGACTATAAGACCCAAAACATGATAAGATCCGTCATACAAGGTCCCCAAGTCAGGCTGCCTAAAGTTTCTGACGCTCCCAACAACGTCGCATGAACCTTCTAGCAGGCCTGTCATGTGTTGGCGAAATGCGACTCTTAAGGGCTTTCTAGCCAATTTTTGTTGCCATGATCATTACTTTAGTGTTCATTTATTCTTAGTACTAATATCATTACTATTGCCTTTATTCTACAATCCCACCTACTACTACTACCACCACTGCTACTACGACGACAAAGCAACTACTACTACTACTACTACTACTACTACTACTACTACTACTACTACTACTACTACTACTACTACTACAACTACCACTACTACTGGTACTACTCCTGCTGCTACTCCTACTCCTACTCCTATTCCTACTCCTACTCCTACTCCTACTCCTACTCCTACTCCTACTCCTACTCCTACTACTACTACTACTACTACTACTACTACTACTACTACCACTACTAGTACTACTACTACTACTACTACTACTCCTGCTGCTACTCCTACTACTACTAGTACTACTACCGCTGCTACTACTACTACTACTACTACTACTACTCCTGCTGCTGCTGCTACTACTACTACTTCTGCTACTACGACTACTGTTTTTTCTGTTTAAGTCCTAGAGGTTCATCCAACTGCTAGGCTTTTCGAGTCTGAGGATGCAGGAAGGTTGAATTGCTCATGCAGGGGTTTGAGAATTGGGAGTTTCCGCACATAGGGGACCCTACTACCCTAAACAGTAGGATCCTCATTATGAGGATCCCAAAATAAGGTACCCTAATGTTCGGAAACTCCCAATTAGGGCCGCAAGGGTTTGGATTTAGGGTTGTTGTGGACGATTAATGCTTCGTTTTCCCTTTCTGTGCCAACTTTCTGGCACTTCGTGTAACCCAAAGGGTCCTATGTACTGTTATGGGGGATACTTCCCTATGTCATAATAATAATTCCAAATATAGAAGCCCTACATTCTACTACATCGGTACATAGGACCCTTTAACTAACAGTTAAGGGCCCTAACCCCAAGGCTCCATGTACCCATATAGTAGGTACTTAGGCCTTAAAGGGGTCGCTCTATGGCTACTTTAAGGCCTAAGTACCTACTATATGGGTACATGGAGCCTTTGGGTAACTAACCGTAAACCCTAAACCCTAAACCCCTAAACCATAAACCCCTAAACCCTGGACCCTGAACCCTAAACCCCTAAACCCTGAACCCAAAACCCCCAAGCCCTAACTCAGGCAAGTGTCCAGTTTGATCTGCAGACCACGTGTGCGCTGTAGACGTTCCCGGCTCCTGGGCGACGTCTGTGTCGGCTCTGAGAAGGATGGGTGTCCCCATAGGCCCCAAGTAGTTCCTTTTTGGAATACCTTATAGGATTCTACATATGAACCCCAAAAAGGAACTACTTCGGCGCCTTAGGGTAGAGTTCAGAGTGCAGGGGGTTGCCAATAGGGAAAGCTTACGCACAAGGTCCTATGCACCGATATAGAGGAATGTCGGGTTTCTATATTAGGAATTCCTATTATGACTTAGGGAAGTATCCCCCATAACACTACATAGGACCCTTTGGCTTAAGGTTCAGGGTTTAGGGGTTCAAGGTGTGCGCTTTAAGGTTTAGGAGCCTCTAGGCCTATAGGAACCTTCCAGCCGGAGACGTACGGCTGGTGGTGGCAGTGGTGGTTTCAATGAAAGCTGAACCGTGGGGAATCCCAAACCGAAAACCAATTTAAAACCCGGATCCCTGCACCCTACATTCTAAGCTGTTCAGTAACCCATTGGAACAAGCATATACTTTTGGGCCTGGTTATATTGTAGCAAAACAACAACAAATGTACCACTGAACGCCCTCCTATCTGGCATTCCTTTTTAGAAACTCGAGTAGTCAGCCCAGCGAGGCTGACTGCGAGGCCAACTCACAGTCTGCACACAACCCCCTCTAAGACCCAAAAACGGCTGCTAGCAGAACACTCAACACTAAAATCATCAGTCAGACCCGATCTGATAAGCGTTTGCAAACCTGCAAACCAACCCAATGGAAGAGCGTGCCAAACACCACCTGCGCCCCAAACTCAAACAAGTCTGGCACACATCATATGGGAGCCTTAATCATTAGAATAGGGTTTTGTGGTATATCTAATTCTATACTTGAATTCAGGAACCCCCACAGTAGGATACACTAGGGCCCCATAATGCCACCTAAATTCCCAAAAAAGGCACCGGGATAGGGGCCAAGGAAATCCACATTCAAATCCTTCGGGCAACCGCTCGTTTCTGTCGTAAAACAGGCGCCTCAATAATTAGAGCGGCGTTGTGGGGCCCATTATATATAACTAAAAAAGGAACAAAGAATAATAAAGATAACCAGGCTTCTACAGGTAGCTCACTGAGGCTGGCGCCCAAGTTCTCATAGACTTTGATCAGCAGCGGAACGTATGGCTTCCGGTGATCACCCACCTTCTTGGAGGCTGTTTGCGGGATTCCTACAAGTAGTGCTGGTGTGCCCATCTATCTCTCTCTCTCTCTCTCTCTCGCTCTCTCTCTCTCTGCGCGTTGTTGCTTGGGAGATGGTGGTGCTGGGGGGCCGAGTCAGGAGTCTACCGTTTCAATGTGCAGGATTCCAAGAGTTTCTGATACTAAAGCCGCCAAGAGACTAAGACATGGCCAGCAAACCTTGCAAGTTGCATTCTGCGTCGGCCTTGAAGCACTGTTTCCCCAAGGGTCCAAAGGACCCAAGAATTAGGTACTCGGTTTTAGGAAAGTAGTTATGTAGGTTAGGATTTTGGAGATTATATGATAATTAGGTACTTGGACCCTTGGGGTTTGGGAGTTGAACCCACTCAACGGAAATACATGTGGCCGTACCGGCCCTACGACGCTTACCTAAAGAACGCCGGGACTTAGCAAGCACGATACAAAAGCAATGTAACTATAGTCTTATCTATTTGTCGCCACAGTTTAAGTACATACCCTCGGGCTTCAAGTATACAAACTACATAATTTGGTGCCTAAAGTCTATATTCCTTAGCCCGCAAATTCACCGCGATGTCGGAACCAACACGAGAACAGGTTCGCCTCGGCCCCGGCCAGTGACCCCCCTCCAACCTCCCCCCCAACCCCAACCCCCCCCCCCCCCCCCCCCCCCCCCCCCCCCCCCCCCCCCCCCCCCTCCGCGCCCCCCCCCGCCCCCGCCCCCCCGCCCTTCCCGTGCCAGCACTAGTAAGTAGGCTTATAAATTAACTCTGGTTACTAAGTCCCATGATTCTTTAAGCAAGCTCCATCCGCTGCGCTATACGAACCCCCAAAAGGAACTACTTTGGGGCTTTAGGGTAACATGATGTGTAGTGCAGCAGGCCGCGATGTAGTGTGACCTCACCTTCTCTGCTCCGAAAAAGCCCCAGCAGGGTCTTAATCATTGTTTGGGCCCCTATGTTGGTATCGAATTGATGGCTTTGCGTCTCAGGCTTGTTTTAGACGCCCTTTCGTTGGGATAGGCGGAGTAACGTGGTTGAAAAGGCTGTGATACTTCCCTAGTCCAAGACGCCCACGAAATCCACAGCCTCAACGGCCCATACTTAAGGCATCCCGCCGCTTGCGAGAGTCTTGGTATCCAGTGTTTCGGAGTGACGACACCAAAATTCGTACCAATCATCCTGCTTCGTGTTGCTATGAACATTACTTTTACTATAAGTGCGATTCCAACTGTTACTTTTTTCCTACAAGAGCTTGCTGCAGATAGTAGCCACTCGCCGCATGCCCGTACAGCCGGGCCGAGGCGGACGACGCGCAGCGTTTCAAATTACAAGGGGCCCCCACCCTGTAAAAGTGGTACAATAGGAATATAATAGGGCCCTAATATAATCCTTATCGTCACTATTACAGGGTGGGGGCCCCTTCTAAAGAATAGGGTTTTTTTGACAACTAATATCCAAGAGGGTCCATATGTACTACTATTATGGAATTAGGTCCCCCGAAAACCACTTTTAGGATGGTCTGTTGAGACCTAATTCCATAATTTTAGTGTGTATGGACCCTGTGGGTATGTAGAGACTGTGAGGCATGTGATTACTGTATAAACTCACCAGAACTCTGCAAAGCCCGCTATGGACACCTTCGAATAGCAGTTGTAGCATTAGAGGTGAGGATGTACGGTTGTCAGCTTTGCAGGTACCAATGACTCAATGTGAGTCAGAAACTTATTAGGGCTGAACCGAAATCCTACGCCCCAACCCCAACAACAGTCATGGGGTGAGAGTTTAGGGTCCACCCCACTTCACCTTCACATACGCCGGGCCTGTGTGATGCGGGAGTCCGTCTGCTGCGCCGAGATGATGATCTGGGGCGGGAGGCGTTCTCAAATTCAAGTGCTCTTTGAGGGCCTAGAAGCTCTGTTTATGGAACATTCTTCATACAAATAAAAGAAGCCCTCCATGTTTGTGCCATGTTAAAGCAAAGCATTGTCAACCCTAAACCCTAGAACCGGCCTGGTTAAAGCGGTACGCCGGTCCCAGGGTGTTGAGGATACCGATGCGTGGTTTTTAGCTCCTCACTCAATACACAAAGGGAAAAATTATCCCTGCTCCGAAAGCCCCCTGGTTCCACGGAATCGAAGTTTAGGGCTTAGCGTTTCAGGCTATCCGTGGCTACACAGAAATCCTGGGGAAGCTGTGCAATGGTTAGCATAGGAGCCTCAGAATTTAGAATATTGGGGCTATACGGTAGTGTAGCTCTACAGGAACTGTGAAGAGGAAACAATAGCTTACCTGTTATTCCGACCCCAATGGTATGATCAGTATCCCTACAAATTACGAACCGAAGACCTAAACCATGAAACGTGGTTCCAAGGCCTCGCAAGGTGCGGATGGCGTTTGCACACTGATTTCTGGCGAGTTGATCCTGGGCACAGGATGGCCTTTCGGGGTTCAGAGTATTCAGGGTCAACCTGGAAGCTTGACTTGGGGGCTTATCGTAGACGGGTGAAATCCCCTAGGAGCCCAGCTAAGAAGGCACTGGGCCAGGACACTATTCTGGTCACATTTTTAAGACCCGCTAGCAGTCAAGCAGGTGTATGCATGACTAGGCTCGACGATGCCCGTCAATCATAAATTCCAGTGCTGTAGCCAACAGACGGAGAAGATTACACTTCTACCCCACGGAAGATAGCGCTGCTACAGCACCAGCATGGCGTCCATGTTATTTTATTCAGACCCACCTACCCAGAGGCACCAAAGTAGTTCCTTTCTGGGATTACCTTACAGGATTCTATATATGAACCCCAAAAAGGAACTACTTTGGGGCCTTTGGGTAAAGCCGACCTTCAACTCGACCGAAGCCTAAACGCCCTACTTGGAGGTTCAGGGGTAGTTATAAGTAGGGTTATAAGTCCCCTAATATGGGTTATAAGTACAGCTACCCTACTTAAAACCCTACTTATCACTACCCCTGAACCTCCGGGTATGCCTGAAGAACGTGGATTCTCGGCATCCTGATTGCTGCTCCCAAACATCCTGCCCCAAAGGGTCCTATGTACTGCTACGGGGGATACTTCCCTATGTCATAATAGTAACTCCTAATATAGAAGCCCTACATTCTACTATTATATCGGTACATAGGGCCCTTTGGGTGCTTCGGTTCATGCATTCACAAGGATATCGGAGTTGTGTTCTTAAGGACCCCGGTCTAGGGTGAAGAGATTTCCAGGTACCGCAGCTTCCGCAACACTGTTACCGTTGCAACAACAACCACCCTCATTGAGAGACTTAGTTGGTAAGCCTAGCATGGGGTCTCCCACTCGTGTTCGCACCAAACCTCCGATCGCAAACCCACTGCGAACTCTTTCTTTTTGCACTGTCGGCTCCGAGCACAATAAACCCAAAAAGAAACCCCGGCTATCTGGCGCACTTAGAAAGGCCAGAACCATATTGCAGAACCATCTTATCTTGAGAACTCCCAGCTGCGCAAAACACTACCCGAACCCCCGCCCACCCAACCTAGCCCTAGATCCAAAAAGCTCTGCAGAGCCTGCCCAACATCATCATAAATCTACGAAGCCTAAAGACCTGAAGCCCGACATCAAAGCTGAAAACCCCAAGCACCGCTCAGCTCCAAACCCTAATCTCTATAAGCCCTAATTCCTAAACCCCTCTAAGACCTGAGCCTTAAGTCTTTTCTAGAGGCCCTTAACCCTAAACCCCTAAAGCCCTACACCCGAAGCTCAAAGCCCTCTACACCCTAAACCGTCAAAGCCCTAAACACTAAACACTAAACCCTCAAAGCCACGGCCAAATGCCTGAAACCCTGGGGAAACCACCCGGCGATCTGCCCCGGGTTCGCGAAAACCGTCTCGAAGTACAGCGGCTCTCGGCCTACGAACATGTGGACTTTAGTGTTTCAGGGTTTTAGGGCTTGGGGCTTGAGGGTTTGAGGGTTTAGGGCTTTAGGGTTTAGGGCTTTAGGGTTTGGGGCTTTAGGGTTTAGGTTAGGGGTTTGGTTAGGGCTATAGGGTTCAAGTTTTAGGGCTTGAGGGTTTATTGGGTTTAGGGCTTTACGGTTTGGCTTTGGGCCTACGGGGATTTGAGGACTTCCAGGCTCCGAAGGCTGAAGTTCTGAAGGGTTATAAGGCGCTCTGCTTTTTGCTTTAGTGGGCGCACCTTAAAAAGGCAGGTGGCCTCTTCATCTGTTCCTAATACTGCCTAGTATAGCCTTGAAAAGGATCCATACATCGAGCCCCTAAACCCTAAACCCAAAAAACAAGAACCTCAAGTAAAGAGACCATCGACCTGTATAAGGCGTACCTTTTGGGCGGGTGCCTAGGGTTTGCCGACTTCATGACTGCTGCGAGTAGGGCTTAGGCCCCAAGCCCTGAACTCGAAACGAGAATCTGCTGCTGTCTGTATAACCAGTGATGTGGTAATTGAGGATCCTTTGGTTCTGCTTGGAGGATCATGGGACTTAGCAAGTACGGTTCTAAGTACCTTAATTGGGGTTATAAGTAGCTATAAGTATAGTTTCCCGAATAATAACCTGAGTTACCAAGTCCCATGATCCTTCAAGTGCTGCGGGAGTTGTTTTGGCATTTGGTGTGCTTGCCGTGCTTGGGCTCGTCGACATAGCAGGGCAGCCCTGAGTCTGAGTGGACAGGATGGTCCGAAGTAGATCCGTGTGCAGCAATGTAGCCCATCAACCCTCAATTCTAAACCCTCAACCCGAAACTTCCTAAACCCTCAACCCTAAACTTCGTAAACCCACTAAACCCTCAATTTCCTAAACCACTAAACAAATCCCAGCCCTCCAAACCCAAATCCTGTCTAGCTTCCTATGACGACCCTTTAGAACTTCAGAACCCCAAGAGCAAAACCAAAGTGTAGGGTTTAGGATATAGGTTTAGGGTTTCGAGTTTAGGGTTTAGGGTTTATCATGGAACCATTCAAAGATCGAACTCTGTAGAACCCTCATCGAACCCTTTTACCCACCAACCCCAAACACTAAACCCGCAACAAGCCTCACACTCTAAATTCTGAATTCCCAAAAGCCCCAAACCGAAATCCCAAAACCTGAATAAACCCCATATTCCAAACCCCAAACCGTCGCCCTGAATTTCGGTGCCTGTCGGCTCGCCTGCCAGCCGAGGCGGTGGCCTGGCGTGAGGGCTTTGGGTTTTGGGGCTTTAGGTGCTGAGCTTGTGGGATTTACGGGTTCAGTGTTTAGTGGTCTAGGGCTTTAGGGGATAGGGGTCTCAGGGTTTTGGTTCAGGGTTCACGGCTTCAGGATTTTGGTGTTCAGGAGTTTAGGGCTGCGCTTGTTAATCTGCTATGAGTGTTGCACGCAAAACCATAAACCCGAAGCGTACCAGAGGGACAGAGCGGTCTGAAGAATATGGCGGTTTCCGAAAGTAGGGGATCCTAATATATATATATATATATATATATATATATATATATATATATATATATGTATATATATATGTATATATATATATATATATATAGATAGAGTACCCCGATCCTTATGATAAGAATCCAAAAAAAGGTACCCCCCCCCTTTCGGAAACTACCATACCGTACAGGTTGTCGGGCTTCGGGGCTGCCAGGGGGAACCTTGGGGACCAAATGACCCTTATGTGTACTTCGAGGTTTATGGGTGGCTATAACTTAGGTAGGGTAACTATACTCAAGACCCAAATTAAGGGACTTATACCCCTACTTATAAGTAGCTCTGATGCTCCAAGTAGGGGCCCTATACCCTCATGACAATGAACCGTATATGACCCGTTTTAGGGTTCTTTCGTTCTTCAGGAAGAGGCTTCTAGGGGGGCGCTTGTAGAACTGACGCTTTCACTTCATTCCGGCTTTAGGGGAGACAGTTTAGAGTTTAGGGTGTGCGGTGTTTGGCTTCGGCTTTATATAGGGGAGAGACTCGGGTGGCAAGTCCTTGATTGGCAGCTGCTAGACGAGAGGCTGCTGCCTCCCGCAGCTACTCCAAATGTGCGACCAAGGCAGCTGCGGGAGCGCCTCGCCATGTCGCGAGCCACATCCCGAACTGACACCCCACAGAACAGGCAGGGTGGCCGCTGGGGGAAGCATCGCTATGATGGCTGTCACTGCGCACCTGCTTCGCAGAAACGTAACCAGGAAGCACTCCCCAAAGCCTAAATCCCAGAAATCCCAATTGGAGCACTTCTTGTGCCCAGTGGAAGCTTCGAACCGTAACAGGTCAGGCCATGCAGGTTCACCTCAATAAATACTGCGCTCTTGTTGACGACCTTAAGTCATTTAAGCTTCCAAAATAAGGAAACCATAAACAAAAAAGATTGCTTACAAGAGGTTCTTGTTAAGGAGCTTACTTTAAGTTACCGTAATAAGGAATCTGTATTACTGACTATGGATCTCTGTTCATTTCACGTAAGCTACCACCCATCCCTCCAACCTTCCCGGGTAGCACCCCGCAACATCACCAAAACTCATCATGCGAACCTCATTCGAAACAAGTTTGGATTCGAGAGGAAACCCAGGCGATTCAAGCTCTTTGTGATCCTGACGTGCACTAAAGCTGGATTGAATTTCAATTTGAATGGAACTACACACCAAAGATCTGGCACCATGCGATGCAGTAGTCGAATGCTTCGGACACCATTGCCTTTCTTGGGCTACAGCATCAAACGTTTGTTTGGTTTGGGAACTAACCCTAAACCCTAAACCCTAAGTTCCCGCAGGCAGGCAGCACGTCTGCGGGCGAGGGCTACCCAAGAAATTGCACACCAGACAGTGCTTAGAAGCCCAGGCATGTACATTGGAGGTATTTACATTGGGCTTTGGGAAGATGGGGCTTAAGGAAAATAGCCCACTAATTGCCTTGGTAGCTGGGCTTGAAACAGATATCTGTCAGTGGCAGGGATTCATGAAGCACTCACAGGCTCAAGCCCCAAACCAGTCGGGATGTAATCCACCAGCACCATGCGTCCTTCATGGGCACCTCTTGCACCTAAACCCTAAACCCTAAACCAACCACTAACCCCAGCCAGCCGCAGGCTCCAAACACCTCTGAAGCCCCGTGAAGAAATTAACCCCTAACCCCTAACTCCTTAAGCCCTGAAAGTCTAAAAATTCGAAATCCACAACCCCCGAACCCCTACACCCCCAAGGTCCAAGAAATGATGCCAGCTCTGCATCCCGACGATGCCAACATCAGGGCTGCTGGTCCTTGTGTCGTGCTTACGGGTATCTGGATTGGAGTTTAGGGTTTGGGGCTTAGGGTCTAGGCCACATGTTTAGGGTGTAAAGGCTGTACCCTAAACCCCAAACCCAATGTAGACGGAAGGGTTAAGGGCTGGGGATTCCTCGCATTGCGAACTCAGGGTTACGTCGGGCCTGTGGCTCTCGATAGCCTCGCGAAAGCTCTGAACTAAACTCTATACCCCCCCTTAGACCCATAATAAAAAATAAGATCTTCAATATTCTCTTGGGTTTTATATGAGCAAAAATAAGAAATATGAAGATATTCTCTAGGGTTTTGTAAGAACAAAAAAAGATATATAAAGATATTCTCATGGGTTTTCTATGAAAAACAAGAAATAATTCCAAAGGAGACTATAGAACCTGGCACACCCGTAAAGGTCCCTTGGCCGGGGCCCCGGAACCACAAACAGAACGTTCGGGTTTTAAGGTCGTGTAGGGATTAGGCTTTAGGGTTGAGGGTTTAGGCTTTAGGGTTTAGGGTCTAGGCTTTAGGGTTTAGGGTTTCTGGGGTTTGGGGTTTACAGGGTTAGGGTGAGGCTGGTAAGGACGCAGACTGAGCTAAAACAAAAGGCTGATCTCAGGGATGTTCATGCTCAAAAAATACTTTCCGTGAGTACAAAACAAGTGCCTGTACGTGCAACGAGTGAACACTACAGTTCAAAAGCCCACCTAAAGCCAAAAGTCCTGCCTTTTCGGCTACAGGTAAGGCTTGCAAGTTACATCATATACGAGCTTGGGAAGAATGCGAACTTAAATCTTGAACCCAATCCCTCCAGGGCTGTCAGGGTTTTGACTGCTCTTCCGGCCTAGTCTCGCAAAGCCCAAACCCCCGACACCGCAAAGCGGCGACTACAAGGGCCTTAACGATTAGAGTGGTGCCTTTTTGCGGTTTATTATAGTTCACTGATATAATTAGAGTGGTACGTTTTTGTGGCTTACTATAGTATACTAATCATAAGGAGCCAAAAGACATAGTATTGGCAACTATACAGGCTCCGATCTTAAACCTCGAAACCCACGACCTCGGAGGAGACTAAAGTTTGCCAAATGGGTGCTTGGCAAAATTAGGGTCCCTTTTTGGGTAGCCGAAATATTAGTTGCCGTATCATAATAAGGACCCAAGAAGGGACCATAGTTTTGACAACCACCCCAATGAACATCAAAACCGAGACCATGGCAGACGGCATTCGATGATTGTGCTGAAGTAGGCGTGGAAGTCTTCAATGGCCAGCCAAAAGAAGCCCTCGTAGCCTGCAGAAATCGGGTTCAAGGTCTTGTTCTTTTTCCTGTGTTGAGATCAACCACAAACTTCTCATGGGGTCGCATAAGCCGTTCAGCAAATACGTATCCCATGTCCCCCGTAAAAAAACGATCATGGAGTGCCAGAGCTCCATGCGATGAACAAGATGCCCTGATATCGAACCCGACTTTGTCAGATCCATTGCGAAGCTGTTCTGTAACCGGCTGGAAAAATTCATAAACTTTCTTGGGTAGTGATACTAGATTAGGAGCCCATACCAAACAAGCAAACACAAGATACCACTGAACATCCTAGCCAATTTACGCCTGACCTTCGCAATCCGAGACCCTGAGCCCCAAGCAACAACTGAGTCTGCATACATTCAACTACCAAAACCTACCTTTTGGTAGAAACAGAAAAACAAAGTACTCTCTTACAGTCCTCTTATATGTATCTCAAACCATACAGCAAAACGGAGTTCTAATGATATATACTGTACCCTATGACTTCTCTTGGAGCAATGTCAATACTACTATACCCCAAACCGTATTCTAGTAAAGTACAAGAACCAAAACCGTAGTCTTCGAACTAGACTATATAAGGCCCCCAAAGAAGCGAAGCCCGGTGCCGGCTCTGTCCATCCGAAAGAGCACGCCCAGACACCCCCAAAGCTGTAACGATTCAGTCTATGTCGGGGCTTCCCGGCCGTTTTGGACTGCTTGGGGGGGGGGGGGGGGGGGATATGGAGGTTTCCAAAAAGAGGGGACCCTAATAAAGTACCCTAAATAGTTAAAAAGACTCCAAGATAAGGTACCCCCTAATTTCGGAAACTCCCAACCCTAAACCCTTTAAGAACCCTTATAGATCCCTTTAAGGAACCCTTAAAGGATCCCTTTAAAGGAACCCCTGATTTCTGAAACTCCCATATTGTAGTAATGTTATAGGGACGATAAGGCGGGTGGGTAACCATGGCTCAGACTGGGGGTCAAACAATCCTACTTGGAGGATCATGGGACTTAGTAAGGTTCCTTAAAGGAACCTTAAAGGGATCTATAGGGTTGCTTATAAAAGGGATCTATAGGGTTTAGGGTTTAGGGTCTACTTGGAGCATCATGGGACATAGTAAGTAAGGTTATAAGCACCCTAATTGGGGTTATAAGTGGTTATAAGTATAGTTACCCTAATAATGATCTTAGTTACTAAGTCCCATGATCCTTTCAGTACACCCTGAAACCCAAGGACGGAAACACAAGCTCTGAATGCAACACCGATGCGCAGCTGCAAATAGTTGAGCAGAAGATGCCAAGCAAAGAACGCTCTCTAGGGTTAGGGGATAGAGGGCTGGGGATTTAAGGTTTAAGACCCTCAGTCATAATACAGGTCTGTAAGTACATACCATCCGCCGATTATAGACAGAAAGATATGAAAGAGGGCTCTGGGTTGGGGAGAGCACTTCTCCATTTCTGCGCAATTTCATGCTATTCATTGCGAATCTACGTGTCGGGGTTTGGGGTTGCTCGCTTACGAGTATTTTTCTGTGGGGGTCGTGTAAGCCATCAACTTAGGAAGTCCGCTGCCGCAGTACACTAAACTAAGACTACTGGAGTACTTTGACCCAAAACCCCTCAAACCCCAAACCCTAACGTTCTTCGGCCTATCCTAAACCCTCAACCCGAAATCCCTATAAACTCCTAAACCCCTAAACCTCTAAACCCTAAACCTCTAAACCCTAAACCCTTAGAGCCCGTTATTATAGCCCTTTAAAGAAACCCGTATAATCGCCTTCAAAGGAGCCCAAAACTTTTACACCCTGAATACCCTACTTAAAGGATCATGGGACTTAATAACTAAGGTTATTATCAGGGTAACTATACTTTTACCTGCTTGTAACCCCGATTAGGGTACTTATAACCTTACTTACTAAGTCCCATGATCCTCCAAGTAGACCCCCCCCCATCTCAAGGTCCCAGCTCTTCTCGGGGTAGTCACGCCTGCTTGAGCGGCGGTCTGACTGCTTGCACTCAAGCACTCGTCACCGGTAAGGAGTTTAAGAAGGTTTGGGTGGGGGTATGCTTCAACTATAAGGCTCCGAAGTCTAACATCAAAACCTTAATCCTGAGGACATGCAGGGCTTGGAGGTAGGCTGCACTCATGTCACAGAGGGAGTACTCGAAAGTGAAAAGACCAAGTCCAAACCCCTACACTGCCATCGTCGACCATGCCGAACATGTTGCATATCACGTAAAAAGAAAGCCTGCAGTTCGGAGATCGCCCTGCCTCAAGCAAAACCCTAACCCTACTTCTCGGGTATTCTGGGGAACTAAAGCGGTTAGCCTTCTTGGTTACATAGGGACTATATAGGGAGTAGAATACCCGAAAAAGGTTAAAGGTTACCTACTCTACTACTAGGAAACACAACCTGTCAGATCATGTCTCTCCCAGACCCCCGGAGGATCCACAAAGTAGATCCCTTAATGGGGGTTCCTCCTATAGCATAACCCTAACCCTGAAAAGAAACAGCCACTGCCCCTGAATCTGAGTTAGAGGAGGGTTTTTTCAGGGGTCGAAAGGTCCCGTAGGGTTATTTCTCGGGTTCTAGAAGGTTGAGGGGTTTAGGGTTTAGGGAAGTCGGAAAGGATCCTGTGTGTATTTCATAGACTCATATCTCGGAACCTTAAGGAAGAATGTCAACTTAGTCATGTATTCCCCCCCTCATAATAGGGGGCCCTATGGGTCTCCATATTCAAGGGTCGGGGGACTTACCAAGTACTTATTTTGTAGAGTTATTTTTACCATAACACCAATCAGGATGGTTTTTCGGTTACTTATGAGTCTACTCTATATTCTTCGATTCTTACCTAACATCCATGACCAACTCTAAACGTTTAGGCTGCAGGGTTTCGGATTGAGGCTCTGTAGGGCTTAGCTCTAGCGGTCTTGGTTTTTGTGTATGAGCTTCGCACTTACGGCAGGTTAAGGGCCTTCTATTCATCCTCAACTCTGAACTCCAATTTGGGTTGTCGCGTCCGCCTTCGCCCAATCTTGACAAAACTCATTTTATCAAATCCACGGAGGATACACGGATATGAGGCAGAAGACAATCAGAAACACAGTCTAGGGCAGAAGCCTATCACTGAACTCCAGGCCAGGTCCGTGCATATTTTGAAGCCTTACATGCGCGCCGCGCTGTGCTGTAAGCCCCAATCGTAGTTCTCCCACCCAGGAGCTTTGACCCCAAAGCCCCCAAAACCCGCAAAACAAAAAACAACTACACCCTTTCAAAGCCCCCTAAACTCCAAACCCGACTAGAAACATAAGAGAAGCTGAGTGGCAGCAGCTCGCTGGGCACAGTAAGCTCGGAAAGCCCACCATCGCGAGGACCCTTAGGGTCTGCGCTGAAGACCTGTTTCCGTTTAGGTTTGGGGTTTAGGGCTGTAGGGGTTCAGGGCTTAGGGTTGAGGAATAAGGGGGTCGGGAGGTGTCTATGTTGTGTATGCTTGGCGCTGGAGACGTAGGGCTCTTAGGGTTTCATGTAGGGCTTGGGGGCTCTACAGCTCAGTGGTTTTTACATGTAGTATGTGGTGTCTCTACAGAAACCCCTCCCTCAACTTACCTTTTGTTAGTAGGGAATGGAAGAATGGTAGTCATAGTAGTTATAATTGTCCCCCTTCCTCCATTCCCTACTAACCAAAGGTAAAGATCCCTTTAAAGGAACCCTACACCCCCATAGATCCCTTTAAAGGAACCCTAAACCCCTATAGATCCCTTTAAAGGAGCCCTATTCCCTACTAAGGTAAGTCAAGCAGGGATCTCGGACTCTTTGTCTTCGGGCCCAGAGACGGGTTTAGAGTTTCTGGGGGGTGTCGATGTGCAGGCTGCAGGTTGTCCGGTTAAGAGTTGGGAGTTTCCGAAAATAAGGGGTTCCTGTAAAGGGATCCTTTAAGGGTTCCTTAAAGGGATCTATAAGGGGTCTACAAAGGGTTTAGGGTTGGGAGTTTCCGAAAATTAGGGGTACCGTATTTTGGGGTCCTTGGAATAATAAGGATCCTACTACTGGGTATATTGAATAGGGTCCCCTATTTTCGGAAAACCACAGTTGGCTCGCAGCTGCGAGTTTCATAAGGTTGAGGCTGAGAGTAGACGCTTGGCGAATAACACCCGCTTTCTTTAAGAGTCCGAGTATAGGATCCCTCACAACCACCTTGAAGGTAGGGGGTGGTTCACCAGGAGTTCACATTAGGGTTTACGATGGTTTATGATCCCATGTTTATGGGAGTCGCGATGAGGCTGTACGGCTCAAAACCTGAAGTTAAGGGTTTAGGGTTTAGGGCGCAGTGAGTCGAAAGTCCCACGTACATCCAGAATCCAAGCTCTCACGCACATCATGAAAAAAACGACATTCCTTACCCGCTGCAGTAGCCCAACTCAACACAATAAATACTTGTGGGATGTTTCGCAAGTGCCCCAACAGGGTCTCACCTGCCTGACCTGAGCACACTAAACCAAAAAGCCCAGCCCCCAACCTCCCCAACTGCACAAAACTCCCCAAGCCTTCAAAACCCTAAACCCTAAACCAAAACCCTAAACCCTAAATTACCTTTTTGCTACTGGACTCAAGTCTCCCTAAACGCTAAACCCTGAACCCTAAACCCCGAAACGGCCTGCACATAGCAGCGGCCGTCGTGGGTGGCGGCGCGATTGATTACATGTGCCGCGCACCTGGGCCACTGCAAAGGGCTCCAGGCCTTACCACTGAAGGGTTTAGCGTTGACGGCAAAAGATCCGGTGCTTCTATGATTTCCGAAAATGAGGGTACCTTATTGTGGGGTCTTTATAAGAAGGACCCTACTACACTAGGGTCCCCTATCTTCGGAAACCCCACATATAGTAGGTGACTGCGCTATCTAGGTACTGTTAATACTCTTGGGGCTGTACGAGGGCTTAAGGAACGGTAACCAAGCCATAAGATATCTTACGGGCTCTAGGTTTTCAGGATTTTAGGATAGTGTGGGGCCACCCCGAGGGTGCGGCGGGGCTCCGAAGCTCATGCTCAGGGTCCCGGCCTTTACAAGTTTACAGGGCCACCAGCATAAATTCCACACTCCAAGTACCTACAAGGCCGGCGATCTCACACCACACGCGTCGAACAATGCACAAATCTCCACTGAATCGAACTTTGCACGTACGGTGGGACCGAACCATTGACCATTCAGCCCTTCCTGGAGTTTTGGCATACTTAATTTAAACTCACATCCCTCAACCCCCTAAACCCCCAAACTTCTAAACCACTGAACCCTGACCCCTAAACTCTCGACCCTGCACCCATCTGCACCCTCAGCATGGTCATGCCAAATCCGAAACCTCGTGAGAACTAAGCTTCTTGAGCCCTGAATCCCAACCCCAAAGCACGTGGGAAAAACAAAACAACCGGTTAAGGGTTTGGGGTTTAGGGGTTTAGGTTTTAGGGTCTTGAGGCCTAAACCCTAAACCCTACTAAACCTCGCTACAAACCCTGCCCGGACTTTCTGACTTACATTTGGTTAGTAGGGAATGGAAGAATGGTACTGTAGTTCTACGGCAGTAATACCCAGTAACCTAAGAATAAAAGGCCTCTCTTTTTGGTATTGGGTAACTTTATAAGGAACCTAGGACTACAAAAAGGAATAAGGGTACTACTGGGCATCCTAGGCTGAGTGCGCCGCGGATTCAATGGGATGCCCTTCCTGGCGCACTTGCTTTCGTTGACCTCGTCGCTGCCAAAAGGATAAGGGTTTAGGGTTTAGGGTTTAAAGCACTGCGGTCGAAACACAACATCCAGAATCTGCCGACCAAGAGATACACGGAAGTTCTACAGACACAAACTCCTGCCTCCTTTCGTGTGAAGAAAAATAATGTCCAAGAGCACCGTGGAGGGCAGTGGAAAGCGCAACAGTTAGGAACCCTCCCCCAAAAACGAAACCCAATCGCTTGAGAATCAAACTTCTTAGCTCGAGGAAGAGCAGTCGCCTTGACTCGCTAGTTCATGGTCTTAAGCGGTGAAGCCCTCTGAGCTCTGGGCATGGCACAAGAAGAGCGTGTCGCGCTGCAGGTTGTAGAGGTAAAGGAAAAGGCGATCCGGGGACACCTGAGGCAGTCTTGCTCAGCCTTCAGGTTTGGATCCAGCACTTATATATTAGAGGGGGCCCCCACCCCGTCATAGTGGTACAATAGGAATATAGTAGGGCCCCAATATAATCCTTATAGCCACTGTTACAGGGTGGGGGCAGCTTCTAACCTATATAGGATATTAGGCTTGGTCCGGCACTTATATAGGATTTTGAGGCTTGAGGCTGCAGGTCACCCTAAATAATGCCTAAACCCTGCAAACCCCCAACTTCTTGCGCACCGAGTACTCTATACTTTATAAACCTAGACTTCAAGCTCAGGCTTGACAAGTCGGGTGTAGGATTTCAGGGCTTGGCCTACACCTTAAACCCTAAACCTTCAAGTGCTTACCTGTGGTTAGTAGGGAATGGAAGAATGGTAGCAATAGTAGTTAAAATTGTACCCCATTCCTCCATTCCCTACTAACCAAAGGTAAAGATCCCTTTAAAGGAACCCTAAACCCCCATAGATCCCTTTAAAGGAACCCTAAACCCCTATAGATCCCTCTAAAGACCAAAGGTAAGAGCGTGGGCTTTCGGAACCATGGCTTCCCAAAACCCCGACAAAGCCGAGATACATCCTGGGGTTTAGGGTTTAGGGTTTAGGGTTTAGGGTTTAGGGTTTAGGGTTTAGGGTTTAGGTAGGGTAAGCCGAGATACATCCTGGGTGTAGAAGCGGCCGCTCACACCGCCCGTGAGATCTGCAAGCGCATCCTGGTCGGTAACATACCCTAAGGATCCGCATGTGGTTGGTTGTCAAAATTATGGCCCCTGTTGGGGGTACCCTAAATATAGGTGCCTTCTTATTGTAAGGACCCCAAAAGAGACCCTATTATTGACAACCACCCATGTGCCGGAGTGGAGATGGTGCTCCGATGATGATGAAAAGCTAATGTTGTTAAGGCTCACCCTGCTCCTGATTCTCAGCCAAAAAACTGTAAACCCAAGGACCATCAACCAGACCCTAAACCTTGAATGCGAGTTCTTCCAGGACAGACTTGAAATACGGCTACAATGACATGCTTTTCTGCCGATCCCCCTGTGATTGAAGTTTAGTCGCTTTATGTTTACGTCATTGCTTAAGGGTGCAGTACCAGATAGTCAGATGTGTAAGCTTAGGGTCAGAGTAGCTATAGGTTAGTACTCAAAACCCCAAACTCAACACCCTAACGGCCCTGACGTAGACACCTGATCCCTTAGACCCTCAACACTAAACCCCCAGGCCGTCAAACACAAATGCCTTCACCTTACCTGTAAACCCTAAACACCCTGAAATGCTAACCACCTGGGCCCTTCTAGGGGAATCCTTAAGGCAACCCTCAAAGCAACCCTTTGAAACTATGGGGGGCCCCTGTTGCTGAGTGCATAAGCCCCCAAAAGTATACACTTTCAGTGTTATAGTGGGTAACATTACCCCCCCAAAACGTGTAAAGTGCTTATAGTAGAAGCCAGAAAGTTGGAACATCATTCTCCTCATGCTCTTAAGGTAAAGTAGAGGGAATCCTAGCACTAATCATCCTAAATCCATGTTCCAACTTTCTGGGGTTCACTATATACTAGCCATCGAGGGCGCCCCCGTGCTGAGTCGCGACGAGGCAAAGCAAGGGGCCTCCACCTGGCCGCCGCCGCCGATCTGAGAACCCAGAGACTCCAATATCCCTTAATTAAGGAATACCTAGGGTTCCTTTAAGGGATCTATAAGGGATCTATAGGGTTTAGGGTTTAGACTCCAATATCCCCAAAGGGTACAAGTATCATTCTGGTATATACATATAGGGTATTTTGGGGGCCTAAGTATATACCATGATGATACTTGGACCCTTTGGGTGTTGTCAGCATTTCTTGAAGATTCTTGAAGGTTCAAACACGGCTGTTATGGGGCTTCGTTTAGGGTTTGAGGTTCTCGTGAAGGTTTATTAGATACGGTTGTGGTAAGGTTTGCTTTAGGGTTTGAGGCTCTCTTGAAGGTTTTAATACGGTTGCTATAGGGTTTAGTTTAGGGTTTGGGGCTTCGGGCTTGGGGTTCTCTAAAGGGTTTCGGTAGTTGACAGCTAATTCATTTAGGGTTTCGGCGCTGCTCCGCCATGGCGCTCTTGTCTCGGAGCTTCTTCTTTGTTTTGCAGCTACGAAAAACTGCCGACTGAAACCCTATTTGTGTAGGAGTTGGCAAGGCCCGGAAGAACTACTACTCCGAAACCTTAGTCTGTAGGAATTAGGCCCTCTCAGCCCTATTCCAAAACTCTATTCTTTAGGAATGTGACCCCAAACCCTGTTGCGCAAACTTTCGGTGTTCACTCTTAAGGTTCCAAGATGTCCAAGTACGCAACTCACTATGTGCTACTGCCAAAGGCCTTAACCGCCTTAACCCTTAACCCCAATCCGGTCTACATGCATCCTAGTGTAAATTTCGCAGGTACCACGTGAAAGCCCAGCTACCTCCAGGTTTGTGTGGCTTTATGTGGTGTTCTTAGCTCGTATAATGGGATCTTGTAGATTTCTATACGGGTTCTCTGTGGCGTTTACGGATTCAACAGTGTGTACCTAGAGTCTTTCCAGAATTTCAAGCGTCTTCCTCTATACCTACATAGTAGTGACCTTTTGGGGACCCCCGGGGTGTAGGAACCTGATTAAGAAACCTTGGGCCTTTATTAGGGTTTCTGTAAAGGGCTCTATACGGGTTACTATCAGGGATCTATAAGGGTACTATAATAATGTAGGAAGGAACCTTGGGCCTTTATTAGGGTTCCTGATTATGAATCCTACTATTGTTGGTGTTATAGGCCCAAATTTTCTTTAATGAGCTTCCTACATTATCTCTATGCCGCCGCCACATACGAAAGTGGGCTGTTAGGATCGGTTCGAGCATGTGTGGCAACATGGCTTTACGATGTACGGCTTACCTAGACGCTCACACCCTGCCCCTTTTTTGGGCGCCTACTTTTTTAAGATAACAGGTCCTAACCATAAAAATAGGTATCCTAAAAAGGGGTAGGGTATGAGCCTCAAGGTAGGGTGCAATCAGGGTTTCTTCGATGCATGTGGGACTCGGAACTGTTGATTTCGGCGTTTGCTTGGAGGTTCATGGGTAGTTGTAAGTAAGGTTATAACTAGGGTAACTATACTTATAACCCATATTAGGGGACTTATGACCCTACTTATAACTACCCCTGAACCTCCAAGTGGGACCCTGATGACGAAGCTGGGAGCTCCGACGGCCATCCAGCCGCCACTGTTGTCGTCCGGATTTTGCCCGTCCCGCAGGGTGTGGACCTCACCGCTCCACTCGCAAATTCTGTTGAAGAAGAAGTTGCTCTCAAAGGGGGAAAGGAGGGACCCTTAAAGGGGACCGCTACCCTATAATGGGCTATATAATGGGTAAATAATGGTATATTAAGGGTAGATGACCCAGGGGTCCTTTATTAAGGGTCCCTCCTTTTACCCTTGGATTTTCTTCAGGGGGCAGGGTCGGAAGTGCATCAAGGCTAGTAGCTTGGTCTCATTATGTCAATATGCGCACCGTGATGGAAGAGAGAACGCAGCACAACCCGTAGAAAGTGTCATACCTGCTTCTTGGCTCAAGACCCCAGCTCTACAAACCCCTCAAAACCTGGATCACACAAAGCTTCCACCCTAGACCTTACGACCCTAAGACCTAGATCTGAAAACCGCACTTGCACCGACACTAAACCCACACCGCCGTGACCTGTGCGGATAAGGCCCTAGCACGAAGCACAATATATGTGGTTCTGCTCGATTTAGCCTTATACTGATGATCGTATTATTTACTCTGAGTATTACTATTATTTGTACATGTATCGTCTTATGACCATTCGCCGTACATTCTTGTCTTCGACAGTCGGACCTGCAGTTCAATGGCTTCACTTGCAATCATTTCATGCTTTAGGGCTGCTTAAAGGATCATGGGACTTACGGTGGACGATATAAACCCTGCATTTCCTTAAGGACCCTAAACTATGGGAATTATGGTATATTCCTTATTTTGGGGAGTGCAGGATATGTATCATCAACAGTAGTGACTAAGGTTATTATAAGGGTAACTATACTTACAACTGCTTATAACCCCAATTAAGGTACTTACAACTTCACTTACAAAGTCCCATGATCCTCCAAGTAGGGTGTTCAAAGTGCACTGAGCTTTCGCTCGCATGCTCACGATGGTCCTGCTTATACAGGGCCTAGAACGGGGGGGTTTGGGCCCCAAAGACACGATCCCAAGCAGAAAGGATACCTTAGAAGTTGCCCCCACCCTGTAATAGTGACTATAAGGATATTATATTCTACTATACCACTATTACAGGGTGGGGGCAGTTTCTAAAGGATACCTGGATTCTGAATGGAGGGCATGGGGGTTTAAGAGTTCAGCTCTAGGCCTTTTGGCCGTTGGGGCCAGCAGGGCTCAGACGCCACACAAATCAGACCTGATGTTCCCGTGAATGACGAGCAAGGACAAAGGCATGCTCTAAACTTTAAGGTATTGGCCTGAATGGGCTATAATGGAAAGGATCTCATGGCTAGTTCTTGCGACCTCAAATAACACGCTGAACCCGAAACAATCTTAGGCCATCATTGTTTGGGGAGCTTCCGAAAATAGGGGACCCGAATCTGTAGGATCCGTACTGTAAGGACCCCAGAATAAGGTACCCCCAATTTTCGGAAACTCCCTTTTAGTTTTGGACGATGTGGGGGCTCAGGTCCAGCTGTCGGGGTCGAGATTTCGGGAGGAGGCTTGGGCCCGAAACCGTTAAAGCTAAACCCTACCTAGAGGCTCATTTCCTACCCCTTTTTAAGGGTACCTGCTTTTCCATATAACAGATCCTTACCATAGAACTAGGTATCCTAAACAAGGGGTAGGGTATGGGCCTCTAGGCAAAGCCTATCAAGCTTTCACTCCAAGACCTCCGCTATGAACTGTAAACAATTGGACCCTAAACCAGACTCCTACACCCTACACCACCTCTGAATCAAACCTGAAATCCTACGCCCCTAGAGCCCTATGTAAGTCCTAAAACCAATGTGCAGACCAGCCAGCCCCACCCCGGGAGTACTTCTGTAGCGCCTTGGCGTAGGCTTTCTCGACCAGGGATGGCCTAGCAACAATTATCTCATAGAGGCCTTAATGACTGAGGCTTGACGAGGGTCTTCTATAGTTTTGGAGGGCTTCATAGGATTTCATCGTGTCTGCTAAGCCTTATGAACCTATCAGGTTTTATCATCTAACAGATCTAACATCCCATACTTCAAATTCAGTTAGACCTGTTTCGTGAAACCCCCAAACACCCACGTCATAAACCCATAAGTGCTTCGCCCCGAAATCAGTGCCAGGACGTTCGCAGTGAGTCTCAACCCCATAACCTCGAAACCTCGAAACCGACTGAACCCTGAAGGATATGTGGTTCCAAAGCCAACTTTCAACCCTGAACCCCAAACGCTGAACCCCACGAAGCCTCAACCCCAAACCCGAAACCCCAAAGCCTGAACGGTTTAGGGTTTAAGGTTTCCCCAAACCCTGAACCCCAAACCCTGCACCCTTCAACACAGGAAGGAGCGCCACAGGATGTAGGGGAAGTGCTCGGAACCTGGGCGGAAGGGTCGACCCTGGCTGGAGTGGCGAGGTTATGGCTTAGGTTGAACCCGAATCCCAATATGGCAGTTTCCGAAAATTAGAGGGTACCTCATTTTAAGCTCCTTATAATAAGGATCCTACTATTTAGGATACTATATTAGGGTACCCTATCGTATCCTCCCATATAGGGGCCTTAAAACCTAGAATAGGGTTTTGGGGATCTTATACTGTATTCCAGGCTATAAGGGGACACTATCAGTCATTCTTCCGACCCATCTAGATATATATATATATATTAAACCCTCAACTTTGCCGCTGTTGGGACCTCTGAAGTGTGGAGCTCGGATTACTGCAAGGGACCAGCCTCGAGTAGTCTTGGCTACCTGCAATCCTCAAGCCTCACATTCCCCATCGCACCCCAAAGCCCTGAACCCTAAACCTAAACCGGAAACCGCTTTCCGCGGTCAACAGTTTTCAAAGATCGCAAACCTAGCCTTACTGTCTAGGACCCGTTTGCTCCGGATTTCTGTCGCAGGTATGGTGCGGCTAGCTTTACCTCACTATAGTAAGCTGTCGCCTTTGATGTGTATACATGTATAGAAAGTATACGCATGTAGTATATGCGAATGTATATGACAGGCATATGCATGCTTGCATGCATGCATGCTTGCATGCACACTCGTACAACTATGCTCTCACACCCGCTTGCAAAACCCGGCCTTCAACCAGAAACCATAAACATTGCTGAGGTCCGTGCGGCAGCACAACGGCTCGAAGCCGTTTGGAGCCAAGGGTGCGTAATCGTCCTTGGCAACATCATTTGAGTTTCCAAGACATAGGATATGCTATCCAAGGCCCCGAAATCTTGTTTGGGTTTAGGGCTGGGTTTAGGGTTTAGGGTTTAGGGTGTAGGGTTTAGGGTTTAGGGTTCGGCAACAGCGCGTTTTGGGATTGGGTAGCAGGGTTCGGGGAGGTCGCGCATTTGCAGTTTTATAGGGCTCCGGCCTGAAGAGTTGAGGATGCTCTTGGCTTACTTAAAGGATCATGGGACTTAGTAACTAAGGTCATTATTAGGGTAACTATACTTATAGCTACTTTAAACCCCAATTCAGGCACCTAAAACTTTACTTACTAAGTCCCATGATCATGCAAGTAGGGATGGGGATTTAGGATTTAGGGCTTAGATTCTGAGCAACTTGGAGATCGTGGAGCTTACCTTAACCCTGAATAGTCTACCTTTTTAAATAGGGCTCCTTATGCTTTCCTTATATACTTAAGTCCTAAAAAGGGTAGGTTCTTCAGCGCTAAAGTAGAGCTTAGAGCTTAAAGCCCTGAGCTCTAAACCCTAAGCCCGAAAACGGCGCAAGGTTAGGGGATCGCGGCTAAGTCTTTCCGGCGTTGGGGGACGGTTGTTGTGGAACAGGAATTGAATGATTCAGGCTTGATAGGATGCAGCAGCAAAAGTTTCTGGAGCTTGGATCACTAACACTAGTTAAGGATCTACACACACCTCTTTTTTTGAAAGCCCTGACACTTGAACATCCAAAACCTCAAAACCGTAGTCTCTCTTAAAGTATACAGTATACCAGACGAAGCCTCTATTTGACCTCTAAGTCCGTGGCCACCTCCACCTTCAGCCATATTCCGTTCTTGAAGATGCGGAGGATGTACACTGCCCGCCTGGTGCCAGTTTAGGGTTAGGGGTTTAGGATTAGGGGTTCAGGGTTTAGGGTTGAGGGGTTCAGAAGTTTGGTCCAGGGTCCAGGGTGCCTGAACCCGCAAAAGGACGTAAACTAACGGCCCGATACCAAGTGGCCAGTACTTGTTCTGCATACTTTTTGGGTCCAGTAAGCGGCTCAGCATCTGGGGATATTTAGAGATTAGGGTTCAAGGGTGTCTGTCATGGTCTCAGGGGTGGAGAGTATTTCAATCCTGAAGTAGCTCGATGGATATAAAGGGCCAAACCAGTGCCCAAACAGGCTATGATCCCGGAACCCTAAACCATGAGTCACAAAGTGTTCGTGTTCCACCTTCACACCTCAAGTCCAGATGCCTTTGCGCTTGAACCCAATCAACTCTCCGTTATTCCCTCAGGCAACTCATCTAAATCGGGACTTAGAACCTTGAGTACTTACCAATTAAATTATTCCTTTGGGCTCCTTACTATATCTATACTGTAAAAGGACCCCCAAAGCCCTATTCTAATTATTAAGGCATCCACTTATGTTAGGATGCCCTGTAACCTCGGAATAGAAAGGGCTCCCTTTTTGGTATTCGGTAACTTAATGAGGAACCTAGGACTACAAAAAGGGAATAAGGGTACTACTGGGCATCCTACTTGAAGCATCATGGGACTTATTAACTAAGGATATTGTTAGGGTAACTATACTTACAACTACTTATAACCCCAATTAAGGTACTTATAACCTTACTTGCTAAGTTCCAAGATCCTCCGAGTATGTTTGGAGCCCTAGGATGAGCTCGGAGCTTCGTGTCGTAGCAGAGGAAGAGGGAGCGCGCCAGTGCCGGGCGAAGTGAAATCGCCTGGCGGATTGACCGGAGTTTCGAGGTTGATATAACCTAGAGGGTCCATATACACTACAATGATGGAATTAGGCCCCCAAAACCATAATGGGGAGGGTCTTTCAGGGCTTAATTCCAGAATAGTAGTGTATATGGACCCTCTGGGTAACCTAAACCCGAAAACCCAGAATCGTTTGGAGCATTATATTACGTCGTATTCTATATTTCTATAGTAACCGTATAGTACACTGTATTCAGAGTGGGGGCAGTATCCACAAAGGTTTAAGGCTCGGAGTTTACCGCTTGGGCATTAAAATACTTTGGCTGCAGGAAGACACAGGTCCCAACTGCTGAGGAATCGGGTCTTCAGAACTAGATTGACCGATTATACTGTACTATATTATACTACACTATACTACACTTTTCTTTAAGATATTACACTATTAACCATTCTATATTACAACAGACTCTACTATACTAAGAGATACTATACTGTAGTGTCCTGTATTATAGCTTACGGCACTGCACTTTTCTATATTATGCGTTTCTGTATTTGGGTATACTATGTTGTACTGTACCATACTCTTATGCTACCGTTTGCAGAATCTTGCAGTGCCTTCGGCGGAGTTGTGTAGTACGGAATCGGGGGCTCAGCAATCACTGTGAGTCACAGAGTAAATGCCGTGACAACTTCTGGTGACCCGAGTTTAGCTACTTCTCACCCTACATACAACTACTCATGAACCTTCACATATCCTTACACCACAAAGACGTACACTGAAGCTACAGAAGCGTCGTGAAGGACTTCTATACACCAGCATCTGAACCTCCCCCGCCCGCCACCCCACTGATATCTCAACCAGATACTGGCTCAGCATCTTCGGCTTGAGGGTTTCGGGTGTACAGTGTTGTCAGAAGCCCCTTCTGGTTTCGGGTGTAGTCATAAGCCTCTGCGCGTTGGTGCTGACGGGCAACCGAATCACCCGATATACTTCGGCATGAGGTTTGGTGGCTCTGCAGTGTGCACCAAACCTGAATTCAACGGGCGAAGCGCGCAACCAAACCGCAACAAATCCACGTGTCTATGGTTCAAAATCTTGGGGCGGCGGGGCCTTTGCTTTAAAGGCTTGGCTAAACCGAGGCCGGCAGCACATTCAAAGCTTCCACCAGGTACATGTTGTCAAGATGTCCCGGGTAGACTCGGCCGAAATGCCTGAGTAAAGCTCAGGCTCAGGGCGGGAAGAGTTGAGGTTTGCTTGGGAAAGACTCTACGCAGCAAGCCTCGCCCAGGCAGCAAAAGAAGCGACAAGCTGAACACGAAAACACTCACCCCATGAACCCTCTGTCCAAACCTCCCTAATGAAATCCTCAGCCCCTAAACCCTAAACCCCTAAGCCCTAAACTATACTGAACTTAGAACCCTAGCAACAATTATAATTCTAGCTGTTTCTTAGGGATTATAATAACTTAAATTAAGAAAATTCTAAGTACCCCTAAGTAAAGCCCAATACTCCACAGGCCCCCGTCCGCCAAATACGCCCTAAAGCCGAAGAGCTCAGCTCAGACCCGAATTACCCGAAAAGCAAAAACACCACCCCGAAGCCTCCCACCCCCCAACTACCCTTAAGGGCGACAGGAACCCTAAAAGAGTTTAATTAAGGTCCATATACCATTTAGAGGTTCAAAGGTGCAAGGGTTTGGGGTTTAGGGCCCGGGGAGGGGGCAAGATTCCTATACCGCAATATTCCATGCTTTCAGTTTGCATGCTCTCCCGGGCTGGGGTGTTTCTCACAGGTTTGGGTGCTCGCTCGCTCTTTCCTTCTCCCCAAAGCAGCAGCTTCCTGGCGAGCAGCTTGCCCCGATGCTGCAGGTACGCAGCAACATAACTCAGGAGACCACACTCTCCAAGGCAGCTGTGAGACAGCTGGTGCCGTACTCCAGGACAAAAGCAAATCTCTCCTTCCTCATCTTCGGCGATTCAAAAAGGAAGCCTTTCTCATGCTTGTCTTCGAAGTCGCTGCTCGAAATCATCGCCGAACATTATGGCCCGATGTGATTATGCCATCAGCACGAAGTTTGTCTTCCGAGTTTCCGTGCAGTGAATTCTTGGATGTCAAGTTGTTGATATCTGAGCTTCATGCTTCTATTGCTGGTGCCTCTGAACATCCACGTTAATCAAAAGCTGAATGCTAGGCCAACACACGAATCCGAGCGAGCACGCTGCTTTGTTAGAAACACAGTTGCTGAGCGAGCATGGCTATCGAAAGCTCTGAAATTCAGCGGCTCATAATTAGCACAAGGGTACAGGGCCCCTGCTTATACGGATCATTTGGTCCCCAAGGACAGTCCCAAACCCAGTGCCGACCCCAACCCCAGCAGCATGCACAAAGAAACTGGTGCAGGGTTCTCGTGCTTGTGTTTTTTGGGGTTCTGGGTTTAGTGTGCGGGGTTTGGGGAGTCCGGATTGAAAATTGGCCTTTCAGGCTTAGGCCGTTCAGCCCACCTGCCTAAACCACAACAAATTCTAAACTCACTCACTTACTTACAATCTCTAAACCCTAAACCCTAAACCACAAAATCTCTAAACTCACTCACTTACTTAAATCCCTAAACCCTAAACCGACCTACAACACTCTTCGGGCTCCGCTGGGGTGCGCCGTGGCGTTCACACGGCTCTCGTCGAAGAGCATGGCAGTGCCAGAAGCCAAAGGCTCGAACCTGGGGTTCCCCAGAGACTCCATAAAGGAATACCTACTGTTGATGATACAAACCCTGCATTACCCATAATAAGGTTGTTCCATTATTCCCATAGTTTAGGGTCCTTAAGGTAATGCAGGATTTATATCATCAACCGGGTTCCTTTAAGGCACCTATAAAGGGATCCTTAACGGGATCTATAGGGTTTAGGGTTCGCAGAGACTCCAAGATCCCTTTAAAGGGATCTATAAGGGTTCCTTTAAGACTTCCTTTTAAAGGGATCTATAGGGTTTAGGGTTTAGGGTTCCCAGCGACTCCAAAATCCCTTAAGTAAGGAAGTTTCCTTAAGTCAGATTCGGGATCCTACTGTAGTTTAAGGTATATTCCTTAATTGAGGGATATAGGAGTCTCTGAGTTCACAGGTTTAAGTTTAGACTTGGGGTTTAGGGTTTAGGAGTTCAGGGCTCAGGGCTATTGCGGTTTAGGTGTCAAGGTTTGGGGTGTAGAAGTTCACAGTAGGGTTTCACCCCATCGTAGTTCCTTTGTGGGGTCCATATGTAGAATCCTATAAGGTAAACCCAAAAAGGAACTACTATGGGGCCTATGGGTAAGGAATGTTGAGGGCCTACGATACGACGTCGTTTTGGTGTTTTGGCCTGGCCATCCCCTTTGGCCTCCAAACCCTCAGCCCCTAAACCCAGAGGCCCCTTAAACCCCATATTAGGTCTAGACCCAAGAGTAACCTAGGAATAAAAAGGGTGCCCTTTTTGGCTTAGAGGGGCCTATAAGGGAACCTGAACCCTAAAAAAGGGAATAAGGGCCTACTGTAGGTCCTAGATATTAGGTTGAACCTTTTGAGGAGCCCTTTAAATCCCTTCCAAGCACACCTGGAGACTCTCCAAGCTCAAAACAACCTAACCTTTGAGACATTCGGCGCCAACGGCGCCTGATCAGCAGCTTTTTCTTAGCAGCTGTCGGTCGCGAAATCAGATAGAGGGCGATCGATCCCTCTTGGAACCCATTTGCGTAGTCCCGGAAGTAGGTGGCCCTTAGGTCTGTGACCCAACCACGCGTCTCACAGGCGGCCTCGTCATAGGCAGCCGAAACGGTCCAACATGTCCAGGAGGTGGAGGTGGCAACGGTAACCCAGGAGAAGGCAGAGGCAAAATGCCTGGCTGAGGTGCCTTTCCCGGGCTCGGGCTCGCTGCTCGTACCGAGGGCCTCGGTGCCCTTGGTTTGGGAAGTCCTTTCGGCTTCGGCGGCAGGTAGGCCTGTGGTGCCCGTGTTGGGGCTATTGCCTTCGCTTTTGGCCGAACCGAACTACTTACCAAAATACTTACCTACATAACTACTATCCTAAAACCGAGTACCTAATTATAAAAGTCCATATAATAGAACCCTTATAGTAACCCTTTTTAAAAGAACCCGATATAATTTGGACCCCGGGGGAAGGATGACGAGACTGAGTACAACTTATGGTAGCTCTACTTACTACTACTCATAACCCTAAACCCTAAACCTGCAAAACCCTAAACCCTAAAGCCTAAGCCCTAAACCCTAAACCTGCAAAACCCTGAAGCCTAAACCCTTAGGCTTAAACCCTCTGTAACAATTGAGGCTGGAACTCTGAAAGCCGTTTCCATCGATCGGTCTTGTCTGGGCGCAGAGTGGAGCGTGGAGGTTTTTCGAGCTCCGGGTTTCGGGTGCTCAGCGGGATCCCGCAAGGGTTCTATAAGGGTTGAAAAACTAAAAACACGAGCTTCTAACATAGGAGCCTTAAAGTTCGAAGAAGGTTTCGGGGTAGATTATGGCATGAAAACGGGCATAGGAACTCCTGGCGGACTAATGTTGCCTCAGAGGTTTGAGAAATTTAGAGGAGTGAAGATTTCGTGGCAGATCCGATAGCGAACTATGTGTAAAATCCAACTATCAAGGGCTTCGTAGCGTTTCGGGCTTCAGGCCCTAAACCCTGAACCCCTAAACCCCTAAATTCTTGCCCGGAACTCCTACAAATCCATTGCGCCTTTCAACCCCTCAACTGTCAACCCCTCCCTGGACCCTAAGCCGTAAACCCTAAACAGCTGAACCCTAAACCCTAAACCTTAAACCTTAAACCCTAAACCCTCAACAGCTGAACCCTAAACCCTAAACAGCTGAACCCTAAACCCTAAACCCCAAACCTTTAGAACCCCACACCCAAAACCATGAACCCCTCTACTCTGAACCACGGTGCCCGCGAACTCTGAGCCTCTATACTTCCGGCCGATCGTCTGTCTACCCTTAAAACCCCTATCCAACCATATCTCATACATGCCATTTTTTATGCACTATGTACTCTGTAGTACATATTATGTATTCTATGTTATAGTTATATACTGTATGTTCTACACTATAAGCTATGTGTATTATATATATATATATATATATATATATATTCTATATTATCTATATTGTATTAAACCCTGAAGCCGGTACCGTCGTTTGAAGGCGAAACACCGGAGGTCTCCACACCGGTCTGATGATAATTTTGCTTCCGGGATTCATGCTTCTGAGGTGTAGGCATTGAAGGGGCTCAAGGGGGGTTTGTGATGAAATCGGTAGTTGGAGAACCCTACGGGTCCAAGGACCTAATTATCATATACTCTCCGAAATAATAACCTACATAACTACTATCTGAAAACCGAGTACCTAACTATTGGATCCTTTGGACCCTTAGGGGAAGCTAGGGGCCTGGGGTTGGGGTGACGTTGGGCTAGAGGTTTATGTTGCGCATCAGCATACGGATCCTAAGCCACGCCAGCCTGGTTGTGCTTCCACTGGCTCATACTCGTCTTCGTCCTCGCAAGAGCAAAAGCACAGCGTTTCCTTCTCATGAGTTATGGATTTTTAGGTATAGACAATCGGGGACACGATGCAAGAGTGTAAGATAGCATTGTGCTCGATAAGACTTGCAATCTGCATGTCCATAAAAGACGAGGATGTCCCTCGTGCCTCTACTCAACAGCGGGTATCCTGTGTCAAGCCATCCTTTACCATCGTCATGATCATCATCATTCCTGCAACCTGATAGACTTGAGCTGATTCAGACTGAACATAACCAATGCAGGCACCCAGACCTAACTACAACACATTCCAAGCCCTGCCTCCCTTGCTGCCACTGATGTGGTACCGCACTGCTGGAAGGCCTTGCCGTTCCTCAGCCAGAAGACCATAACCGGCCAGGTGACCGAAAAACGCCAAATTTCGGATGGCTCGCATGACGGCCTCGTCCTCTGTTGGCACAGGCACTTGCTGGGAGCCCACAGTAGTCAGCATGGCCTCGCCAACCCGGGCACGCTCCTTGAAGTCTGCTGCCTTCCGGCCGGTTTTTGTGTGCTTTGGCAGCATCACCTTGGGCGAACATGATGCGGAAGATTCCAACTGACGCCTTCGTCGGGCAATCTGCAATCCCGCGAGACAAGCGAGGCACATGTGAAGGCATCACGCGACAGGTTTCAAGAGTGCACTACGGGGTTGTCGAGCGGGAGTTTTTCCAATACCAGCCCCACGTAGCTAACCCTAAATCCTAAACCCTAAACCCTAAACCCTAAACCCCCGCAGAAAACCTCAAGTTCTACGAGCCTCAAGCCCCAAACCCACTGCTGCCACACAAAGATTTTGTTGCATTGGGGCCTATCTAAGCCCTCACACCTTCAAGTCCCAAGTTCTATAAGCCTCAGAAACCTAAATGCCCCAAACTCTAAAGCCTCAAACACCTTAAAGCTTCAAACCCCAAAGCCCAAAACCCGCGGAAACCCTAGACTCTTGAAATCCCAGAACACCAAAACCCTACAGCCGGAAAGCCCCAGAACCCTGAAACCCTGATTCCTGCCTCTTCCCCGAAGATGGGCTCCTCTTGTGCAGGGCGCACGACAGGCTTGGGGGGCCTTTTTGGTCGATGGGGTTCTGGGTTTCTATACTGAACTTAGAACCCTAGCAATAAATATAATTTTAGCTGTTTCTTTGGGATTATAATAACAAAAATTTTAAACTATTTCTAAGTACCCCTAATGTTTGCGGTTTTCGGGCGTCGGTTTAGGGTTAGTCTGGGTAGGGTTGGCGGTTTAGGGTTATTCAGGCTGAGGTTCCGGTGTGGGTTTTCCAGGCCTCGCAGGTTCATAGTGGATGCAGCAATTAAGCCTGATCATCATAACTAAACCCTAAACCCTAAACCCCTAAACCCTAAAGGCTTCTGATGACAACCTCCCCGGCCCACCTGCAACATGCAAGCGACCCGAGCACTAAACCTCTGAACAAAAAGCGGAAAGGTACCAGCTGAAGGCGGAAACACAAAAGCCCTGCGCATGCAATCTCCTCTCTCAGGATCCTATGGCCAAGTCCATAGATTTTCAAGCATTTATAGTAACACGTGGCCCCCGGTTTGTGACAGCCTATCGTGTTGGGAATTGGACCTGGTGCTAAGCTTCAGGATCAACGTATTTCGGGCTTTATCATGCCGATATTGAGGTGTAGACGTAGGCTAGGGTTGTCGGGTGATATGTTTCTCCCATTCTTCCACACAAAGTCCTCCTGAATGATCTCTCGAGCGTCGGGCCTAGCATGCAACGCTTGCCAAGGAAGCAGGCTCACAGTCTACTTGGAGGATCATGGGACTTAGTAAGTAAGGTTATAAGTACTTTAATTGGGGTTATAAGTAGTTATAAGTATAGTTACCCTGATAATAACTTTAGTTACTAAGTCCCATGACCCTTTAAGTATAGGGTTTACCCATACGCCCCAAAGTAGTTCTTTGTTGGGATTACCTTATAGGATTCTAAATATGAACCACAAAAAGGAACTACTATGGGGCCTTAGGGTAGGAAGCAACACACAGTCGTCAACATTGTCAATGTAGGTTGTTTTGGACACCATACTGCCAAGCGGAGTAGCAACGGCAGTATCAGCCAGGGCAGCAAGCAGGGCTACTGCTCTCATACTTGCATTCCCTTAAGCTGAGAATGCCGGAGTATTGAATTCAGATCCAAACTTCTTCAAAACTAAACCTTGATCCAAACTCCCGTAGACACCAAGCTCCATAGTTTGTTCAGCAGTGGTCCTAATGCCGGAGACCCTGCCCTGTGGAACTCGAATACCCCAGAGGCCGTGTATGCGCCGTGCACTCCTAAACCAGGATCCGTGCACGAACAGACCTCAAACCCGTTTGGCTACCATACAACAACAGAACACCACCAACAACTGGAGTGAAACCCTTGCAATGCCGACAGCCACAAATTCAAGCCCTAACTGAAAGCCCCTAAACCCTACACGTTGCAACCTCAAATTGTGAAAGTGCTGGTTTCCGAGGCAGCGGCACGAGGAGTTGGGACTTCTCCGGAGCGAAGGGCAGCACACCGAAGAAACGAACGTCAGGTAGAATCTGGCGCTTCTGCACGGTTTAGGGCTTGGCTTAGTCTTAGCACCTAAACCCTAAAGTAAGCCCTGGTTAAGGTATAGGTTTAGGGTGCAGATACATAGACGAAAGTCGACACATACGCTTCCTTCAAGGGTTTGATAGTAACCCTAAGGCTCCATGTACCCTTATAGTATATACTGAGGCCTTAAAAATACCCATATAGGGACCCCCTTAAGGCTTAAGTATCTACTATAAGGGTACATGGAGCCTTTGGGTAAGGTTCGATCTAGGGTTCACCTATAGTCTCCATTGTAGTTCCTTGTTTTGGTTTGCCAAAATCTCTATTATAGGATCCTAACCATAAAACTGGTTAACCAAAAAAAGGAACTACAATGGAGACTATATGTAGGGTTTGAGGATTCGGGTTGATGTAGGGGTCGGAATTGCTAAATGCAGCGCTCTACAAGGGTTTTATAGGCTTCATCACCTTTCGCCTGGTGGCAGCCATAATAGTACTAGTAGGGTTTGAAGATAGTGACCCAATTTCGAAGCGTATAGGGTTTCAGTGCATGAACGGTTTACTGCTACGGGGAGTTTAAGGATCGAAATGAGCCCTCTGTTGGGAATTCTTAGCCGCCCTTAGCACCAGAATGAGAATAACCTTCTTATGGGCCCCCTAAAGTTACATTACAAGAAAATGAAACATATTTCATGTTTCCTAGGAGCAGTAAAGTATTGGGGCTCCAGGGAATGATGAAAATAATGGGGTAATGGTAGTAATAGTAGACATACTTGTACCCCTGTCCTCCATTCCCTACAATTACCCTAAACCCTAAACCCTAAACCCTAAACCCTAAACCCTAAACCCTAAACCCTAAACCCTACTAACCAAAAGTAGGAAATCCAGAACTTCGGGTTGAGAACTTGAGCCAAGCATGCCCTTTCCGAATCCGGAAACGTGGAAGCCTAACCCGCGCAAATCCGAAACCCGCAGCCGTAATTTGCCTTTTTGGGTTCACGGACCCTTTGGGCAATGTCGGGGCTTCTTGATCCGAATGAGTTCTGGGATTTGTGATAGCAGTATCGCGAATAAGGAATATTGTTGATTCCGATCAGTACTGTTAAGCCACAAGAAGGCAAAATCAAAATCTTGAACGCAACTTCCAGCACACCTAAAATCTGTAAAACAACTTAGGGCTTAGGGCGTCGGGTTTAGGGCTAACCCTAAACGCTAATCAGAAAAGCCTAGATCGTGAGCATCAGGAGCTTGGGCTGCAGGGATGCTGGAGTCATCATCTTCCAAGCCCTGAGGTAACAACTAAAAGAAGATCCGCAAGAAACCCCATAATTGTAATTGTAAGACATTTCAGGGATCCGATGAATATCGACGAAGCCGTGTGGTCGTTTTTTTGCTCCTTGTCCGATCCACCCCCTGAGATCCACCTCGGGGTCGTTGGTGAACTTGCCTTCGCAACTAATCCAGTGAGTGCATGGGCGGGATAGCTAAGGGTCGCTCTACCACCAGCAACGGCTATAACTAGGTCTAACTTTACAATGACTGTGGCTCCGTCTGTATTCCCCAAACCCGATCATAACCAATCTAGTTCTGTATCTATTTCACCAGACTTCTGTTGGGGCTTGGCTTTGGACGGGGTTAGAACATCATCCAAAGCTACACAGGGGCAAAGGCTTCTCACGAAAAACGGTTTAGGGCTTAGCCGTGACGTCGCTCGGTGTTGTGGCCACGGGTCCCATTTTTTGTAAGTCAAGGACCCTAAAATGCCAAGGTTCTCAGCTGGGGGATAGAGTGCTCGGTGGTGCAACGTCTTAAATTTGGAATTTCAGGTTTGATCCACTGGAGCTCCTACCCGCCATTGGATGTACCATGGCACTGGAGATTACTGAACTTAGGCAGGGAGCCCATCCGGAAGGGTATGGCTCATATTCAGAAACCGAAGGAACATTGTTAGTATGTATTGGGTAGTATCAGGACCTCATGTGAGGTCTTATATTAGTTTAGCGCTCAAGCTGAATGATGCGGGGGTCAGGATTGGGAAATTAAAGGGCTAAGTTAACTTTCAGGTTGAAAAAGCTCAGGGCGCAGGGTTGTAGGTTCAGGTACCTGTCAGGCTGATAGTTACTATTTCAGCGATTTAACATCCTGGCATTTCGGGCTTGCTATTGAGCTTTATCGAGGTTTCGTGCGCGGCAGCATAATCGATACAGGCAGCCCGCAGCCCCAAAGTCAAAAGCCCAAACGACTGAAGCCCTGAACGCTCAACCCTTACCTAAGCACCCAAAACCCTCACCTTCTTAAGAGCTTAGACTACGCTTAGATGATTATAAAGGAATGACTCGCAATTATCATAACGAACCCTACAAGGCATCTCTTCTAGAGTTCGAATCGACCTGAACCCACCGAGCTGTTAGGCCCAACCCTCTTGGACAGTCACGGTGCCTTCCCTGAACCCTAAACCTTAAACCCTAAACCCGAGACGTTCTGCACGGTCTTTGACGTTGTGGCGCTTTCTTTTACATGGGGCTTGGGTTTGGGTTGAGTGTTCAGGGTTTAACCCAAGCTACGACAGGCAGGAGTTCTAAGCCAGGCATCAGGACCCACATTGGAAGGGCCTAAAAGACCATCCCCATTTTGGTTTTGGGCACCTAGTTCCATAATAATAGTAGTGTATATGGACACTCTGGGTATATAGAAATCCGAAAACCGCAAGTGACAAAGAACGATGAAACGCTGAAAGAGCCCCTACACGCCCGTACTGGGGAAGAAAGACATTTCCGAAGCGCCACCTAGTCAAAAGCGCGACCAACTTGACCCCCTGAGTTGAGCTCTAAACTCTACACACTGAAACCCAGGCATGAAACCCTTAACTCTAAACCTCTGCACCCCGAGCCCCAACACCCGAAGACCCAACTTGCCCTGTCCAAGCCTGTCAGACATCTACCGCGTTGCTTCATGTCCTCAACTGTGTCGCAAATGGCCTGGGGCGTGGCAGGGTGTAGGCTTTGGGGCCTTAGGGAAAACTCTGCGGGTTGTTCGGAATGGATGCAGTCCAACAAGAACAGGCTCTGTGCTTGAACAGGCATCCTAGCAAACCGCAAAACTTCACGTATCGGTGACCATGCTAGTGATGAAGCATGATCACAAGGTTTTGGCCTCGGGAGACTAGCACAGGTGAAGGCTCCAAGTGTATTGGCCATTCGCGCAGCAGGGAGGGTGCGGATTTGGTGTCCTCTAAACACGCCGAAATCCCAACACATGTCGTTGGGAGGAGATCTCCTCGTCGTCGTAATTAGCCGTGCAGTTGGTGACCGCCGCCGTTCAACGACACCAGGTGGGAGGAGAGCTATTCTTCATCCCTTCCTTGCTTCGGGGAGTTAGAAGGCAAAATCCATGCAAACATCGAGCGCTAGACGGCCGTGTATATACTCGAATCCGCCACCTGCATCCCCAAAACCCTAACAGCTTAACACATCCAAAGCCCAACCCCGAGACTCCAATACCCCTTAATTAAGGAATATACTTTGAATTATAGTAGGACCCATAATTTGATTTAAGGAATAATTCCCTAATTAAGGTGTATTGGAGTCCCTGGGCCCTAAACCCTAAACCCTAACCCCTAAGCCCCTGAACCCCTAAACCCCTAAACCCAACACCCCCATCCCTGGGGCCGCTCGTGCCTGCAAACTTCGCCGTGCCAGGGGCTCGAGGTCCATCCTCCCACTCTCCTAAGCCGGGGGGGGGGCTCCAATATCCCTTTAAAGGGATCTATAATAGGGTTCCTTTAAGAGTTCCTTTTAAAGGGATCTATATAGGGTTTAGGGTTTAGGGTATCCAGGGACTCCAATATCCCTTAATTAACGAAGATATTCCCTCAAGCCTACTAAGGATCCTACTATTATATTTTAGGGTACATTCCTTAAATTAAGGGATAGTGGAGTCTCTGGGTAGGGGACACTAAAGCCCTAATTCCTGTAGATTATTTGTATGCTGTGCTGCACAAGTAGTCCTTTTGCTTTCTCTACAATCCCGGAAACGTACCGACCGAGGGCCACGCAGCACGGAACCATCCTGCCAGCGTTTTTTTGGGAGTTCGGGGCTCGTAGTTAGAATCTTTACGTTTCAAGATCATGCCAGCTTTTGCAATTTCAGTTGAAAGGAGTTTGAGCCTGCACTTTTGCAGTTCAAGGCTTGTCGTTCAGGTTCTGTGCAGGGTTGGCGCTTGGGAATTGAGCGTTAAGACATATTCGGTGTTCTTTAGGGTCGCAGTTTTCAAGAATTTTTGGCAAGCTCACGAAGTTCAGAGAGATCGGTCTTTATAAAGCACCCCACAGCTTAAACACTGAACCCTGCACTCCAAAATCCGCACCACTGCCACTAGCAGCAAACGTCGAGCCCTAAGCCCGCCAACAAACCCGAATCCCGAAAGGGGAACCTAGAGTATCCAATGTACCTTTAAACGAAAGATAAAGCCCTACACAATTGGTGCATTTGTTTGACCAATTGGTGCATTTACCATTTAAAGAATACCTCGGATGCTCTAGGTGCTCGACCCAACAGACCCCAGACCCGATGCCATCCCCTTGGGTTCCACACGTGACACGGCTTAGGGCTTTAGGGTGGGGTTTAGGGTTCAGAGGTTCCGGCTAGAGGGGTTTAAGGGTTTACGGGAGGGTTTTAGTGGCTTAGGGCTCAGGAGTTGGGTTTAGGGTCGTATAAACGGAACCGTGTTGATGGACAATATAGACTATTGCATTTCTGTTTTGGATGACATTATCGGATGTTGTTCAGGGGTTTTGGGGGGCATTTCAAAATGTTGTTTTGTGTTTGTTTTTTTTGTGGGTGCGTTTTAAAGCATTGCTCTTGGGACATTCAAACTCTCTCTGTATGTACAGACATGTGAACCCCTGATAATCATGCACACTCCCCTGATGGGGAACCTGATATTATACTAGTGTACACACTGTATCTGATTCTTCAAGAAGTGGGCCTTACCTCACACCTTGCGGGACCCTAAACCATAAACCCTGAACACCTAAAACCTGAAACCCTAAACACCTAAACCCCTGAATTCCGTAACCCTAACCCCTGAACCCTAAAGCCCTAAACCACTAAACTCACTAAACCCTAAATCCTAAAGGCCGCAATGCAGAGGTGCCTTGCATCTGAAGTTCCGGCTTCTTCTGTTTATGGGTCCTTGGCCCGGCAACACAAATGCTGCAGACGAGTCTCTGCACCGCCGAATGCTAAACACCCCATGATGACGACGACAATGAAAATTATGGTGAAAAAAATGATGATGTTGATGATGCTGACGATGACGAACACAGTTTTGGTCTGCTGCTGGTGATGATGGTGATGGTGACGGTGGTGGTCATGGACGATGATAGCAACGATGATAATATCGATGACCATAACGGCAGTGAAGACGCGAGAGAGATCCGATCACGACTGAAGAAGATGCATGAAAGACGTCTGTGCCGCACCTGCTGCAATCCCATCCGGCGCAGTTGGACAAAGCGGAAGCGCTTTTTTTTTTCGATCTGCGGCCTCGCTCCCTGGAGCGGCCCCTTCCCGGTGACTGGCCATCCCCGCTAGGGCGCTTTGCGCCCTTGGGCCGGCCCCGAAAACGTCCCTTCGATGTTGCGCGGGGGATTAAAGATGGGAAAGCCTCTGGCGGCGTGCTTTCATACCACGTTGCCAGAAATCGTGATGGGACTCCAGTATAGTTTGCCCTCCTGATCGTAGAGTGCCGTGAACTTCTCATACGTGGCACTGACACGCCGCGGGTGGAAGCCATCAGCGTCCAAGGCCGCAAACTTCTGGCGCACAGCGTCCACTGTTGCTAAGATGTCGAACGCTCCAGTTCGGCCAACGCTTTCATTTCCACGGACGGGCCATACTTGCAAAACACCTTGTGAAGACGACCGATTGGATGTCATTGTGATGTTGTTGTCCCATCTCCTGTTGTTGTACGTTTTGTTAGATGTGCCTCATGATCAGCACTGCGAGTTCAAGCTCTGGACATAATCTGCACGAGGCCGAACCAGATGAGGGTCGAAAGTTTCGGTTCAGGGTTTGGGGATCGCGACGACCATCGAGGCTAGGCTGGGTCCATACTAACTTGAGGACCTAGAAAGCCTCAATTCAATAGAACCAGCCATGTTTTGCTATCATGTTGCATAGAGAACGCCATTGCTCATCTTCGCGGCAGTCCTCTTGCGCCCGTCTGGCAACCCAATCCCGTAACACATCCTTTTTGTGCTAGAGGGGCTTTTTGGTGGCAAGCGCTGTCTCTTTTCCGCGAGATTCAACAACCGCTGTCCTAAATCATCACTTCTCTCTAAGACTCTAAGCATCTGTTGAAGACCGAGCTCCAGTACTTCCCCCAAAGACAAGTCCAAACCCGATTGAATAGCTGAAGCAACTCGACAGCGGCCGAAGAGAACTTCCAGCCTTCCAATGGTCCGAATACCTAAACCCTAAACTGAAATAACCCAAAAAATCAAGGGCTTGATGAACTCAGCAGACAGTATGAATACCTGACACTAAACCCTAAACTCCAAACCTCCAACCAACCCCCAAACCCCTCAATCCTAAACCTGATCACCAGCAGCGGCATGCAGCCCCGCAACCCGAAGGTGTGCTCCAAAGCTCCAGCAGCTCCAGTCCTGGGGGTTTAAATCGGGTTTGGGACTGAGGGCTTAGAGTTGAGGATTTAGGGTGTAGTCAGGGTTTAGGGTTTAGGGTTGAGGGTTTAGGGTTTAGGGTTTAGGGTTTAGGATTTAGGGTTTAGGGTTTAGGGTTTAGGGTTTAGGGTTTAGGGTTTAGGGTTTAGGGTTTAGGGTTTAGGGTTTAGGGTTTAGGGCTTAGGGTTTAGGGTGTAGTCAGGGTTTAGGGCTTAGGGTTTAGGGTGTAGTCAGGGTTTAGGGCTTAGGGTTTAGGGTGTAGTCAGGGTTTAGGGCTTAGGGTTTAGGGTGTAGTCAGGGTTTAGGGCTTAGGGTTGAGGGTGTAGTCAGGGTTTAGGGTTTAGGGTTGAGGGTGTAGTCAGGGTTTAGGGCTTAGGGTTTAGGGTGTAGTCAGGGTTTAGGGTTTAGGGTTGAGGGTGTAGTCAGGGTTTAGGGCTTAGGGTTGAGGGTGTAGTCAGGGTTTAGGGCTTAGGGTTGAGGGTGTAGTCAGGGTTTAGGGCTTAGGGTTTAGGGTGTAGTCAGGGTTTAGGGTTTAGGGTTGAGGGTGTAGTCAGGGTTTAGGGTTTAGGGTTGAGGGTGTAGTCAGGGTTTAGGGTTTAGGGTTGAGGGTGTAGTCAGGGTTTAGGGTTTAGGGTTGAGGGTGTAGTCAGGGTTTAGCGCTTGGGCAGAAATCGAAAACAGAAGGAACAGGTAAGGACCTCTCTTGCTTTTCGATGTCTGTTGAAGGCCCTTTTCTGTCTGCCCGATGACAGTCATGGTTGAGGATTTAGAGTTTTGGAACACTTCGACCTGTGTAATGTAAGAGGGCAGGATCTCACCATGAAGCCTAAGCCATGTAGGCTTTCATGAGCTGCTTGTAGGAGATTAAGTTCGTTGAAGGCTATAGCTCCGGGCTTGGAATGCAAGATAGGATATGCCCTTGGTGTAAGTTGTGCTTTACCCCATAATTTTTATGAGGAACCGAGCTCCTCGGAGCCCTAAACCCTACACCTCTAGGTTGAGGGGCTATGTTGGATGAAGCCCGAAACCTTAGATCAGCTTTTGGACCGGAGAATGGGGGATACTGCGGCCTGTACATATAAAGGCGCTCTTCCTTCAGGCGCTCTTGGCTGTAGCATGACACAGGCTTTAGCTCAGCGATATCAGCGACACCTTTGCAAGGCGTTGTTGAAAATATCTTCAAACCGACACAGCCGCAGCCGAGGTCCTGAATGCCTGAACCACAAGCACGAATCAAACAACCCCGACCAAAACTACTATCGTCCCGCACGAAAGACTGGGGATCCGAATATCCTATTGACCACAAAAGCCTGCATGCTAAGGCCCAATCCCGAAAGTGTGCTCCAAAGGCTCACCATCTGGACCAAACCTTTTGGGCTGCGGCTGGCTATGCACCCAATCGCTACGGCTCCAAGCTCCAAGTATGAAACAGTACCTACTATGGGGCCTAAAGTCTTTTAAGAGCACCTGCTTTGGGCCAGATGGAGCCCCAGGGAATAACCAAACGTTTTAAGGGTGCAGCCCTAGCATTTCTTGGTGATCAAACCTTGCTATACCCTAAAACTCCAGTTACCTTAATAGTGGCTTACTAACCATATATTATACACCCCAGTAACCTACTATTTAGGCAACCGGAGCCCTAGAAATAGTGTAGGGTATTTGGCTTCGGGTGGGTAACGTTTGGGGCTTCCAGTCTAGGGCGTAGGAGTTTCGACTCAGGGTTGAACTTTCAATACAGGGAGCCGAATGCACAGAACAGAGTTAGGGTTTAGGGTTTAGGGGAATGCATAGAACAGGGTTTGGGTTTAGGGTTTAGAGTATAGGGGAATGCATAGAACAGGGTTTGGGTTTTTCAATTTTAAAGGGTTTGGGTTTAGGGTTTAGGGTTTAGGGTTTAGGGTTTAGGGGAATGCAGAGAACAGGGTTTGGGTTCTTATAATCTACCTACTTGTCGGGTATCATGAGGAACTAAAGGGTAACCTTTGAAACAACGGGATTCTATAGGGACTATACCACCCAAACAAGGCTAAAGGTTACCTGCTCTACTACTAGGTCTATGTCTGTGCTATATTGCGGAACCCAAGTCTATAGGAATGAGGGCAGTGCAGGCAGCTGGTACAGCTTTTGGTGTTGATTTAATTTCGGGTCTCGGCGTTTGAGCGTGAGGGCTTGCGCATTTCGGGCTTGAAGTTTCCCAAGCGGTGAGAAGAGAAGTACAGTAAGCACACCAAACAGGTCATCAGCACTAGACAATGCACGCGTTACCCGCCGTGCCAGCCACAAAGGCCCCAAATCCTACACCTTTACTTAGGGGCTGAGTACCCTAGCCCAAAAAAGGCTAATATTTCAATTATGGGTAGGATTATATACAACCCAAAGGGTTGATGGCTGCCTACTCAGCTACGAAGTTTAACACGGATTTACGAGGGACATGGCTGACTTGCACCGGGCTTCGGACAGAGATCCGAACATAAGGACTTAATCTGTAGACTGTTGGGGTCTGCTACTGTATGATTAGCCTCAGCCTTGGTTGAAGAGTCCAGACACCCTCATCCAAAATCGCCCCCCCCCATCCCAAAGCCTTGAATGCCTCCAAACCTGAAGCCCTAGGCCCTGAACCCTATGACCTCTCTACACCCGAAACCCTAGAATCACTCACTCCTTGTAGCGCTACCCAAAGGGTAAACACAAACCGTAAACCCGTAAAGCCCCCGTCCACAAACCGGATGAAACCGCAACTCATACACAATAAGCTCTTTCTGCAACCCCATAATTACCCTAAGCCCTAAGCCCCTAAACCCCTAAGCCGCAAAATCCCATGCCTAGATCCCTTCATTTTTGTAGCTCACCTAGGCAGGGTCCCGGGCTGCTGCTTCTTCCCTTCGAAGGTGACGTCCATTCCTACAAAAAGGATCTTGGGACTTAGTAAGGCTTAAGGGTCCCTTCAAGGGATCTCTAGGGGTACTAGAAGGGTTTAGGGTTTAGGGTCTACTTGCAGGATCTTGGGACTTAGTCAGTATGGTTATAAGCCCCCAATCGCGATTATAAGTAGTTGTATGCTCATCCTCAATTTGGGTTTATTTTCTAGTTATTTTTCTGGGCCAAAGTCCATTGCCGACTTAGGCGGAAAAATGTCAGTAGTCATCAGACGATAGTTACCCCAATAACCTTAGCCACTAAGAGCCCCTTGATGCATTAAGCAGGGCCGGATGAGTAGTTCTCTAAAAGCATTTCCGGGGGCCTTTTTTCAATTAGAATGGAGTTCCCCTTAGGGGTTCCATACGGTCACTATACTAACAGTAAGGGCTGGGCACAGGGACCTTAACAGGGTTGCGTGGTATGTATGTTAAAGAATGCGCGCTTTAAGGACTCCTAATGGGCAGCTACGCAGGCTTCTGCGTTACACCTACTTAGCTCTTGCATGGGGTTCAGGTTTGAGAGTTCAAGGCTCGGGGTTGGTGGTTTGGGCTTGAAGGCTTGCGCCTCCGAGGAGCCCCGAAGCTACTTATAAACTAGTAGACCCTTTTCTCTCCTCTCTCTTCCCTCTTCTGTCTCCTCTCTTCTCTCTTCTCTCTTCTCTCTCTCCCTCCCTCCCTCCTTATCAACCCGATCAACCCATCCTGGATAACCAGGGATTAGCCGCAAGGCTCCGAAGTCTGAAGCCATCTGAAACCCTGGGGCCTTGATTCCCCCCTTATAGATCCCTACCCTGACATCTAGACCCTAAAGCCCTAAATAGAGAACCCTTACATGAAGACCATAGAAATGCTGAGGCATTCTTCCTGGGCTTGCCCGATACTCCTTTGACCAGTCTTGAACCTCTAGACTCTAACAAAGGCGCCCTCATGACTAGAACAGGATTTTGAGGTTATGGACCAATATTGGTACTCAGCTTTCCAACCTTCAGCCCTGCTTCCTGCTTATATATTATGGTGAAAGACCAGAACCAGATTGAACACCACGGGTCACTACGGTGCTAGTTCTCTGGGAGGTCTCCGGATGTGTTTTGCTGTTGTCGGTCGGAAGCCCCACCCTAAAATCCAGAAGCCCTCACTGAAAGCAGTTGAGACCCTCAATCTTCCGCAACTGTGTGGCCTTGAAGAAGACCAGCCCACTGTTGCCAGGGGCTGCGAGCCCTGGTTGGGTTCTGAGCTCTTAGGGTTTAGGGTTCAGGGTATAGGGTTTGGGGTTTCGGGTTTAGGGATTTGGGGTATATGTAGGGTTGCCCAGGATGTCCGAAGGACTGGAATCTGGCATTGTAGTGTCACGTGATTGGTCCCGGCACCGATATAGTACGGACTGGAGGCAACTGAAAACTGGCATGTGCGAATCAAAACTATCGTATCCCCTGCGAGAGCCTACCTTTTAGAGTGGTTACGGCTCTGATTCAAAGGGGACCTGCAAGAACGCAGGCTCAGACAGAGGACGGCAGCTTCAGCTGTAAGCTCGCTCGTCTTCGGAATGCCGTGCTTACGTGGAGGTTCAGGGTTAGTCATAAGTAGAGTTGTAAGTCCCCTAATATGGGATACAAGTTTAGTTACCCTACTTACAAACCCTACTTATAACTACCCTGATCCCTAAACCCTATTCCCTATAACCCTATAGATCTCTTTAAAGGACCCCTACTTATAACTACCCTAATCCCTAAACCCTATTCCCTAAACCCTATAACCCTATAGATCCCTTTAAAGGACCCCTAACTTATAACTACCCCTGAACCTCCAAGTACATTCGTTTGCATTGTCGGCTCCCAGACAGCCGAGTTAAGGTCGCCGTTCGCCGGTCTCGGGACCCGGCAGGCATATGAGTGTGGCGGTAGATTAGGGTTTAGGGTTTATAGGGGTTTATAGGGGTTTACAATAGGGGCTTATAGGGGTTTACAGGGGTTTAGGGGTTTAGGGTTAAAGCTGCGTTTTTTGTGATGCCACCAGTCACCACAACCATAACTCGCCACGTACCATCTTGACGGCACCAATCTGCATGTGCTTGCCCCATCGCGTTCATTCACGACCTCCAGGAGAATGAGTCGACGAGGTGAAACACCTGTCGGAACCCTCGCAGTCGACGGCCAGGCTTTTGAATTCCACACAGCCGGGGGCTGCAGGTGATTTCGGCTGACTGGGTGCTCCACACCAAGGACTTCACATGCGATCAAAGACACAAGAGGACTCCTGTTTGTTGTTGCAGAAACACAAACTCGGCAGTATGCCTCAATAAATGCCTGTACTATTTTGGGGGGTTCCGAATTATAATTGTAGTATAATGGGGCCCAAACCCCTATTCTAATCATTACTGCCTATAATACCAGGCAGGAACGACTGCGGAATGCGGGGCTCGGAGTATAGGACCCCACATCCCAAAGTCCCTGAGCCCTAAACCCAACAGAACAGAACATGCAGCCGTCCCATGGGACCTTTCCGGCTTCAGGGATCTACTATCTCGCTGTGCTTGGAGGATCATGGGACTTCGTAAGTATGGTTATAAGTACCCTAATTGGGGTTATAAGCAGTTATAAGTATAGTTACCCTAATAGTAGCCTTAGTTACTGAGTCCCATGATCCTTTAAGTAGGGCTTCAACCCCCCGCCTTCGAAGTATTGGGCCGCTTTGTACCTACTTTGCGGGTTGAGGCAAGCCCAAAACCCTAAACCCTGGCCAGACCCTAACACAGAATAACCTCTAAACCCTAAACCGGCTCGAATGTGCTTCGGGGTTTGATGGTGTTGGGCGTAGCAAGGGCAGGAAAGGTTTTGCATTTAGAGTTAAAGGCCTGAACCCTATAAACCCTACTAAGCGGACCAGGACCGTATCCTTAAACAAGGGGATATGGTGGTCCCAAATGATAGGCATTTAGGTTCTAGCAGAGGGTAGATGGAGGGTCCAGGGAGCTGCAGCTCATCTCGTCCGGGATTGGGGTTGCGGGGTTAGGTTCAGAAGTTTGACCCTTACCTGAGCACCCGAAACGGAACCCTTGTTAGGAGATTTATGGGCTTTGGGTTCAGGGCTTCTGGCTGTGGGGGTTTAGGGTTCAGGGTTTGGGGTTTGGGTTTAGTAAGGCTTCGAGTTTAGGGCATGGCGTGTGTTTCGACAAACACCCAGCCGAATCCCGGAAGCATCGCCAGGAAGGCTCTGACGGCGAGGAAGGTGCCTAAGGGAGACAAGAGGACCGGGTGCTGTCGCCTTAATTTAGATGACGGGAGGCCTAAAGGGAGGCTTAAGATTCTTGGGGTAGGGATTCCTTGATATGAAGCCTAATATGGGAACCCCCATAGGCTAAAACCCCTTTTGGCCTCCTATGATTAGAGGGGCTTGACTGATAACGAACAGTATTCGGTCGAATTAGAAACGCGGCCATGTAGATTTGAGGGGTTTCGCTGGGAGTTCGGGCCCAGGCCCCTAAACCGAGCCTTCAATCGTTTGCGTTTAGGGTTTAGGGTTTAGGGGTTTAGGGTTTAGGGTTTAGGGGTTTAGGGTTTAGGGTTTAGGGTTTAGGGATGTGAGCTAACTCCATTTCGCAGAAGCAGAAACAGCAGCGACGACGACTTTCATTGCCATTATGTTGAAAACCACCCCATCCTTTGCACATCCAGAGACTACAATACATGAACCTTTGTAGTTCGGAAACCCTCCCCGAGATCCAGAACCTTCTCTGCTTGAACCCCTGGAAACGTGACATGTTTAGGGCTTCTCTTTTTTAGTGTTAAGGTGCCACGTCCTTTTCTGTTAGCAGCTTCGGCCGGCCTCAGGGTTCAGGGATTGAGGGTTTAACCATGTGCAGCAACCGCTTCTGCTCGAAACTTGCCCCATCCCAGAAACTCTCCGACCCTGCCAGCCTACACCCTCTACGCCCAAACCCTAAACCCTAAACCCTAAACCCTAAACCCTAAACCCCCCAGGTCATCCAACCCGTGAGCCTGAGCACGACAGCCCAAACTGGCCTTAAGACCCTACCTATAGTCTCCATTGTAGTTCCTTTTTTTGTTGACCAGTTTTATGGTTAGGACCCTATAATAGAGATTTTGGTTAACTAAAAAAAAGGAACTACAATGGAGACTATAGGTAACCCCTAACCCCAAACCCCTGAACCCCTAAGCCCCTAAACCATGTTGGACGAAAGCCTGAAGGCTGCAAAATTGCTGAAGCAACAGGACACCTATGGTGTCTGTTGTAGCTCTTTTCTTGTGGTTACCTTACAGGATCCTAAATATGACAAGGGAGACTATAGATACAAGGACCGGAACCTACCCAAACCGGTGCCTGTGATCCAGGAAGTCGTTGTGGCGGCTGCACCCGCCGAGGGTTGGGCTTGTTCAAGTCGTCGTCCATGAGGTCTGGTTGCCATTGCAAACACACTAGTATCACATCGGGGTAGGAATGCTCAGTCATACCGTTCAGAAATAGCCGCCAGATAACTACAGACTGTATAGTACGACATACCCCAAAACCCTGCTCCAAGCCCTATATTGCACCTTGGAGTCTAGGCCTTCTGTGCCTTGAGGCCTTGGTCTGATGGTCTGGCGGGGGTTGAAGTGAAGGTTTTAAGGGTCTACCTATAGCCTCCATTGTAGTTCCTTTTTTGGGTTAACCAGTTTTGTGGTTAGGATCCTATAATAGAGATTTTGGTTAACCAAAAAAAGGACCTACAATGGAGATTATAGGTTGGGTTTGGACTTCTAGCGTGGTGTTGGGCTTTGGGCTCTGTGGTTTGCAAGCTTTGAAGTCTTTTAGGGTTTTGCGGTGCTCTAGGGTTCAGGGCCGGGATGGAGCCTGCAGCATCTGCACGCCTCGGTCACGTGTCCGTGTGCGCGACATCTGCATGAGGGCACTAAACCCTGAACTCTCCGAAAGGAAATCGTTTAGGGTCCGGGGTGTGCCCCTACTTCAAGCGAAGGATCGGCTTCATGATCCGAACCCAGCCCAAACCTCACACACTAAACCCAAAATCCAAAAACCCTTCACCCTACACTCCCAGACCCTAAACCCCTCTGCCCAAACCCTAAACTCTAAACCGAAACTCCCCAACCTTAAACCCCTATAGCCCCTAGTCCTGCAACTCTAGACTCTAGATTCCCTATCGCAAAGGAAAGAAATGGCTTTGCCTGCTGTTTTGTGCTGCAGCAGCGGGAAGCCACACAAGTCTTAGGTGCCGGTGTAGGGTACAGAGTCTGTAAAACTTAGAATAGAAGATCAAGGAGCATTCCCATGGTCGGTTGTCCTGACATGCCAGGAAACAGTATTCGTATTTTCATACAATCTGCGTCTGCATCACCTACATGGTTCATGAATGCTGTGCTTCGTCCGATGCGACATGACCTTGATCGAATGAGCTGCTGAGTACTGACAGCTTATGCCAGTGAATACCCCTGCAGTCTCACCTCCCTCGTGGGTTACAGTACAAATGCAGTTTGCGGCACCACTTGTGGGCTGAGGCTTCAGTGTAGCAGGTAGAAGCTGCGGCTTCGAGCGTGCAAGTTGATCATGGAGCCGGGGGTTTAGGGTTTAAGGTTTAGCTTAGCGACCCGGAAGCTACAAGGCCAGGGCTTGGGAGCGCCCTCCCAGCACTGTCTGATGGATTCAGGATCTATATTGCCTGGTCTCAGTATTAGACTTTGGGCCAAAACTCAAAATCCTCAAACCTGCATCACCCTATTAAATCCAGGGACACGAAACCCTAAACCAAGGACAGCAAGCCTCTAGACCCTAAACACCCCCAGCTTCCCCAACTCATGACCCCGAGCCAAACTTGGAGGTTCATGGGTAGTTATAAGAGACGTTACAAGTCCCCTAATATAGGCAATGACTAGAGTTCCCCTACTAACAGCTCCATTGATAACTAGCCATTGGGCCATGAACCTGCAAGTACCCCAAACCCCAAACCCTACACCCTAAACCCCAAACCCTAAACCCTGAACCCTAAACCCTACACCCTGAACCAAAAAACCTAAAGCCGACAAATTATGACCCCGAGAAAAAAAGGGAAGGAAGGCCACCCGAGCAGTAGTCCAGGACCAGGAAGAGGTGCCCCTGTGTCTGGAATGCCCAATGCAGCGAGACCACGAACCTCCGGTTGCTTGTAAGGGATCCTTTAAGGGTTCTATTGGGACTCCTGTAAAGTCAAGGGACCCTAAACCCTAAACCCTAGTAACGGATCCTCTAAGTCTTTGAGGGTTCTGTAAGGACTCCTTCAAAGGATCCAGGGATCCTTTGAGTGTGTTCTACAAGAAGGGGCATTTTGGGGGGATCTGATCTATAGGGGCTTCCTTTCAGGGCTCCTTTAAGGGATCCTTTCAGGGTTCTATAGCTTCAGGTTTGCATTAAGTGTCCAAGTATCCAAGCTTGTGTGCGAGGAAAAGACGATGTTTTCCTTCGACATTGTGTGATAGTAGCACGTGGATAGTACAATTACTGCACCGAGCCTCTGAACCACTGTTCCTGGACGGCTGGATGGGACGAGTGTTCAACTCAACCCTGAACCCGAAACCGTGGGTTCTGAATCGGGGTCGGGATTAGGCCGGATGGAGCAAACTCTGAAGCTGTACGATGACAATGCAAACCTGAATCCAACCCCCGAAAGCCCAAACCCCTAAACCTTAGACCCTTAACCCTGCAGGGTTTGCGGTAGGCTTTAAAAGTTAAGGTTTAGGCCTATAGGCGTTAAGGCTTAAACCTTAGATTAGACCGTAACCTCGAAGATCCAAGTGCCCAATACCTTATGGGTCCATGTACTCAAGAAGGAAAAATACTCTGGCCCAAAAGCACCTATATACGGACTGCTTAAATGCCTTGGAAAATACAATGTGGGTACATGGACCTTTCTGGGGATAGTGATCCAATCATTGACAGCTTCCGGTTAGGGCTGGGGCGTAGCGTACACAGACAATTTGAGTCTTTCCCTGGCCTGGGCATAAAACCGAAAATGATACTACAGTAACTACAGCATAAGCATCGTAGGCATTTAGGATCGCAGGGAGCTTATGCATGATTTGCGACGGTGTCTGAGGGAACCACGGATGGCTTAACCGTGCAAGCACACGCTTCTCGGCGATAGCACCTGATGCCACAATGCTCTCAGTCTAGGCAACCCTGACCCACAAATGTCGTCGTTGCTGGTCTTAGGATGCACTACACAGGTCTGTTTAGCAATTTCCGGCTTAGGCTAAAGCCGCTATAGCCGATTAAGGCCTAAAGGGTTAAGTCTGCCGGTTCAGCTCACTGAGCCCTTTACCTTTGCATCCGGACCTCTAAAGCCCCAAGCCCTCAAACGCTTATGGAAAAATACATAGAGGGCCCTTTATGCGGAACCCCAGGCCCTTCTAGAACCCCTTATCCTACTTGTCGGGTATCATGGGAAACTAAAGGGAAACCTTTTTTTTATATAGGGATTCGATAGAGACTATACTAACCTAAAAGGTTCAAGGTTATGGGTGTGTCGTGTACCACTGCGCGCTGAAGCTCGAGACCCCAAACCTTAAAGGCAAAACCGAACCTTCGTAGGTTGGCAACAAGGCTTCAGGAACCCCAACCCAGCCTGTCACACTCCACGGTTCAGGGTTCAGGTTTGGTGGATCAGGGTTTGGCATTTACGTGTAGGTTTCTGCGTCGACCTACTTTCGAATTCCGGAGATCTTTTGACTTGTTGTAGCTCTATGAATATACAGTCATACGGTGGATGATATAAATCCTGCATGACCCATAATAAGGAATATACCATCATTCCCATATATTCCCTATTATGGGTAATGCAGGATTTATATCATCAACCGTACTTATGGGAGCCCTCACACTAACCCCGAGGTTCCAAAGGACCCAATAATCAGGTACTCGGTTTGAGGTTAGTAGTTATGTAGGTTACTATTTGGGAGAGTATATGATTATTAGGTACTTGGACCCTAAACTCTAAACCCTGAACCCTATACCCTATAACCCTATAACCCTATGACCCTAAACCCTAAACCCCAAATCCTAAACCCTGAACCCTAAATGTCTGGTTTCGATCGAAGGGACATCGTCTCTACGGATGCAAGTCCGCAGCGGTCGGTCTGCGGCCAGTTGATGGCAGTACGTCTATGCCTAAGACTTGGACGCGGCCTGAAGCAAGGTACACTCGCTCCAGAAACCTTGATATCAAACGGTTTAGGATCTACCTAGGCCCTGAAGAATCTACCTACCTTGTTCAGGACAAATATAAGGAAATCATAATAAGGAACCCTAAAAAGGTAGGTTCTTCCAGGTTAAGGTGGGGTTTAGGGCAATTCCAAACCCCAAACCCTGAACACTGACCTCAAACCATCAACCCCAGATCCTCAATCCTAAACCGTGGGCCCAAACCTGAAGCCCTTAAGCGACATAGCTCTCTACTTGGAGGTTCATACAGTGATTATAAGGATAAATATAGTTAAAGAGCCATATTAGGGGACTTATAACCCTACTTATAATTAACCCTGAACTTCCAAGTACGGCGTGTGCCAAAGGGGCACCTCCATGCTAGAAACACTGACAAACATGCTCGCAAGAGCCGTGCCGGTCATCATCAATTACCCGATGTCATGTGTCTGTCTAAGTACTTTTATAGGCATATAGACTCCGTCGAAGAAAAGTCTGCGACTAGTGCCACCATATCCGGACCATCCAAAGTTATGGAGAGACGCGATGATACTCTCAGATTTGGTCGGAGCCCAAGCACAGAAATCTCACAGACCCTGCACAGTACACACTTTGAGACTTTCACCCCCCCAAAAAAGACATGCAAGCCGAACCCTAAACATACACACTTCATAAACTCCAATCCCTTGAACCAAGAACCCACAACCTACTCGAAAGATGGTAGCTGAGAGAAGCACGCTCCAGCTTCTTGTCGTGCGTCACAAGCTTTCGCTTACTGAGGACCTGCGAATCGCTCAGGTTTCCTTTCCCTAAACCCTAAACCGCGTTCTGTTGAGAACAGGAGCTTGGGCTTAACCGGGAACTAAGACCGAGTCGGAAAGAAGGCCTGTCAAAGACAACTGTCCTCGCCAGAAGGGCCTTTGAATTGAAGGAGGGTTATCGTAGCTGTCTTGATGGGGGCTTGGGGTTTGCGTAAAGTCGCTAATCATACACTCCCCTAGACGAGCCTCTTGAACACACTCTTGTCCAACGCCCAAATGTTTAGTGGCTTGGACCCTTGAGTGAAGCTCCTGTAGTGTGGGATAGAGATACATCTTAACTATGCGGGCTCACATTATGGGGCTCACATCATGAGAAGATCATTTCGGACATAGCCAGCCCGGGTCCGGTCCGAGTTTTCGAGTCCAAAGCTTTCAGGATTACTACTTGGGTGGTTGTCAAAA